ACGCACACTTACTTTACTTTACTTTACTTACTTACTTTCTTTCTTACTTTACTTTACTTTACTTTACTTTACTTTACTTTACTTTACTTTACTTTACTTTACTTTACTTTACTTTACTTTACTTTACTTTACTTTACTTTACTTACACACACACACAGAGCGCCCTTGCGGTTCAGAATGCTTGAACTGTTTAAGCTGTCTAAACGTGGGTTCAAACATTAAACACGTCAACAGTCAAATGTTTAAACACGCACATGCTTAAACACATGCTTAAGATTTAGCTTGAACCTTACGGCCCTAAACCCCAAAACCTCAACCCTAAAACCTAAGCCCTAAACCATAAACCTTACAACCCCAAACCCTAACCCTAAACCCTAAACCCTAAACCCTAAACCCTAAACCCAAAACCAGGTCCCTTCACACAGAAGAATTCAGAAGGCCTGGTTCCGAAAACGCTCTGCCACCTCGCGAAGGGTTCGAGGTCAAATTTGGTTTAGGGTTTAGGGTTTAGGGTTTAGGGTTTAGGGTTTAGGGTTTGGGGCTTCTACATGCTGGGTTTCTTAGTAGACCAGTAACCATATTATGATAAGGGCACCCTTTTTTGGGTTACTTTATAAGGGAACCTTGAACCAAGAAAACGGAAAAAAGGGTACCGCTGGGCTATTAAGGAGTTTAGGGCTGTGGGTTTATTGCGCCAGCTGGGGACAGATGTATAGGGTTTAGGGTTTAGGGTATAGTAGGGTTCCCTTATAATAAGGATCCCAATAAGGTACACCCCTATTGTTGGAAACCCCCATATAGTACATGTTTAGCGTTGATGTCTTCGGAATGATTTAACGGCTGACGGTCAGATATATGGCAACTTTGGGGTTTTTTTGCAGATTTGGAGGCCCTTCCAAGAGCAACCCTCACTCAACCCTCAACCCTGTCCCTCAACTCTCGCTAACCGTAAGCCCTAAACCCTAAACCCCAAACCCCAAACCCTAAACCCTAATTCACAAGTCCGGCCTCAGGAAAGCCCCTTGGGGTGGAGCTGCGCCGGCGCATCTCGCTGCTTGGCATGCTGGAGAGCCTACAAAAGGGGCCTTCCTAATCAGATCAGGGTTTAGGGTTTAGGGTTCAGGGTTTAGGGTTAAGGGTTTAGGGGTTTAGGGTTTAGGTTTAGGGTTTAGGGTTTAGGGTTTGGGGTTTAGGGTTTAGTAAGGGTTTCGGGTTTAGGGCCTTAATGATTAGAATAGGGGTTTGGGGGGGGGGGGGGAGGCTATTTAAAGTATAATTGCATTGGCACGATGAGGGAATACTATTTGTAATTATTGCTAGCTTCAAAGGGTTGTCAGGGTGCAGGGTCTAGGGTTGAAGGTTTAGCGCTTCCGGTTGGGGACTTTAATGCGGAATTTACAGGGTTCAACGGCCCTACACCCGAACCCTGAATCCCAAACCCCAAGCCCGAAACAGTAAACCCTAAATCCTAAACCCTAAGCCCTAAATCCTAAACCCTAAATCCTAAACCCTTCTGGGGCTTCGGGCTTCGGAGAGAGCTCTCAAGCTCAAGGCTTTTGGCCCACGTGTGTATGCACATGCGCATGTGGTAGGGTTTGGGGGGTTTCGCATCAGTGTCTACAGGGCATCTCAAGGGTTATAGGGCTTATGGGCTTATATAGAGCTTATAGGGATTATATAGAGCTTATAGGGGTTATAAGGCTTATGGGCTTACAGAGCTTATAGGGTTCATAAGGTTGCGGAGAGAAGAAGTCGTCACGCCGCGGACTCGAAGCTATAACATCGCAACCTGCACCCTAAACCCCCAAACCCTCCACCCTCAACGCCTTAAACAATGACAAGCAAACGACGCAACTTCAGCCCGGGACCCGTATCCGGGAAGTAATCTTCACCACGCAGGGCCTGCCTGTCTGCAGTCGCCACCAGTGAACTCGAAGACCTCCTGTAAGGAGATGTGAGTGATGTCTTTCCCCAAATATCAACTCGCCCCCCCCCCCCGGGCCTTACCCCCTAATATTAAAATACCCCCCGCCCATATACTATAATTAACTATGATGGGGGGGGGGGGGGTGTTCAATATTAGAGGGCACGGGGGGTTTAATATGACGGGGAAGGGATTAGGGCTGCAAAACGCCAAGAGTGCAGCCGGTGGCACCATAGGAAATCCGTAACTAGGACAGCTGAGAAACCCGTAGGAAATCCAAATGTCCGTTCAACCAAGCAAGATGTATCCCCAGAAAATGCCTGACGTTCGAGATTGAGCTGGAAGGCTTGTCGGTCCAAATATTGATTTTTTAAACATGCGACCGCACATTTGCCTGATTTGGCATTGCAAGTACTGATTCAGGAATATCTCACTGTTAGATAGGCTATGTACCTCGGGGGGGGTAGAAAATTGTAATGTATAGTTGGTTACCTTGAACCCTAAACCCTAAACTCCAAACCCTAAGATAGTGTCTGAGTACTCCAAGGCCCAGAACTGTAAGTTCAACGCCTTCTTGGGACGGGGCATTTAGGGGTTTGGGGTTTAGGACACGGATGAAGGGTTGGGGGTTGTTGAACATGCTAAGGAAGGATTCGGTTATAGTTGCTCATCTCTTGACTGCCTCTGTTTGAGGGATGTTGAACATGTTAAACAAGGATCCGGCTATAGGTGCTTATCCTTTTACTGCCTGCATTAGTAAACTTTGCATCTCTTAATTGTGCAAGTCTGCCCTCAGATCAGTATATCGTGCGGGGGAGGACTAATCCTAGTCTGTTTGAGGGCTACTTGCATGAACGAGACTGCCTTAGCATCTCCTAACTGTACAAAAATAGCCTCTCGGATCAGAACTTTTGCAGTTCAATATATGACTAACTATTCGCAGGGCCAGTGAGCACATTCTAAGAAGGGTACCCGCATTGCTGGACCATCAGCCCTAAACCCTAAACCCTAAGCCTAAGCCCTAAACTCTAGCCCTAAACCCTAAACCCTAAAAAAAACAGCAAACCCTAAAGCAAAGAAGTTGGGAAAGGGGGCTTCCTAGCTAAACAGCCACCAAACCCAGCGACCCCAAAGTTGAACACCACATAACAGCACACATGCGGTTTAGGGTTTCGGTCCCAAAAGCTCTGTCCCAAAAGCTCCCTAAACCCTAAACCCTAAACCCTAAATCCTAAACCCTAAACCCTAAACCCTAAACCCTAAACCCTAAACCCTAAACCCTGAACCCTCATTTCACCCTCCGGAGCGCTCTAAAGAGCTCCTCAGCCCACTTCCCGACGGCTCCGCCGGAAGGGTTACCTTCGCCAGGGTTTCGGGTTTAGGGTTTAGGGTTTAGGGTGTAGGGTTTAGGGTTTCAAAGCCTACACCGTAGACCCTGGAAGCTAACAAGCTCCGGGACAGCTCATGACAAGCAATACCCTCAACCTCCCACCTGTACTCCTGTGACTGTCCTTCTCGTCGGCCAACTCATCCATCCACCCCTAAAGATTTGAAAGCCCTGAATACCTCTAAACCCCTAGAGCGCCTAAAGACCCTAAAGCCCCGAAACCCCAAACCCCCAAACCCCCAAACCCTAAACCCTGGAAACCCTAACCCTAACCCCCCCCCCCCCCCCACCCAGTTACGAGATCCCCCGACTGCAGTTAGAGGGCGACTGGCTCACTGCTCCGCCACCGCTGCGGTGACCTCGGGGCATCGGTGGGGGTTTAGGGTCTAGGGTCTAGGGTCTAGGGTCTAGGGTTTAGGGTTTAGGGTTTAGCAACCCAAGACCTCAAGCCTCCACCTGCCCCTAGCTAGGGAATGTACCTTGAAGGCATACCCAGAATCCGAATGCGACTTTTGGTCTATGGGCATTTCCCACAAAAGAGACGTGCCCCTCCCCAAAATACTATAATTCTTGCCTAGGAACCCCAAAACGGGTCCTAGAATTGCGGAAGCCCCCGTTTCCTTAAGATACATTCCCCAGCGAAGGAATTTTGAAGGTTGTAGAAGTCAGGGGAAGCTTAGAAGTATTTTGCTGATGGGTCTTGGCTTTGGGTTTTGAGCAGTCGCACGTTAAGGCGTTCGGGAACTCAAGGTCTAGTGTATCTCTGGTTCCCACTTTGACGAACTGCCCCTTTATGAGATTTACTTAGGGGTTTAGGGTTTCCCCTATACGAATAACTATTAAGGACTGTCGGTATAAGGGGGAACATTCAACTAGGAACAGAAGTCACACATCCAAAGCTCCCAAACCTGAATTTTACCCCTGAAAGGCCTAAGCACCAAATCTAAACAAAGCCGAATTAGGGTTTGGGGTTTAGGGTTTAGGCTTTAGCATGCTTTCACAACCTCCATACGAAAACCGCGAAACCTTATTCAAACCCCCATAGCCCCTAAATGAGTTCGCATCAGGTGCAGGGTGAGGGGGTGAGTTGCTGGGTTTCCGGCTATACTTCCGAGCAGAGCATCTAGCGCATCTATCTTCAGCTTCACTTTTGCCTAAACCCTAAACCCTAAACCCTAAACCCTAAACCCTAAACCCTAAACCCTAAACCCTAAACCCTAAACCCTAAACCCTAAACCCTAAACCCTAAACCCTCATGCTTTGCATCACTTGGCGGTTCCGACGACTCGACGCGAAATCAGCATGGCTGACAGCGACTGCAAGCGCAGCATAGTTCTAGGCACTCTGAGCCCCGCTGGTTCTCAGTAGGGAATGAGGGAATTATACAGGCACGTTTATATCCCCCTAATATATAGGGTTTAGGGTTTAGGGTTTAGGGTTTAGGGTTTAGGGGATTCTATAGATGCCTCGTATCCCTCCAGTCCCTACTATGAGGACCCGTAAGTCTTGCAGGATCACAAGCTCGGGTGCAAACACAGCATATCACCCCTCATGGATGGCTGGCGTAGTGCCCGCCACAGAAGTAGAGCTGTACAGGCTGCACAGAACAGCCCTGTAGAGCCCGAATTTCCCAAAAATGCAGCTACTCTCTCCTTGGAAGAGCCTCTATACAGAAATGTGGCTGACAGCTCAAAGCTGGGAAGTCAGTAGTGCGCAGGCCATGAGTCCAATCGCACTGAACCTTGACTGTCGCCAGACCCTGTACAGACATTGCGTGCCTTCGTGCTTGTGCCCACTCTGCCCTGTCATGGGTTTCCCTCTTACTCCCCTCTATACTACCGTCCCCCCTAGGTTGCCCCCTTAAATAACCTTAGTTAGCCTTAACTCCCTTAATAGCCTCAATTATGGGGAGAACGTAAGGGGGGGTTTAGGGTTTAGGGTTTAGGGTTTAGGGTTTAGTGTAGGGGAACCCATGACTACTTCACCCCAAAGACTCATCTCACAAACGGTCCTCATGAGCCTATGAAGAGGGCCCGCCACAACCTTCAAACCCACCCCCACACACACAAACCCGAAACCCTACAGGGCCGAAACCCTAAACCCTAAACCCTAAACCCTAAACCCTAAACCCTAAACCCTAAACCCTAAACCCTAAACCCAACAACAAGAAGACCGAGGTGCCAAGACTGATGTGCGGCGCTGACGTCTGTGGATTGGCCGGTGGTGGTGCTAGTGGTGGCAGGCAGTCCGAAGTCGGAATGGATCACGTAGTAGTCGGACCCCCACGGAACCTCTAAACCCTAAACCCTAAACCCTCAACCCTCAACCCTAAACCCTAAACCCTAAACCCTGCTTGATGGCTTTGGTCTTTCTTCCAGGAGTTTAGGCCTTAGAGGGCTTCGAGATCGCGGGTTCTGGCTTTGGGTTTTGGCATCGAAGGTGGGATGCTCATGAACGTTTTAGGTTTTAGGAGCTTAGAGCTTAGAGCTTAGGGTTTAGGGTTTGGGGTTAATCCCAAACCCTAAACCCTAAACCCCAAACCCCAAACCCTGAACCCTAAACCCTAAACTTCCAACATGCTCTCCAGGGTGCATACTCACTAAGCCGGGAGCTGAGTCCGACGTGCCAGGAAGGGGTCATCAGGTTGCTGACTGGCACCTCCTGAGCCCGGGGGTGGGGGTTTAGAGGGTTTAGAGGGTTTATGGGGTTTACACGGTTTACAGGGTTTATAGGGTTTATAGGGTTTATAGGGTTTATAGGGTTTATAGGGTTCACAGGGTTTATAGGGTTCACAGGGTTTATAGGGTTTAGGGGGTTTTTAGGGTTTACAGGGTTTTTAGGGTTTATAGGGTTTATAGGGTTTAGGTCTTGTAGGGTTTAGTGTTTAGGTTTAGGGTTTAACGTTTAGGGTTCAGGGTTCAGATGACGGGGTTCGGGCCTTTGGAGCGGGTTTGCAAGAGAGCAATGTACGAAAAAACCCTAAACCCTAAACCCTAAACCCTACACCCTAAAGCACGGAGGGCAGCCAGTCCTCCAGAATGGCCTGATGCACTGTTCGCGTGTCCGACACCCGGGTGATGTGCTCCTCTACCAATTGATTAAGAACCCCTTAAAAACTAAAATATATTCTTCCTTGTAAGGGTAATACCCTAAACCCTAATACCCTAAACCCCTTAAACCCTAAACCCTTCTTAAGCAAATAGTAGTCCTCCGCGTGTCCAAGGTCGGTCAGGAGGTCGTCAACCGCCGTCGAGTTGAGACCACCGTGGTTGTTGCCCCCGTCGCTGCGGAAGAAGGAGTTCAAGAACCTAGGATGACCGGCAAAAAAACTCTGAAGAAATATTCTTGAATAGGGTTTAGGGTTTAGGGTTTAGGGTTTAGGGTTTGGGGTTTGGGGTTTGGGGTTTGGGGTTTGGGGTTTAGGGTTTAGGGAGAGCATTCTTGATTATGATCCCCTTAAACCCAATAAGAGAAAATATAAATGTCCCAAGGGCCTACCAAGGAACCAACTCGGGTCGCCAGCCGGCAGAGTGTGTTGCGCCCAGAGGAGAAGGTCGTAGTCGCGGCCGGCGATGATCCCGTCCAGTTCGTCCCAGCTGCTTCCGCTGGTGACGTGGGCGTCCACCACGATACCTAGGTTCAGGGTTTAGGGTCTTGGGTTTGGGGTTTAGTGTTTAGGGTTTGGGGCCCAGCAACCTGGCCGACCAAAAGGTCCGGGTGCAGTATCCTTGACTAGTACCCTAAACCTTGTGAATCCTAAACCCTACTAGCCTTCCTAAACCCTAAACCCTAAACCCTAAACCCTAAACCCTAAACCCTAAACCCTAAACCCTAAACCCTAAACCCTAAACCCTAAACCCCAAACCCTAAAAACCCAAGGAAATCAGGGGCATTCCTGAGCTTCCCAGGAACCCAAGGCTTCCAGTCGCTGTTTGATCACTGGCAGCATCAGCACCTCAAGATGCACCCGAAGGTTTAGGGTTTAGGGTTTAGGGTTTAGGGTTTAGGGTTTAGGGTTTAGGGATTAGGGTTTAGGGTTTAGGGTTTAGGGTTTAGGGTTTAGGGTTTAGGGCTTGGGGTTTAGGGTTTAGGGAGTTTAGGGTTCAGGGTTCAGGGTTTAGGGTTTAGGGCCGAATCGACTATTTGCTTCCGAACCCCCCTGACAAACAACACTAAACGAAACAAACCTTATAAGGGTAGTATAAGGATTATTATCTTCTTATAGTCTTTGGCTTAGGGTTTAGAGCTTAGTTGCTAAGTTCATAGGCCCCCCAGAAAAGTGTACACTTTCAGTTCTACAGGGGGAATATAGCATCCCAAAAAGTGCAAAGTGTGCTCACTCAGCTACTAAGCCCTAAGCCCTAAGCCCTAAGCCCTAAGCCCTAAGCCCTAAACCCTAAACCTCCCCCCCTAAGAGAGTTTAAGGGGTAGTAGCTTCGTGCTTGACAATGGCCAAGGAACCAGGCCGGGACGCTGTGGATAGGCCACAGCCCGCACGGTGAGCGGCGCCCCACTCTTCCTTATAACTACCAACTGCTGAAGTACCCCCCTAAAAAATGAAACATATTCTTTGGGATATATAGGGATTATTGTTTTTTTTGGAGGTTCATGGTACTTATTAACCAACTATAGCCGTACTTCTACCCGTACTCATAACCATATCGGGGCACTTAGGGGGCTTAGAAGTGGGTTATAAGTACAGTTCTAATTGGTTAATAAGTCCCCCTAAACCCAAAACCCTAAACCCTAAACCCTCTTATAATTGGTGAATAAGTACCTCCAAGTAAATGACCCTTAAACTTGGGATCACCTACCCTTTTCGACTATAACCCCAGTCATCAGGTATATGGACCATGTTTTTTCCCACTAAGGTATATGGCATCCAACATAAGCAAGGTGCATGGACCAGACAGGTTTAGGGTTTAGGGTTTAGGGTTTAGGGCTTAGGGCTTAGGGTTTAGGGTTTAGGGTTTAGGGATACTTTTCAGGGACCATTTCTCGTCCCCAAGGTTCTCGTAGAAGCCCGAGGCGTTCTTGACCCAGCCCGCAGTCTCGATGAGGGCCTCCGCCCCGGACTTGTCCGCATGCGGCACCGCCTGAGTCGGGGTGTCAACCCTATAGGGTTGAGGGTTTAGGGGTTAGGGTTTAGGGTTTAGGGTTGAGGGTTTAGGGTTTAGGGTTCCCAAACCCTACACCCTACACCCTACACCCTACACCCCACACCCTACACCCTACTACACCCTAAACCCTAAACCCTAAACCCCTAAATAACCCTAAACCCTAAACCCTAAACAAACCCTAAACCCTAAACCCTAACCGTAAACCCCAAACCCCAACACTCTTTAGTCCCCAACTCCTGCTTATTCATTGAGCCCTGCGTAGAAGCTATCGCAAGCCCCTAAACCCTAAACCCTAAACCCTAAACCCTAAACCCTAAACCCTAAACCCTAGACCCTAAACCCTAAAACCTAAAACCTAAACCCTAAACCCTAAACCCTAAACCCTAAACCTAAACCCTAAACCCTAAACCCTAAACCCTAAACCCTAAACCCTAAACCCTAAAGTTTCTCGCCTCCCCCAGGTCGTATGGTGAGTTCTCCGGGAAGAGGCTCCGGGTAGGCCGGCCACCGCGCAGTTCCTGGGTGAGCTCCTCAGTGGCCACAGCGCCAAAGACGGGTGTTGGGTTTAGGGTTTAGGGTTTAGGGTTTAGGGTTTGGGGTTTGGCGTTTGGGGTTTGAGGGTTTAGAGTCTTGGGTTTAGGGTGCGACACTTTCAGATGCACCGATGTGCATGGCTCTGCGCTAGGGTGCTTCGGCGTAGACCAATGAAAGATAGTAGTCCCTATTTTGCCTTTTACGGGAATAGTTTTTGTCTATGTCTTTTTTTTTTTTTTTTGGGGGGGGGGGGGGGTTCTTAAGCAAATAGTAGTAAACCCTACGCCGGTATGCCCTAGGAAGGCCGTCCTGGCGGTCGAGCGCCATATCGATCGCCTTGCGGAGCCGCTTATCCGACAGAGGCTCCCGGCGGCTGTTGTGCCACATCATGTAGTGGTAGCCCACCAGGAAGGACTTCACCTCGCCAGAAATTCTTGTTGGGTGGCCCGAAAACCCTACACCCTGAACCCTAAACCCCAAATCCTAAACCCTAAACCCGAAACCCGCCGAGGTCACGGTGATCCCACTCAGCTGTCGCAACGCGGGCAGCTCATCCACAGGGAGGTGGAAGGCCATGTCAACCTGTGGGACCTAAACCTGGGGATTATAAACACGATTTAGGGTTTAGGGTTTAGGGTTTAGGGTACTATGAACCCTGTAAGTAATTATGTACGAGTGCTACTGGACAAGTCCCCCCCTCGGCCCCACAAAGAATTATATTTAGGCCGGTTTAGGCCGGATGCACACCCTAGTTCGGGCTCATCCTAAACCCTAAACCCTAAACCCGCAAGGCACCTGCCCTTGCTCCAAGGCCTGGGCCACCGCATTGCCATCGGCGAACTTCTTGATCTCCAGTGTCGGCCTGTCCGCATCGGTTTAGGGTTTAGGGTTTAGGGTTAGGGGTTAGGGTTTAGGGTTTAGCGTTTAGGGTTTAGGGTTTTGGGTTTAGGGGTTAGGGGGGTAGAGGGTTTAGGGGGTTGTAGGGTTTAAGGGTTTAAGGGAGGGTTCAAGGGTTTATAGGCTTATAGGGTATGTAGGGCGTAAAGGGTTTCTAGGGTTTATCGGGCTTAGGATTTTCACGGGCCTCTCCGCAGCACGGGGGTAGTAGGTGTTCGGCACGAGATTGATGTGGTTGTTGGCGGCGAAGTGCGCCACCAGGTAAGGCCCCGTGAAGTACCTCTGGCCGTTCTTCACCTTAGTTGCAGAGTTCCTAAGCCCCAAAAAGATGAACCCAACAAAAATGTACACTTTCAGTTCCTATAGGAGACTATGGTATCCCAAAAAGTGTAAAGTGTGCTCACTCAGCTGCTAAGTCGCCACATACACCACGAAAGGCCACTCCGCGAGCACGGCGTCCATCACAGGTGTGGCGCGATCGGAGACGATCCTCACCGTCGAGGCGTCCCGCGCAGTCAGTGTCATGGTGCCTAGGGAGGCCTGGGCATTGGAGCTCAAGCGGTTCCTGGGTTGCCCAGTAACTTATGTAGGACCAAAAAGGGATTCTAGAGGGTTTATAGGAGAACCCAAACCCCCCAAACAAAAGGGAATAAGGGTACTACTGGGCATCCTAGGTTCATCTCCCCAAGACAATCAGCGACGTGCTGTGCTGTGACTGCAGTACCATCCGAGAATTTGTAGTCGCTCTTGAGGGTTACGTCCCAGGTGAAGGTGTCCACCTTGGAGACGGACTGGCCCACTTGCGGAACAATGCTGCCCGTGTCGTCGACAGTAAAGAGCCTTGAGGACCAAATGAACCCTAAAAGGGTTTATAGCTCATAGACCCTCATAGGAAACATAATAGTACTTGCAGGTTCACGGTATTTATTAACCAATTATAACTGTATTTATAACCCACTTATAAGCCCCCTAAGTGCCCCAATATGGTTATAAGTACAGTTATATGTACAGTTATAATTGGTTAATAAGTACCATGAACCTCCAAGTAAATGAAACCTAAAAGGGTTTATGGTTCATAGACCCAAATAGGAATCATAGTAGTATAGGGTGTATGACCCCAATTTTAGGGTTCAACTCAACACCCTAAACCCTAAACCCTAAACCCTAAACCCTAAACCCTAAACCCTAAACCCTAAACCCTAAACCCTAAACCCTAAACCCTAAACTTAGTGAGGGGTCGCTTCCGTCGAGCGACAGACCCCGAACGGCTTGGCCGAGGGCTCACAGCCCGAGCGCCCATACGAAAAGAGCGGGCCGCGGAGAGGTGAGGGTAAAGCCTCACCGGCTTGTCCTGTACAGGCCAACGACCCTGGCCTTGCTGGCCTAAGGGATGGCCGTATCCAGACCACCTTTAGTGTTAACTAAAGCAGAACCCCAAACCTCGGGCCGTTGGGGTCGTTTGGGGTTTCGGAGGCTTGCCGCGCCCCCCCCCCCCGGGGGCCCCCTGCCCCTGGTGGCTGGATTCCTGGACCAGGGGGCCGTCGAGGGGGTCCAGGCAGGCTGGTTGCTCAATTTCGTGATTTTTGGGAGAAATGGGGCATTGCTCGGGCCGTTGGGGCTGCCGGCCCCCCCCCGCCCGGGGGGGGCCCCTGCCCCTGGTGGCTGGATTCCTGGACCAGGGGGCCATCGAGGGAGTCCAGGCAGGCTGGTTGCTCAATTTCGTGATTTTTGGGCTTCTCGACCCAAAGGGCTACCGGCCCCCCTGCCCCTGGTGGCTGGATTCCTGGACCAGGGGGCCGTCGAGGGCGTCCAGGCAGGCTGGTTGCTCAATTTCGTGATTTTTGGGGCTGTTATCACTCCCGTGCGCCTTCTCAGGTTAATGTTCAGGGCGGCCGAACAGGGCAAGAAGCCTTGGCCCGAACAGGGTCGAGACGCTTTCCGACCTCAATAATGCTTTCGAGCCTCAAGACGGCTGGGCGATGGCAGATTGAAACGCGTGGCCGAACGGCTTGGCCGAGGGCTCACAGCCCGAGCGCCCATACGAAAAGAGCGGGCCGCGGAGAGGTGAGGGTAAAGCCTGGCTTGTCCTGTACAGTTGCTGGGGCCGTTGGGGCTGCCGGCCCCCCCCCGCCCGGGGGGGGCCCCTGCCCCTGGTGGCTGGATTCCTGGACCAGGGGGCCATCGAGGGAGTCCAGGCAGGCTGGTTGCTCAATTTCGTGATTTTTGGGCTTTTGGACCCAAAGGGCTACCGGCCCCCCTGCCCCTGGTGGCTGGATTCCTGGACCAGGGGGCCGTCGAGGGCGTCCAGGCAGGCTGGTTGCTCAATTTCGTGATTTTTGGGGCTGTTATCACTCCCGTGCGCCTTCTCAAGTTAATGTTCAGGGCGGCCGAACAGGGCAAGAAGCCTTGGCCCGAACAGGGTCGAGACGCTTTCCGACCTCAATAATGCTTTCGAGCCTCAAGACGGCTGGGCGATGGCAGATTGAAACGCGTGGGCCTCTGAGGCAGAGGGGCCGAAGCGTTCAGGATTTAGTGTTCAAAGCGGTCCGAACAGGGCAAGAAGCCTCGGCCCGAGCAGGGTCGAGGTTACCACCAGGCGTTTTTCGAACCTCAATAGATGCTTTCGAGCCTCAAGAGGGCTGGACGATTTAGTGTTCAGGGCGGTCCGAACAGGGCAAGAATCCTCGGCCCGAGCAGGGTCGAGGTTACCACCAAGCGTTTTTCGAACCTCAATACATGCTTTCGAGCCTCAAGTGGGCTGGGCGATGACGACTTGAAATGCGTCTTGGGTTGAGATGAAAGCCCCCCTTGAGGGGGGTTAGGGGGGTGAACCCTAAACCCTAATTGAGAATAGTTTGGGTGGCCGGGGCGGGTGTACGGGCAACGCGAGCGCGCGGCCCGGGGTGCTTCACACCCGAGCGCGCGACCTCGCATGCACACCCTAAACCCTAAACCCTAAACCCTAAACCCTAATTTCCTCCCCAAGGAGCTTCTCCGAGATGCCGTGGCTCGTCAGGGCCCACGCTGTGCTGCCGGAGGTCGGATCTGTGGATCCAGCCATGAAGGTCTTGCCAACAATCAGTGGGCCAGTCCTTACGGTTTAGGGTTTAGGGTTTAGGGTTTAGGGTTTAGGGTTTAGGGTTTAGGGTTTAGGGTTCAGGGGGGTTTAGGGTTTACGGAGCCCAGTAGCCATATCATAATAAGGGCACCCTTTTTGGGCTGGTTACTTTCTAAGGGAACCCGTAACCAAAAACAAGGGTACAAGGGTACCACTGGGGTACCAAGAGTCAGTTGGCCAGATGCAGTCCAGAACAACGCACACAACAAAAGAGGGGCCATGCTGTGGTAGGCACACGCCTGACTCGGTTCGACGACTGCTTCCCGGAAAAGCCGAAACCGCTGGCAGCGAATCACCCCTGATCTGGGACATCATGAACCCTAAGCCAGAAACCCTAAACCCCAAACCGTAAGAAGCTCGGAACGGCCGACATTGGGGTGTAGCCCTAACCGCGCACCCCTGATCTGGGACATCATGAACCCTAAGCCAGAAACCCTAAACCCTAAACCCTAAACCCTAAACCCTAAACCCTAAATCCTAAATCCTAAACCCTAAACCCTAAACCCGAATCCTCCAACCGCCCTAACCCCAACCTGAGCTCCCTGCGCCACGTGGATCACGGTCGGCTCCTCTGGCTTGACCCGTGGGGCAACGGCCTGGAGGCCGTGCTCTGCAGGAGGATTCGGGTTTAGGGTTTAGGGTTTAGGGTTTAGGGTTTAGGGTTTAGGGTTTAGGGTTTAGGGTTTAGGGTTTAGGGTTTAGGGTTTAGGGTTTAGGGTTTAGGGTTTAGGGAGAGTTCATGCTACGGGGATGGTGGAATCGTCAGGCCGATCGCGGCACAAACGAGACCTTCGGGTTTAGGGTTTGGGGTTTAGAGTTTAGGGTTTAGGGTTTGGGGTTTAGGGTTCGGGTTTAGGGTTTAGAGTTTAGGGTTTAGGGTTTAGGGCACCACACTTGCTCGAGAACGGTTTTGGAAGGAGCTGGGTCGGCTGTCTTGGATTCTCTGGACTCTGGCTGTCTGAAAGCTTCCTGGTCTAGCCAAGGCCCGGTTTAGGGTTTAGGGCTTAGGGCTTAGGGCTTAGGGCTTAGGGTTTAGGGTTTAGGGCCTGAAGCCTTTGCGACTGAAGCTTGCCTGCCTTCCATTGAAGCCAAGGCCTTTCAGCTTACCTACTCCAGTAGCCAAGGACAAGCTTTATCTAGACCCGGGAGGAACCACCCTTTTGGGTTTCAAAGGGAGTATAAGGGAACCCCAACCCTAAAAAAAGGAAAAAAGTGCCTACTCCCGGTCCTAGTTGTTGTTTGGGATGTTCCCCTTATACTAACAGTCCTCAGCAGGAACTATGAAAAGGGGAATACTATAACTATAATCCCTATTAAGGACTGCTAGTATGAGAAAAGCCCCCCAAAAAACACAAAGAGCCGGTGAAACAGCACATGGACACTTCTCCAACATCTGGTCCCTTTTGGGGTCCTACTTAGGAAGGCTGCCCCTACTATTTAGCACACCGAAGAAGGGACCAGAATTTAGGGAACTAACCACGCAAAGCTTCGCATCATCGCGTGTAGGGATGCGGACGTGGGTGTCAGGATTCCGGCCGGACACCCAAAACCCAAAACCCAAAACCCAAAACCCAAAACCCAAAACCCAAAACCCGAAACCCGAAACCCAAAACCCTAGACCCAAAACCCAAAACCCGAAACCCTAAACCCTAGACCCTAAACCCTAAACCCTAAACCCTAAACCCTAAACCCTAAACCCTAAACCCTAAACCCTAAACCCTAAACCCTAAACCCCAAACCCTAAACCCTAAACCCTAAACCCTAAACCCTAAACCCTAAACCCTAGCAGCCTCCACCACATTGACGGCGGGTGCCTCGAAGCTCTCGGATCGCGCCTCGCGCGAGGCTCTGCTTCGAGGTGCTTGGGGGCTTGAGCTTTTGGGTTTAGGGTTTAGGGTTTAGGGTTTAGGGTTTAGGGTTCAGGGTTCAGGGTTTAGGGTTTAGGGTTTAGGGTTTAGGGTTTAGGGTTTGCTTAGGGTTCATGAACCTTCATAATATAACCCTGGCGTTTAGGACTTGGGCGGTGTATAGGGTTTGGGTTTAGGGTTTAGGGTTTAGGGTTTAGGGTTTAGGGTTTAGGGTTTAGGGTTTAGGGTTTAGGGTTTAGGGTTTAGGGTTTAGGGTTTAGGGTTCAGGGTTTAGGGTGAAGGGTTTGGGCTTTGGGCTTTAGGGTTTATATAGGGGCTGAGAGAAGTAGTACGGGTTGCAACTGTCGAGGTGTCCTCAGGGGTGTCATTTCGGCAACCTCTTTTCACAGGCGCGGGCGCGCGAAACTGGTAGGTTGACTCAATGAGAAGCTTTGGTTGTTGTCTGTGCAAGATGCCTGTTTCCTGCTCGAGGTAGCAGTAAGTAAGTAGGAGGCTAAACGAGCTTCTTGTCTCAGAGCTGAATGACATGGGGGTCTATGAACATGGGGGACCCCTGAAGTAGGCCCCCAAATAGTAGGATCCTTCATAAGGACCTCAAGAAGGCACCCCAGATATCGTAAACCCCCAAATATCAGAATTGGGCTTGTGCATAATGATATGCCCTTGTTGCCATATCTTAGCTTAAGTTCCTTGGCCAGAGCCCAGTATCCCCCTAAACCTGACGGAAACCCTTACCCTAAAACCTATAAAACCTAAAACCTAAACCCTAATTACTCGGGAACTCTCAACCCCAAACCCTCAACCCCAAACCCTCAACCCTAAACCCCAAACTCATACAGACTTGGCCCTGACACACCAGCGTGGGCTGTTGGGGGTCAATCGCAGGGAGCGGTGTGCGGCGAGTTGGCCTAAACATTTAGCGCGTAGGCGATTGCAAAAGGGAGCCCATGCTGAAATCGAGCCTTCGAGGGGTTTAGGCGTTTTAGGGTTCCGGGTTTCGGCCCTAAACCCTAAACCATAAATCCTAAACCCTGAACCCTGAACCCTAAACCCTAAACCTTAGGAGTTATAGCTGTTAAGGCTTCTCTCGGGTCTCAGAGCTCCTCATTGAGCCAGTGCTGTTGCCAGGGGCTTCGCCCACCCTACGTCCAGCAAGGACCAAGCTGCAAGGCCGCATCTAGAAGTTTTGGAGGTTAGGGTTTAGGGTTTAGGGTTTAGGGTTTAGGATTTAGGGTTTAGGGTTTGGGGTTTGGGGTTTAGGGTTTAGGGTTTAGGGCTTAGGGCTTAGGGTTTAGGACTCAGGGGGCGCTTACCGGTCAGGGTGCTTACGACTCTTCGCAGACCCTGTAAACCCGGAAATCCTACACCCAAAGCGCAAAGCCCTACTCTAGCTCTCCTGCAGGCTATTTCATGGGTTCCCCTACTACCCACCTCAAAACTACCCCCTAACCCCCCCTAGGTTCCCCCCATAATTAAGGTTATTTAGGGACAATTAAGCCTAATTAAGGTTAATTTCCGGGGGGAACCTGCGGGGGGGGTATCAAAGAGGGGGGTAGTAGGGTAACCCATGGCTATATAGCTGCGAGGTTCTAGGATCAGGGAGGGTTTAGGGTTTAGGGTAGGGCTTAGGATTTAGGATTTTAGGGTTTCTGAGGGGCAACCTAGCCCTAAGCCCTAAACCCTAAACTCTAAACCCTAATACCCCTAAACCCTAAACCTCGAAACCCCTAGGTCCTAGGTGCAGGTGGCAGCCTTAAATGCAAAGCAAAAACCCTATAAAAACCCAAAACCCTGCGCCCTAAAACCCTCAAAGCCTGGAGCCCGCGAACCCTAAGACCCCAGAACCCTGACATCAGCAAAATCAAGGAAACCTACACCCTAAAACCTAAAAACCCCTGAACCCCAAAACCTAAAAACCCAAAACCTAAAGCCCTCGATTATTGAAATTCACACGAAAACACCAAACTGAAGCTCTGCACGTCTTAAGGCTCAGGGCCTTTTGCACGCTTGGATGCCCAGGGGATGGAATCGATAGGTTGCACTGCGCAGGCAGCGACAGCTACAGAAACGGAGGCGGGACAGTCGCCCGAAACCCTAAACCCTAAACCCAAACCCCTAATTCGACCCGAAACCGTTTAGGGTTTAGGGTTTTTAGGGTTTAGGGTTTAGGGCTTATACACCCTAAACCCTAAGGGGTTAGGGCTTAAAGGGCTTAGGGCGTCAAAAAGGCTTGAAGTTATAGAATTTAGGGGCCACTGTCGTGCGGGAGAAGCCGCGAACGTCTGAGGTCGGAGGACTCCCTCAGGGTCCACGTTTTAGGGCTTAGGGTTTAGGGTTTAGGGGTTCAGGGTTTAGGGTTTAGGGTGTCCACGTGCTGCACTTGGGCCCTAAATGTCCCTACATTGGGGGTACTCCCTAAACCCTAAACCCTAAACCCTAAACCCTAAGCCCTAAACCCTAGACCCTAGACCCTAGACCCTAGACCCTAAACCCTAAACCCTAAACCCTAAACCCTAAACCCTAAACCCTAGTTAGGTACATGGACCCTTAGGGACTACTCTGCGTGAGAGCTGCTGTTCAGCTGTCAGAATCCTCTTTCACTTCCGGATCCTCCTTCTCCTTGGTTAGGGTTTAGGGTTTAGGGTTTATAGGGTTTATAGGGTTTAGGGTTGAGGGTGTAGAGTTTCGGGTTTAGGGGACTCGGGGACTAGGAAAGGGAAAGATTACTCCAGTCCCTTTCACATACATTGTTGCCCCAACAACTTTAGGAGTCTTGGGTCCCGCAACCCTAAACCCTAAACCCCAAACCCCAAACCCCAAACCCTAAACCCTAAACCCCAAACCCAAAACCCCAAACCCCAAAACCCCAAACCCCAAACCCTAAACCCTAAACCCCAAACCCTAAACCCCAAACCCCAAACCCCAAACCCTAAACCCCAAACCCCAAACCCTAAAACCTAAACCCTAAACCCTTCACAGGGGGCTGCGCCTCCTCGGTGTCCTCCCTCACTGTCGGCTCTTCCTTCACATCCTTCGCGTCCGGCGCGGTCTCCTGAGGCATGCAAAGGGTTTAGGGTTTAGGGTTTAGGGTTTCGGGTTTCGGGTTTCGGGTTTCGGGTTTAGGGTTTCGGGTTTAGGGTTTAGGGTTTGGGGTTTGGGGTTTGGGGTTTAGGGCTTGGGGTTTAGGGTTTGGGGTTTGGGGTTTAGGGTTCAGGGTTTCGGGTTTAGGGTTTAGGGTTTCGGGTTTAGGGTTTGGGGATTGGGGTTAGGGGTTTAGAGTTTAGGGTTTGGGGTTTGGGGTTTAGGGTTTAGGGTTTCGGGTTGAGGGTTCAGGGTTTAGGGTTTAGGGTTTCGGGTTGAGGGTTTGGGGTTTGGTTTAGGGTTTAGGGTTTCGGGTTTAGGGTTTAGGGTTTGGGGTTTAGGGTTTGGGGTTTGGGGTTTGGGGTTTAGGGTTTAGGGTTGCCTAAACCCAGCCTCTTCCATGTCCGACTCCGCGCTCGGCCCGGGGCTCACCTTCGGCTCCTGCTTGATTCCGGGTTTAGGGTTCAGGGGTTAGGGTTTAATGATTTAGGGTTTCGGGTTTAGGGATTCAGGGTAGGGATCTGGGGATGTAGGGGGTTTAGGTACAAGATTGCACCGAAATATGGGGCGAAACGCCCGAAAGCGTTGGTCTTGCCTGTACATGGCCACTACCCCAGCTAGCCCAGCTAGAGCAGTCACCATCTTATGCTTTTGGGTTGGGGTTTTAAGATTGTCAGGTTTGTTGGGGAATTCTGGAAATGAACAAATGGTAATTGAACTGATGCCGTGGGATTCTATGAAAACTCCCAAGTCAGGAAACCTCAGAAACATAGTAGCTAGAACGGAATGTACTTGTCAGGGTCGTAAGCCCTCCTCAAACTCGAAACCCCAAACTTTCCTAAGCCCGAACCCCAAAACCCGAAACCTGATATCCTAAACCCTAAACCCTACACCCTAAACCCCAAACCCTAAACCCTAAACCCTAAACCCTAAATCCTAAACCCTAAACCCTAAACCCGAAAACTTTGCGTCCTTTGCCCTGAAAACCTCCCACGCCTAGGGTTTTGGGGGCTCACAGAACTCACGGCGTTAGGATTGCGTTCTGGCCAGACAGAGGGTCTCCTACACCCTAAACCCTGAACTCACCCCAAACCCTAAACCCTAAACTCTAAACCCTAAACCCTAAACCCTAAACCCTAGAGAGCCTGGGGTTTGGGAGTCCCCGCTCCTGCACTGGAAGATGCTCGGGCACTTCGGTCAGAGGTTCGTCGCCCAGGCCATAGCAGACGCACCTGGGCTGGAGAGAGGGTTTAGGGGTTTAGGGTTTAGGGTTTAGGGTTTAGGGTCCCAGAGGAGCCTCCAGCTGTTCGGCAAGGCGCGTGGAGTCGTAGTTCGTGCTGTCGGAGGGCACGTGGTCGAGAAAGTTGCCATAGACCTTTCATCCCTATTGAGGCTTTTTGGGGGGATTAGGGTTTAGGATTTAGGGTGTAGGGTTTAGGTTTTAGGGTTTGGGGTTTAGGGCTACATGAAGCCTAAGACTGGGAATCATATACCCTATGCTCTGAAGTTCATTACTGCCTCCGGCTCCCCAAGCTTCCTTCAGGTACCTACCCCATGAACCCCCCTCCCTTAGGAACCCTATAACTTCTATGGGCCATAAACCCTTCTAGGCTTCAATTCGATAACACGATGTCAAGGGTTCCCATGTTTAGGTGTAGACAATGAAGGCAACCCTAAACCCTAAACCCTAAACCCTAAACCCTAAACCCTAAACCCTAAACCCTAAACCCTAAACCCTAAACCCTAAACCCTAATTGTTCAGTTTGTGTGTTTGTTTGTGGTTTAGGGCTTAGGGTGGTTTAGGGCTTCAGGTCTCAGATTTAGATTACTCGGGGCCTTGCACAAGAGCGGGGCCTTGCACAAGAGCAACATCTGGAGTTAAGAGTTGAGGGGTTTAGGTCTTACCTGTAACCACAGGGCACAGCCGCTCAAATCGTAGGTACTGTGAGCGCCCGGGAGCCAAATTTAGGAACTGCAAGACCCCAGACCTCAACCGCAAGCCCCCAAGCCACCCCAAACCCTATAAACCCCACAAATCCGTTTATATACCCCATAAATCCTACAAACCCAATGAACCCATTAAACCCTATAAACCCTATAAACTCCCATAAGCCCTTCAAATAAACTCAAAACGATAGAGCCACAGGGCACCCCCTAAGGCTCCATAGCCATGACAACAACCCAGAATCGCCAAGTCTTAGCGTTTAGGGTTTAGGGTTTTAGGGTTTAGAGATTAAGGTTTAGGGTTTAGGGTTTAGGGAACGAGGCCCGAAGCGTGTAAACATTGTGAGGTGCGTAGGGTAGAGAGTGCACATCCTTTGTTGTTTTGCAGGGCTTGGGGCTGAGAGATGTTAGGGTCCAAAACCATAAACCCTAAACCCTAAACCCTAAACCCTAGACCCTAGACCCTAGAGCCTAAAGCCTAAAGCCTAAAGCCTAAAGCCTAAAGCCTAAAGCCTAAAGCCTAAAGCCTAAAGCCTAAAGCCTAAAGCCTAAACCCTTCCACCCTATGATCCTTGACTCGTTGGTGCTGAGCTGCATCTGAATGCCAGGCACGGTAGCGCCTTCCGGAAACGGCCCGGGCCAGAGGGCTTAGGGTTTAGGGTTCAGGGTTGAGGAATCAAGGTTTTCGGGTCCTTATCCCTAATAAGGACCGACCTCTGAACCTAGACCATAAACTCCAGGACAGAAGGCGGCCGGCTCGATTTTTGGCGTTGCTGGAACGGTTTTCCATCATGTTTGGGACTTTTCAAGGTTAGGAGTTGCACTTTTGTTCGGCGGAGGGCGGGCGGCCTATACTTTCTTCGTCTCTCTGGGATCTGAAAGGCATCGGGAGTTGCTAGGAGAGACGGCTTGTAAGCCCTAAACCCGAATCTTTCTCAAGCCTCACCTAGACACGCCACTGTAATTCCATTTTTTGAAGGGGGGGGGGGGGGGGGGGGCTGGCAATATGTGCCACGAAAGACAAACCTCACTTTTGCGGTGTCCAGACAATTAAACATGTTCTTCCTTATAAGGGCAATATAGGGATTACTATCTTCCATGTTTGGGGGTTCTTAAGCGCAGAGTAGAACCTCAAACCCTAAAACCGCAAAGCCCCAATAGCGAAAGACCCGGGCCTCTACCCCAGAACTCTGCTCCTTCTTTGCGGCGGGGGGGGGGGGGGGGTTCAGCTAGGCTGCTGAGCAAACCCAAAACCTTAAACCCTAAACCTTAAACACTAAACCTTAAACTCTAAACCCTAAACGATTAAGCCCTAAACCCTAAAGCCCTAAACCTTAAAACCGTGATCTCTAAACACTAAACGACTAAACCCTAAATCCTAAAACCCCAAACCCTACACCCTAAACCCTAAACCCTAAACCCTAAACCCCAAAGCCACAAGTCCCGCGAGGTCGCCTCACAGTCGTCTCGATCAGTGGCGAGGAGTCGACCACCTGGTCTTCCACTCGGGTAGGGTTTAGGGTTTAGGGTTTAGGGTTTAGGGTTTAGGGTTTAGGGTTTAGGGTTTAGGGTTTAGGGTTTAGGGTTTAGGGTTTAGGGTTTAGGGCTTAGGGTTTAGGGTTTAGGGTTTAGGGTTTAGGGTTCAGGGTTTAGGGTTCAGGGTTCAGGGTTCAGGGTTCAGGGCTTAGGGCTTAGGGCTTAGGGTTTCGGGTTTCGGGTTTCGGGTTTAGCTAGCGTTTAGGGGGTTTGTCCATGGGGTCCTCAGCGAGCAGGTCACTCAAAAGTGTCATTTCAATCAAAAGCAGCCAGTGGGCGACCCACCTGGAAGCCACCGGCCAGACATGCAATCCACCAGCAAAGAGGCCAAATGGCAGACACTTGACTGTCTTGGAGCGATAAGATATCCCACGCAATGAACTGAAGGCCAAGATGAAATCTCTCCAACTCAAGTTCTGACAGTCAGAAAAGCGAAGAGAAGACGATACTGCCATCAGTGTTGCCCCTGCCATGATCGTCGACTTGCGAGACAGACCGCCCATCAGAATTCTGGATTCTGGATTCCAGCCATACCAGAAACGTCAAAGGCAATGGAACAGACTCCTTGCGAGGTGGCGAATGAAATAAGCCAGAACGTAGCGAAGGCCAAGCCTCAAACCCAGGGTTTTAGGGTTTTAAGGTTTAGGGTTTTAGGGTTTTAGGGTTTAAGGAGTGCCGACCTCGAAGTGGGCTTGTTCTATGGGATCATAACCGAAAAGCAGAGAGGCAAGGCGCCTCCAGGGACCCCAAACACCAAAGCCTGAACCTTAGTAACCCTCAACCCTCAACCCTCAACCCTAAGCCCTAAACCCTCAACCCTCAAACCTCAACCCTCAACCCTAAGCCCTAAACCCTGTTTTCAGCGGTTGCACTGGGGATTGCAGGATTTGGGTGGGGCCCATCGTGGGCTAGGAGCATCCAAACCTGCCTCTGGCGGGGGTGGGGGGCGTTTAGGGTTTAGGCTTTAAGCCCTAAACCCTAAACCCTAAACCCTAAACCCTAACCCCTAAGCCCTAAACCCAGGCGCGTTTTGTTTAGGGAGCTTTGGGGCCCGATGCATGTCCATCTTGCTTGCACGCCGTGGTTGCAGGAATCTGCACATGTGGCTTACGACGACGCCATAATGGGGGGGGCTTACCACTAGAAAGTGCCTTGGTAGTCTATACTAACATGAACCGCAGTCAGACACGGCTCACAGTAGGGGAGGGGGGGGGGGGGGGGTAATTACGAAAATTCATATGTGGCGATCCTGCCAAAAGCATCAGTATTTACGGCGTTTCCGCCAAGGATGTTTGACGCTTCTGGAAGAAAACACGCGGTATGACGCCGCAAAGTGCAAGTGGTTGCACGAGCAGTGAGGGAGAACTACGTCAGAAGCCCGTGTTTGCCCGATTTTTGCCCATGCTTTTTTCGGAAATGAACGCCTCTAATTTCTACAGCTTCATAGTTTGTGTTGGGCTCAATGCATGAAAACATCGTAAACTGCAGTGTTTCCTGCGCGTGCAAACACATCAGGCAGGCAACCATGTGCTCGATGCCTGACGGCAAACGTGGTGGATAACAACACCAGGACTTGCTTCAAAATCAGCAAAATCCATAGCGGCAGCGCATTGCCCAAAATCGAAGTCTAAAAACTCACCATCTGGACATGCCTCCCGTCCCACAAAAACCAATGAAAAAGCATGCGCCGCGGCAAACGTAGGGTACTGCGCGTAACATGACAGTATATATGGTCGCTTGTCCAAAATATGGTCCCTTTTGGGGTCCTTACTCTAAGGCGGGCCTTCTTATTTAGGGTACCCACAAAGGGACCATAATTTAGAGAACTGACCATATGGGATCCTAGTGGCAATAATGTAGGCTCCCGTGTTGCGTTCCCTTCACTTAAGCAACTTTTCCTGCATCGTCGTAGGAGAACTCCGGGAGCTTGTGGGTCCACATATCGAACGAAGCACCCTAAACCCTAAACTCTAAACCTATGCTACAGGTGGACCCTCCAAGTAATGGTAGCAGGAGAGTTAGAAATGAAGGGTTCGAGGTTTCCGGGAAAGGCGGGGGGGGGGGGGGCAGATTTCAGCTTCCCAGCCAATCCGCCTTTCATTTTTTTATCTGCCAAGAATGCAAATAGATATACATTTATAATGAAAACACGCATATGTACACATACATGTATATATATATAGATATAGATATAGATATAGATATAGATATAGATATAGATATAGATATAGATATAGATATAGATATAGATATCGATCTAATCTACCGACCTACACATTCATCCATCCATCTTCCTGATGGGTCCCTGCGACATGTCTGTCTGATCATCTACGTGCAAGTATGTGCCAAGATCCCTGTAAGCTAAGCCACAAGCAAAGCAAGAACCGACACTACAGGAGGTCAGGCTGCACTTCTGAAAGCTCCAATTAGCCCCAAGCTGCGAAGCTCCGAATCCCCAAAACCCCCCAAACCCCCTAAACCCCTAGGTTAGGTTGAACTTCTGAAAGCTCAAAGCCCCAAACTCCCCCGAAAACAACAAAACGCCAAAACCCCAAAAACCCAAAAGCCCAAAAACCAAACCCAAGCCCTAAGCCCTAAGCCCTAAGCCCTAAGCCCTAAGCCCTAAGCCATAAGCCCTAAGCCCTAAGCCCTAAACCCTAAACCCTAGTTGAACAGAGCTGCCAGGTCCGCCAGCTCCGCCAACGTGCGGCAATGGTCGAAGCCTTGGAGCGTCTTCTCCCACAGGCCCCAACTGGGGGGTTTAGAGTTTAGGGTTTAGGGTTTGGGGTTTGGGGTTTAGGGTTTAGGGTTTGGGGTTTGGGGTTTAGGGTTTAGGGTTTGGGGTTTAGGGTTTGCGGGAACTTCAAGGTGGTAAATTTCGCGAACCAGGTTTCGGGAAGGTGAGTTCGACACCAATCGGCGCTAACTCCTCATATAGGGGTTGGGAGTGCATGCTTGCTTTTTTGGACTGAACAAGCATTTGAAGGCTCTGCACACCCACAGCAGCGAACCAACATGTTTTACTGTTTGCTAAGGGCCGGCGTCCCGCCCGTGAACCTCCATGAGCCTCAGATTCCCGAAGAACCTGGCCAGAAGCAAGCCCTACCCCCCTATAGCCTTGCCATGGCTGACCTTAGCTTCCAAGTTAAGCGCTTGCAGCGGGCTCACGCGCATTTGCTCCAGTTGCACCCGCGGCTTATGGTTGGAACCGAAAGCACCATAAATGTCAGTGAAAACGCTTAAGTTCGACACAGTGTGTTGGGAGTATCGTCGCGAATTTTGCAGGGCCGTTTTTCTACGAACTTTTCAGGCGGCCACCGCCATGCGAAATGCATTATTAGTCATTTCTTTCTGGTTGGCGTTGGTTCGAGGCGAAGAAAAGCTAAGGTCAGTGAAAACTTTAAGTTCAACATGGGGTTTTGGAACTATTGTAGCTGATTTTGCCAGACAGTTCTTTGCGACTAACTTTTCGGGTGCCACACCCATGCGAAATTCACCGTCTGTCCTTTTTTCTGGTATGTGATGGCTCGAGCCGAACAAAAGTCAAGGCCGGTGAAAGCCCTTAAGATCAACACCGGGCGTTGAATTTCTTGTTGCTAACTTTCCGGGGTGGTTTCTCTACTGGTTTGTTCGGCTGTCGGGTGACCGTTTTCGGCGCTGAAAATGGGCAATAACTGTTTGCACGGAGCAACAATTTAGAAACTGTCTTTGCTTCGTTTTTGGATGTTTTATTTGTTTTTTTGGGTTTAGGGTCTAGGGTTTAGGGCTTTGAGTTTAGGGTTTAGAAGCCCAACAAAAGCAAAACGGAAAAAGCCTTTTAAAAAATAGACCTCCCCATTGAAATCCATATGTCAGCTGTGTTTGGCGGTTTGCAGCTGAAAGGGTTGGGACGGTTGGCTGTTCGGGCTTAATCTGGGAGTTAAAGGTGGCTTTAGTAATGATGGCCATGGCAGTGCGGTGTGGGTGGCTTAAATCCCGAAATCGAGCGACTCTGACCCCAAAAAAAAGTTAGAGACCAAAAAAGACCCCAAAAAAAAGTTAGAGACCAAAAAAAAAGTTAAGTTCAACACCGTGTTGAACCTAACTTTTCGCGTTGGAAATCCTACGTGTTTTTGCTGTTTTCCTACGTGTTTTTTCAGGCGGCAAGGCTACAAACCGACGCCGTTTGACCTTTTTTACCCTTATTTCCACATTTTTCCCTGAAACACGTCACACGACAGCCCAAAAACCACGTAGGATTCAGCAAAAACACGCAGGATTTCCAACACGAAAAGTTAGGTTCAACACGGTGTTGAACTTAACTTTTTTTTGGTCTCTAACTGTTTTTTGGGGTCCTTTTTGGTCTCTAACTTTTTTTTGGGGTCAGAGTCGCTCGATTTCGGGATCTAAGCCCCCCACACCGCACAGCCATGGCCATCATTACTAAAGCCACCTTTAACTCCCAGATTAAGCCCGAACAGCCAACCGTCCCAACCCTTTCAGCTGCAAACCGCCAAACACAGCTGACATTTGGATTTCAATGGGGAGGTCTATGTTTTAAAAGGCTTTATCCGTTTTGCTTTTGTTGGGCTTCTAAACCCTAAACTCAAAGCCCTAAACCCTAGACCCTAAACCCAAAAAATCAAATAAAACATCCAAAAACGAAGCAAAGACAGTTTCTAAATTGTTGCTCCGTGCAAACAGTTATTGCCCATTTTCAGCGCCGAAAACGGTCACCCGACAGCCGAACAAACCAGTAGAGAAACCACCCCGGAAAGTTAGCAACAAGAAATTCAACGCCCGGTGTTGATCTTAAGGGCTTTCACCGGCCTTGACTTTTGTTCGGCTCGAGCCATCACATACCAGAAAAAAGGACAGACGGTGAATTTCGCATGGGTGTGGCACCCGAAAAGTTAGTCGCAAAAAACTGTCTGGCAAAATCAGCTACAATAGTTCCAAAACCCCATGTTGAACTTAAAGTTTTCACTGACCTTAGCTTTTCTTCGCCTCGAACCAACGCCAACCAGAAAGAAATGACTAATAATGCATTTCGCATGGTGGTGGCCGCCCGAAAAGTTCGTAGAAAAACGGCCCTGCAAAATTCGCGACAATACTCCCAACACACTGTGTCGAACTTAAGCGTTTTCACTGACATTTATGGTGCTTTCGGTTCCAACCATAAGCCGCGGGTGCAACTGGAGCAAATGCGCGTGAGCCCGCTGCAAGAGCTTAACTTGAAGTTAAGGTCAGCCATGACAAGGCTATAGGGGGTAGGGTTTGCTTCTGGCCTGGTTCTTCGGGAATCTCTCGGGAATCTCGGTCTCATGGAAGCTCATCGGTGGGACGCTGACCCTTAACAAGCCGTAAAACATGCTTGCTCGCCGCTGTGGGTGCGCAGAGCCTTCAGACGGCTGTTCACTTTCAAAATAAAACAAGCATGCACCCCCAACCCCTGTGTCAGGAGTTAGCGCCGGTTGGTGTTGAACCGACGTGCTCCGCGAAATTTACCACTTCAAGGACTAGACCTCAAGGCACAACATCTCTGAGCACCGCGCCCTGTGTCCTTCGAACAAAAAATACTGAACACTTGATCTTTCATTAAGGTCAAAATGCGTACTTAAGATACATATCTAGATAGTACACATGAAGCTGACCCGAACAAATGGGGGTTTCCCAAAGTGGGGTTCCCCAAAATGAGGGTAGCCTTTTTGGGCGCTGCCATAATAAGTCTGCACATCAGCCAGCCAGAATGCTGCGCCTTGGGCTCGTGTCGCTGAATGGTCAGCGTGGGCCCTATTTGGCGCCTGAATATCCGAAGCCCTAACCCTCAGCATTTAGGGTTTAGGGTTTAGGGCCCTAAACCCTAAACCCCAAACCCTAAAGCCCTAAACCCTAAAACCCTAAACCCTAAAGCCCTAAACCCTAAACCCCCCGTCCCCAAAAAGTACGCCGACACCAACATAGGTTCGGATCGGGGTGTCGTATCCCGCGACTAAAGCTTGGACCCTGAACCTTTCAGCCAAAACCCCAGGTCGGCCCCCTAAGCCCTAAACCCTAAACCCTGAGCCCTAAGCCCTAAACCTCTCAAGCGATTCCTCAATAGGCTCCTCTTAAGCCCAAGAAGGAAAGCGAAATCCTCAGAACCCGACCCTAGGCTTACTAGGCCGAGAGTCTCTTGAGGTTGAACTGGGTCTTGAAGTTGGCGTTGCACCAGTCGCGCAGAGTCAGACGGGTGACGCCTGACTCCTGACTCTGACACTCGGGGACAGGCAGGGAGACACAGACAGAGAGTGAGCGAGATAGAGGCAGAAGAAGGAGAGCCAAAACGCATCCCTGCGGCTGAGGGTTTAGGGTTTAGGGTTTAGGGTTTAGGGTTTAGGGTTTAGGGTTTAGGGTTTAGGGTTTGGGGTTTGGGGTTTAGGGTTTAGGGTTCAGGGTTTAGGGTAGCATCTCTGAACCCAAGCCCTGGACCCTCAGCGGATTCTTGAGGGGAGACTTGAAGCGGTCGGGCTTGCTCTGCTTCTTGAACTCCAAACCCCAAACCCTTGACCCGGTTCCCTACATGATGGTCCCCATCTTTTGCAGGCCCTAAAAAAGGCTCCAGGGTTTAGGGCTTAGGGTCCAGGGTTTTGAGTTGAGGGTTTAGGGTTTAGGGTTTAGGGTTTAGGGCTTAGGGTCCAGGGTTTTGAGTTGAGGGCTTAGGGTCACCGTGATTTGGAGAACCGACCACAGGCCCTGCAAGGGATAGCTTCAGAAAGAGGCTGGTCCTTAGTAGGGAGTGAGGGAAGTAGGGCCCTGTATATACACTTTTAACGGAATATATAGGGCCCTCATTACCTAAACCCTAAACCCTAAACCCTAAACCCTAAACCCTAAACCCTAAACCCTAAACCCTAAACCCTACTAAGAACCAGGGGGAAAAGAGGCTTTCAGGTCGAGATTCTTCCAGAGCTTTGCACAGCTCATCGCCTTTAAACACGATGTTCTTGCCTTGGTCTAGGGTTTAGGGTTTAGGGTTTAGGGTTTAGGGTTTAGGGTTTAGGGTTTAGGGTTTAGGGTTTAGGGTTTAGGGTTTAGGGTTAGGGTTTAGGGTTTAGGGTTTAGGGTTTAGGGTTTAGGGTTTAGGGTTTAGGGTTTAGGGTTTAGGGTTTAGGTTTAAGGTTTAAGGTTTAAGGTTTAGGGTTTAGGGTTTAGGGTTTAGGGTTTAGGGTTTAGGGTTTAGGGTTTAGGGTTCAAGGTTTCAGGTTTAGGGTTTAGGGCTTAGGGTTCTTCTCTTTAGTGTGTTTTGGGTTTGCACTTTAGGGTTTTGGAGCTCTACACTTGAAAGTTTTCAGGGTTCTGCACTTCGAGTTTTTAGGGTTTAGGGTTTAGGGTTTAGCACTTTAGGACGTAGGCATCCTCACTTTGGGGTGTAGGGTTCTTCGTGTTAGGGTTTAGGGTTCGCACTCTATGGTTTATCCGCACTTGAGGGTCTAGGGCTCTGCACTTTCGGGTTTAGGGCTTCGGTCTCTTCTTGGCGTCTGCGGCTACAGTGTTCGGGAAGTGAACGGTGTTTTTAGGAACTCTCCGGGGGTAGGATTCGTGTCGTGAGCTGCCAGGGATACCAAGGGTCCTGAAGGAATGGCTGTAAAGAGCTTATGGTGTGCTTTCAGTGGCACGAACCCTACAAACCCTAACCCCCACAAACCCTAAACCTCCAAACCCTACACACCCCCCCCTAAACCTACAAACCCTAAACCCCGACACCCCGAAAAACCCTCCCCCAATCCCCAAAAGCCTACACAGCCTAAACTCCCTTAACCCTGCAACCCCTAAACCCCTAAGCCCCTAGACCCCACAAACCCTAAACCCCTAAATGCCACAGCCACCCTAAACCCTTTATTTTTAGGACTTAGGGTTTAGGGCTTCGTAAACACCTCAAAACCCTCCATCCGCGAATCAAAGCAAGTGCCGTAGAAGTTGCTCGTGATCGAGCAGCTGAGCTTACTGAGCTCTTTCCTCAGGCAGCATCATTCATAGGGTTCAGGATTTAAGGTGTACCCTAAACCCTAAACCCTAAACCCTAAACCCCAAACCCCAAACCCTAAACCCTATAGGCTTCGGGATATGAGGAATACCGTGCCAACAACATGTTGGTGCGCAGTTCTAATTTCTATGCAACCTTTGGGATGCTCCCCCCCTATACTAACAGTCCTTAATAGGGGTTTAGGGTTTAGGGTTTAAAGTACCCTATATTATTGAAATTCCTAGTAAGGACTGTTCGTATAAGGGGAAAGAGCCCAATAGACAATCCTATTCACTCAGGCCTAAACACCCTCCAAACCTTATCAACCCAAACCCTCAAACAGCCTTCAACCCAAGAAGGTCAAACCCCAAAACCCCAAGTCTAACCCCTAAGCCCTTAAGACCCCCCCAAACCCAAAAACACAACTACAGCACCCTAGAACTCCTAGGCGCCAGGGCTTTTTCGAGGGCTTCAGGGTTCTAGGGTTGTTGGGTTCTGTAGGCCCTAAACCCTAAACCCTAAACCCTAGGGCTTTCGGGATCTAAGGCTTCAGGTTTCGCAGTGGACACTTGTATTTAGGGTTTGCTGTCGGACGGTCGGTAGACCAAACCACCAACAGGTAAGACCAACTTATAAACATGATGGACGTACTCTATTTCCCTTCCTAATGGTTGAACGCAGTTTGTTCCGGTGGTTGCAGGAAAGTCGCTCATGAGAACGCGGTCAAACCAACATAAGGAACTACAACTAGCCCCACACCCAAACCCTAAACCCCAAACAATTCCTAAACTTTACTAGGGTAGGATGTCCAGGGTTAAGTCAGAATAATGCTTGTCGAAGTGCAGGAAGTCTTCCCGGTGCTGCCGCTTCCGCTGCCCCATGGAGCTTCCTTCGCTGAACCCTACAAACCCGGTTGGGGCCCCCTGTTGCCGTGCACTATCTTACGCTGATTGAGGGTGTTTTTAGGCCCCAAAAGGGACTGTCATTCACAGAGTGTGTGTGCGTGTGTGTCTCTGTGTGTGTCTCTGTGTGTGTCTCTGTGTGTGTCTCTGTGTGTGTCTCTGTGTGTGTCTCTCTGTGTGTGTCTCTGTCTCTGTCTGTGTCTGTGTCTCAGTCTCTGTCTCTGTCTGCGTCTGCGTCTGCGTGTGCGTGTGGGCGTGGGCGTGGGCGTGGGTGTGTGTGTGTGTGTGCACGCGTGTGCGCGCGCGCGCGTCTTTCTGTTAAGTTTTGCTCTCTCTCTCTCTCTCTTTCTCTCTTTCTCCCCGTCTCGCGTAAGGTTCAGGGTCGAGGGTTTAAGGTGGGTCTTGGGTTCATACTTTGCTTGCCTCGGACGTGAGACCTACTGTGGCGCGAGACAAGAAAGGTGCGTGGTCGGGCTTCTTCTTGGCAGCCCAGGAACCGTAATATCCCGAAACCCTAAACCCTAAACCCTAAACCCTAAACCCTAAACCCTAATGAGGGTACCCTTTTTGGGGTTAATTCCTTTATATCAAGACGTCGCAGCACAGTTGGGGCAGAGCAGTTTTGACAGTTTTGTGGTATGCTGGTTTTGAAACAGCAACGCCTGCTAGTGTTGCTTTTTGTCATCCAACACTTGAAAGAACAGAGATTGTGGCTTTTGCATGGTTTCGCAAGACAGAAAGCTTTGTTCCAGCCGAGGGCTTGTTCCAGCCAGGGCGTTTTCCAGCCCCTGGCTGGTTCCATTGTCCAGCAAAGGGTGTGTTCCAGGCAGAAGCTTTGAAAAATATTCGGCATTTTCCTGGTTACTTTACTAGGCTGCCCAGTAACCAAGGCTTAAAAAGGGTACACTTCTTTTGCTTAAAGGGGTCTATAAGGGAAACCTAAACCCCCCAAAAAAGGAATAAGGGTACTACTGGGCATCCTAGTTTATAAGGGAGCCTTGGACAACAAGAAGGGTTAAGGGTACCAATGGGCTACCAAGTCTTGCGGGTTTAGGGTTTAGGGTTTAGGGTTTAGGGTTTAGGGTTTAGGGTGTAGGGTTTAGGGTGTAGGGTTTAGGGCGCTTCAGAGGGATCTCGTGGGGGGCCCATAAGGCACGCCCTGAACGCAAACAATAAGTGAACCCTAAACCCTGATGCCTTCTAACCTTACACCCTACACCCTAAACCCCAAGCATGGTCGGAATTCACTGTTGAGGGCTTCGGGCCAAGCAGGGTTCAGGGCTGAGGGAGACTGGCCCGCCTAAAACCCCTAAAGCCAGAGCTTCTGGAGTCTTTGGGCAGGATTTAGGAATTTGGGGTTTCGCCTTTGTGGTTTAGGGCTTGGGGTACCCTAAACCCCTAAACCCTGAACCCTACACCCTACACCCTAAACCCTAAACCCTAAACCCTAAACCCTAACCTCTAAACTCTAAACTCTAAACCTCGGGGGTACGGTTCAGGATGGTTTAGGGCTGGCCGCTGACAAGCCACCAATGTAGAAGGTGAAAGCGATGATGAACGCGAAAATGACCTCGGCGAGGTCTGAAGCCAGGTTCTTTTGCTAAGCTTGTGCTGCTTTACAAATTTAGAGTTTAGGGTTTAGGGTTTAGGGTTTAGGGTAACCTTAGAACTAGGTCCCAGAGTAACGCGGTATCGGGGGTAGGGTTTAGGGTTTAAGCTAAGAAGCAAGAGAATCACAAGGGTACCCTGTTCTGTTGAAAGGGGTCTCCCCTAACCCCTAACCCCCCCCCCCCCCCAAGAAAGGGGGAGTAAGGGGCCACTCAGCAAGGGAATAAGGGTACTACTAACAGTCCTTAATCGAGATTACAGTACCCCCCCCCCCCCCCCCCCCCCCCCCAATTGTCGCTATTAAGGACTGTTACAGGGGCTCGCGAAAGTCGACCCTTTTACGTGAAACCCAAATGAACGCAGAGGGTACAGGAAGTTGACGAGGTCCCCCCAATGAACACATGGATGTTACAGCTACGAAAAGCAGCGAAAATCAGTACGCAAGTATCGAAATGCCCAAGGAATGCTGGGGTGCCTGAAAACATCATCCAACATGGTTGCTGAAGGACCTCCGCCCGAGTGATACGCAAGCAAAGCATGGAGTCAAGCCTACCAAAACTTACGAAGAAGAGGCAACGATTTCTCTGAACCTATATCGCATGGTATAGCCAACATGGCTTATGACACGCATGCATAGAATTGTGGACAGTTCCGCCCGAGGGAAACGCAGTTTCGGTCGACTCCCTAAAAAGCTTTCCCGCAGTGATTTGCCTTACCGCAAGCAAAAACAAGTCAACTTTCCATGTTGCGTATACTATAGGGGGAAACTGCGCTGTGCATCCTAGCAAAAGTGTGCAAAACACATCCCAAGGGACCCTTTAGCCGACGCATGTCCCCTGCCAAAGAATGCACTTTCTGAATCCGACAGACCTAAGCCTAAACACAACCTTAGCCAAAAAAATCAAAGAAGCAAACTTAGGTCGAAAGCGCTGCTCAAAACAACCTTAAACATCCTATGTGGGGTCCGAAAAACAACTCTTAACAGCACTTGAGCTTTCCAAAGGCCTGTAACAACAAAACCACAAACCACAAACCACATACCCAAACCCTAAACCCTAAACCCTAAACCCTAAACCATAAACCCTAAACCCTAAACCCTAAACCCTTCAAAAAAACCCTCCGCAACCGACTCTTGGTCCGAAGGGCGCTGGTGGGAACCAGCAAAGTGAGAACCAGCAGCGCTGCCAGTAGTACGACCTGGGGTTCTTTTTGGGTTAGGGTTTCGGGTTTAGGGTTTAGGGTTTAGGGTCTAGGGTCTAGGGTTTAGGGTTTAGGGTCCAGGGTTTAGGGTTTAGGGTTTGGGGTTTAGGGTTTAGGGTTTAAGGTTTAGGAACTTTTGGCGGCTTGGGCGCTGAGGGTTTGGGGGTTTGGGAGTTGAAGGTTTTGATGGGTTGGGTTTGAGGGTTTGGGCTCAAGGGGGGTCGGGGCTTTGGGATTTCGGGCCGAGGTGGGTGCTGGTACGGCAGAGGGTTTAGGGTTGATGGCTGCCTGGTCTAAAATGTTGTGGCTTGAAGTTGAGGGTGTGGTTGAGGGGTTTGGGGCAGGTTTGTGGTTTAAGTGCTTGCTTTTTTTGTTGGGGGGGGGCGGGGGGTTGGGATGTGTGTGGGGTTTTGGCGGCTTTGGAGTTTGAGGGGTTTGGGGTTGAGGGTTGTGAGGGTTTGGGGTTGGCGGGGGGGGGGGGGGGGTTGGGTGCTTTGCGGTTGGGGTTGGGGGGTTTTAGGGTTTGGGGCCGAAGGCTTCAGAAGTCTACAGGGCTCAGGGCTTTGGATTTTAGGGATGGGGTTTTCGGGTTTAGGATTTAGGGGTTGTGGGTTCAAGGGTTTACAGGTTTAAGGGTCGGATTGCGTTTTCTACCGTGGGCTAGGGGCACGAAGGCTTTAAAACATGATTCAACACCCTAGGCCCTAAATCCCCCCTAAACCCTAATTACGTTCATGATACCATAGACCCAAGAGTAACCTAGGAATACAACAGGGTGCCATTCTTGGTTTAAAGGGGCTTAAATGGGCACCTAAGGCCTAAACAAAGGGAAGAAGAGCGTACTCCGTGTCCGAGGTATATAATGGGGCCGAGGTCTAGGGACACTTGGTGTGGCCCTAACAAGCAAGTAGAGTGAATCCTTCTCTCAAGGGGCTAAAGGAGGGACCCCAAAAAGGGGACCTTATTCAGCAGTTATTTAGGGGCTACTTAGGAAGATATAAGGTATATGTGGGGTTATATAGGGGAATAAGACTAAGGTCTTTTTTCTAGGGGTCCCTCCTGAGACCCCTTAATTCTCATGAAGACCACCCCCCCCCCCCCCCCCCCCTCCCCCCTAAACCCGAAGCCCCCCCTTTCTGTCGGCTGGAGACCATGATCACGGTCACGTCATGGTCTTTCCATGTGAAGAGGTTCCTTGGGTCAGGATATTGAATGCCGGGCGCTTGCTTGCAGGTTTGGGGTTCAGGGTTTAACCCTAAACCCTAAACCCTAAACCCTAAACCCTCAGGGGTCCAGAGGTGATCGTCACTTGTGGCGGAAACCCTAAACCCCAAACTCCAGACCCTAAAGCTCGTGGCATTGCACATCCCTACAGTCAAGATACCCTAAGGGTCCATGTACTTCATTATGATGTACTCGGGCCCTAAAGTCCCTAAATAGGAGGTACTTTAAGGCCCAAGTATTCCCTATTTGGGTACATAGACCCTTAGGGACAGATACCAGGTGCAAACGGAAAGTGTAGAGGACTGCTGAAAGACGGGTGGTAATGGACTTGGTTCGCCAGTTCTTTCTGAAGTCCACTACCACAAAGGAAGATAATGGGGGCCAGCTCGGGGCTATGTGATAGTCGGTGCCTATACGGTGGTTCCCCAAATTAGGGTACCTTATCGGGGTGCTTATCCGAAGGGATCCTACTCTTTGGGGGTCCATTTGAGGGGTCTCCTATTTTCGTAAACCCCCATACAGTGAGAATTGGAGCTATCCCCCAGGTTCTGAATAAAGTCTGCCCCCATAAATCCCCCATCTCGTCTGAACCTCGAAACAAAGCGCGTAGAGCATCTTGGCACGACGACCGAACTCTGTGAAAACTCACAGAGTCCTGGGTCCACTTCTGACTTCAGCATTGAGTAACCCTAAGGGTCCATGTACCTCAGTATGATGTACTCGGGCCCTAAAGTCCCTAAATACAAAATACTTTAAGGCCCAAGTATTCCCTATTTGGGTACATGGAGCCTTAGGGTAACAGTCATCATCGCCGTACGAAGCTGGCAGCTTCGCAACGGCATGGGAGCCTCGCAGGATTTCCCGCACGGTGATTGCGGATTCTGCTATGCATGACATGCCCAAAACCTCGGGGCAGGGCTGCCCTAAACCCTAAACACTAAACCCAAAACCCAAAACACAAAACCCCAAACCCTAAACCCTAAACCCAAAACCCTAACCCTGAACCCTGAACCCTGAACCCTGAACCCTAGACCCTAGACCCTAGACCCTAGACCCTAGACCCTAGACCCTAGACCCTAAACCCTTCCTTCATTAAGGGGTCTGGGTTCTCTGGGTATTCTAGGGACTCCAGGCGGCCGTGGCTTTAACAGTCATCTGGAAATCAAAGAAACATGCCTTGGGCTTAGGGTTTAGGGTTTAGGGTTTAGGGTTTAGGGTTTAGGGTTTAGGGTTTAGGGCTTAGGGTTTAGGGTTTACGGTTTAGGGTTCAAGAGTTTAGGGTTTAGGGTTTAGGGTTTAGGGTTTAGGGTTTAGGGTTTAGGGTTCAGAGCAACCTGAGGGTTGCCGGGGTTTTGGCTTCAGGGAGTGTACCTTAAATGGAAGGGCTCAGGGTTAAGGTTTAGGGTTTAAGGTAGTTGAGGGTTTAGGGTTTAGGGTCCGAATTTGGGAGCCGAGCTGCTTGTGCCTCTCCAGCAAGCTCAGCGTGTAGTCGACCTCTTCTGCCATGTGGGAACCCTAAACCCTAAACCCTAAACCCTAAACCCTAAACCCTAAACCCTAAACCCTAAACCCTAAACCCTAAACCCTAAACCCTAAACCCTAAACCCAGGAGGTACTTTAAGGCCCCAAGTATTCCGTATTTGGGTACATGGACCCTGAGGGGGACGAGTTCTGACTCCTATCTCCCCTTCTTTTGGGCCTTTAGAACACGGCCACCCTTAATATGAGGACCCCGTAGCAAGGGTCCCTGAGTTGGAGAACTGCCATACTGTTTTGGGGTTTAGGGTTTAGGGTTGAAAAAGGGGGAATGCTGCCCCAAGCTCAGTACACCCTGAACGCTTGAAACCCTTAATGCCCTTGAAAGCCCTTAAAGTCCTTAAACCCCTCAAAGCCCCTCAAAGCCCTTAAATCCCTTAAAGACCTTAACGTCCTTCAAGCCCTTAAATCCCTTAAAGCCTAATCTTTAAAGACCTGAACGTCCTTCAAGCCCTTAAACCCCTTAAAGCCTGGATCTTGAGACCCTTGAGCTGAGCTCCTGGCATCATTGCGGATGGACAGGTAAAGCCTCGGCCGCCCGAAGCTCTTGAAACCCCTAGCTACAGGCTCTAGATTCTAGAGTTCTAGACTTTTGGAGTGTAGGGTTTAGGGTTTAGGGTTTAGGGTTTAGGGTTAGGGTTTAGGGTTTAGGGTTTAGGGTGTAGGGTGTAGGGTGTAGGGTGTAGGGTGTAGGGTTTCGGGTCGCCAAACAAAGGTGTAGGGTAGAGATGAAGCAGGGTGCGGGGAATGCTGATGGAAGTTGCCTGGTTGCCGCAATGCAGTTCCTCTATGTCATGCGGGCACGACTTCACTTGCGCCACGCCATGAATGTTGGCCATGTTCCAGACTCACACTCTAAACTCTGCGCCCTACTGACGTGTACCCTAAACCCTAAACCCTAAACCCTAAACCCTCAACCCCAGCCTCGAAGGAATTGGGTTGATGACTTTAGCCTTCGGAGGCAGCCCCCCCCCCCCCCCCCCCCCCCCCCCCCCCCCCCCCCCCCCCCACCCTTCTGGGGTTCGGAAACACCCATCCCCCCCCACCCCCCATCACCAAAGTCCAGCACACAAGCATACCAATGCCCAATGTCATGCTCAAGAGGTAGAGAGAAAGAGAGGAAGAGGAAGAGAGGAAGAGAGGAAGAGAGAAGAGAGGAAGAGAGGAAGAGAGGAGAGAGGAAGAGAGGAAGAGAGGAAGAGAGGAAGAGAGGAAGAGAGGAAGAGAGGAAGAGAGGAAGAGAGGAAGAGAGGAAGAGAGGAAGAGAGGAAGAGAGGAGAGAGAGGAAGAGAGGGAGAGGAAGAGAGGAAGAGAGGAAGAGAGGAAGAGAGGAAGAGAGGAAGAGAGGAAGCGAGGAAGAGAGGAAGAGAGGAAGAGAGGAAGAGAGGAAGAGAGGAAGAGGGGAAGAGAGGAAGAGAGGAAGAGAGGAAGAGAGGAAGAGAGGAAGAGAGGAAGAGAGGAAGAGAGGAAGAGAGGAAGAGAGGAAGAGAGGAAGAGAGGAAGAGAGGAAGAGAGGAAGAGAGGAAGAGAGAGAGGGAGAGAGGGAGAGAGGAGAGAGAGAAAAAACAAAGAGGGAAAGAGCGTGAGAGAGGAAAAGCCAGAGATGAAGCACCGGTTTTAGTTGACTTTCGGCGCCCAACCGGTTTTCTTACATCTTACAAAATCCTATAACATAGGACACAAGAAGGTCAACGGTTTTGTTCTTACAAGATGAGGAAACCCAAAAACTTGAAGTTGGACTATTGGAAGGGCAAGGTGGAGATTCCGACCAAACATCGACAGTGCCGGCGGGAGTGGCGCGATGTAGCGGTTGAACTGATCGTTCTCAGTCAGCATGGACTCCACTGGTGCCTTCCTTAGTCTGGCAGACATAGCTGGGTTTAGGGTTTAGTGTTTAGGGGTTAGGGTTTGGGGTTTAGGGTTTGGGGTTCAGGGTTTAGGGTCTAGGGCGCCGTCCTTCCCCCAGACACTGGAAACCTTCCCCCTGACAACGCCCAATCGGATCCCGTCGAACTTCAGTCGCGCGACGTCTGCTCAGGCGAGCTGTCGTCGAACGCCGGCGACCCTATCCTCACATCGAGGTCTGCTATATGTTCAGGGTTTAGGATTTGGGGTTTAAGGTTTAGGGTGAGATTGCTCTACTAGGCTCAATAGTAGCCTAGGGGAACCAAGGTATCCTTTTTGCTTTAAATGAGATTTTATCAGGGAGCCTAAACCCGAAAGACAAGGGAATAGAGGCATACTCTGGATCTTAGTATATGAGGTGGTCCGGGCATGTTATTTTGAAAAGCATGCCACCCAACATCATGGCACCACCCCGAACCTCAACCCTAAACCCTAAAACCTAACCTCAGAGTCCTAAATCCTAACGCCTGTAAGCTGCCCAAAGTTGCCCAGAGCCCACACCCAAATGCAGGTTTCCGAAAAGAGGGGTACCCTTTTTTGGGGTTCCTTTAAAAGAAGTGTATAGTATTTTGGGGTATATACTCCCTTAAGAACCCCATACTCCTGAAAGCCTCCACGCTAGATCTTCGCAAGGTATGGGGCGCTGCCTTAGCCCCTGCCCCTCAAACCTTAGCCCCCCCCACCCCCCCCGAGTTCCCAAACTCCTAAACTTTGAGCCTATGGCTGGTACCCTGAACCCTAAACCCTAAACCCTAAACCCTAAACCCTAAACCCTAAACCCTAAACCCTAAACCCTAAACCCTAAACCCTAAACCCTAAACCCTAAACCCTAAGCCAGCGGATGGCAGCACAGGATCCCAATTCCAAACCCTGAACCGCCTCAAGGTCCTAAACCCTAAACCCGCAACCCTAAACCCAAAACCACTTTTCAATCCTAGACCCTGAACCCTAAACCCTAAACCCCAAACCCTAAACCCTGAACCCTAAACCCTAACCCTAAACCCTAAACCCTAAACCCCAAACCCCAAACCCCAAACAAGCTGTGGTCTTTGCAGGCGCCAAGTTGCCCCAGACTCCCATTGTGGGCCTCACCTTTGGGGACAAAGTCCTTTTGGAAAGATCTCTTTTGGGGGCGAGAGAAGGTTTAGGGTTTAGGGTTTAGCACAAAGCTTGGCTGCACTTAGCAGGGTAGCTATAAATTAAATTTTTAGCTGCCTTCTTAAGAAGCCCAATAAGCCCAAAAAGGCTGAGGATCTAAAGTTACAGTAAAGCACCACAAAGATATGGTCGCTTCTCTAAAATACGGTCCCTCTCGGGGGGTCCTTACTATAAGGCGGCCCCTCTTATTTAGGGTAAACAAAAAGGGACCAGCATTTTGAGAAGTGACCGCATGGGTAGTTCACTACCTAAATTGGGGTCCCTATTTGGGTGCCCCTACATAGTGCAGCACCCTTAAAAATAAGCAGCCCAACAGTGGGACTCAATTTTGGACAAGCACCCATAGAACCTGACTGCACGAGTTAGCCTCTTCTACTAGGGCAACTTGTTTTGGGAGGAGGTGGGGGGGGCGGGGGGGGGGGGGGGGGGGGGGGGGGTCCGTACGTATGCCTATGGGTAGGGTTTGGGTTTAGGGTTTAGGGGTTAGGGTTTAGGGTTTAGGGTTTAGGGTTTAGGGTTTAGGGTTTAGGGTTTAGGGTTTAGAGTTTAGGGTTTAGGGTTTAGGGTTTAGGGTTTAGGGTTGAGGGTTGAGGGTTGAGGGTTGAGGGTTGAGGGTTGAGGGTTGAGGGTTGAGGGTTGAGGGTTGAGGGTTCCTATACTCTCAACTCTAAACCCACCACTACCCTTATGTACCATAAACATCCCTAAACCCTGGACCCCTAAACCCTAAACTCTAAACCCTATACCCCAAAGCCAAAGCCCCAAACCCCAAACTCGCGTCCTCCGGAGCCAAACCCAGGCAGCGGCCGCGATGTTGCCTCCGCCGGACCCATGTGGAAACCTCAGCTGCCGAAAAGGGCGATCAGGGTTTGGGGTTTAGGATTTAGGGTTTAGGGTACGATGTGTGTGTATATATATATATGTATGCATGCTGGTACGTATATGACTCTGTATATATATGTATGATGATGATGATTTATCTAAGTGATGGTCCCTTTGAGATCCCTACTATACTTCGGCCCCCAATATTTAAGGCATCCACAAGCGGGACCATTGCGTTGAGAACTGACTATATTATGCACACATATATCTATATATATATATATATATATAAATATCTATTACGACTGTCTGTATGCATGTATGTTTGTCTAGACCAAGGAGTAACCTAGGAATAAAAAGGGTAGCCTTTTTGGTTTAGAGGGGTTTGTAAGGGAAACTACACCCAAAATGGGAATAAGGGCCTTCTCTGGGGAATAAGGCCCTACTCTGATGTTTGCCCTTTGTAGGGGTTACTCGGGGTTTAGGGTTTAGGGCTTAGGGCTTAGGGCTTAGGGTTTAGGGTTTAGGGTTAAAGTTTAGGGTTTAGGGTTTAGTAGTCTGTAGGGTGCGCAGGGTGTGTTTGTGCATCGGGTTGGTGCAAAGCTTGACGAGTCGCAGTGTCAGGTGTAATGGACCCCAAACCCTTAGGGGTTTAGGGTTTAGGGTTTAGGGTTTAGGGTTTAGGGTGAGGCCCTTAGTAAACCTGACAACTAGGCCTCATTGGTACACCAAACATCCTCCACCAGACCCTAGTCCCACAAACTGAGTAACTGCCCTACAAGCCATACAAACCCTATTCTATAAACCCTAAACCCTAAACCCTAAACCCTAAACCCTAAACCCTAAACCCTAAACCCTAAACGATAAGGCCGGCGGACAGTGTCCATCGTTCGCCGCCACTGCGCGTCGTAGGTAAAAGCCTCAGCGAGCCACAACGGTTTCGGGTTTAGGCTTTGGGGTATAGGGTTTAAGGTCTAGGGTTTAGGGTTTGGGGTTTAGGGTTTGGGGTTTAGGGTTTGGGGTTTAGGGTTTGGGGTTTAGAGTTTGGGGTTTAGGGTTTCGGGTACCCTCTTCTGCGGGCCTTGGATTTAGGGCTTCGGTGTTGGCACTTTCCAGTGTCGGAAGTGGTCAGAACTTCGGGGAAGTGTTTCCTAAACCCTAAACCCTAAGCCCTCCTAGTTGCTGAGTACCCTTGGCCAGAAAGGTTAACCTTCCAAATATGGTAGGATTACAGAAACGCGGAAAGGTTCAAGGTTACCTACTCAGCTACGAAGGTTTAGAGTTTAGAGACTAGACCCAAGAGTACCCCAGGAATAAAATGATTTAAGCCCGCACCTAAAACATGGGAATAAGGGCCTACTCTGGGTCCTAGGTGTTAATTCCGGGGCAACCTCCGCCGTTCGGCACAACAGGGTTTCGGGCTTTATAGGGTTTAGGGTTTTATCAGTGTTTAGGTTTCGGAGTCAAACGTTTCGAAAGCATGTGTGTGTGTCCATGGAGCCGATACACACTAAACGCGCGGAGCTGGGTATGTATGTATATATATATATTATATTATATATATATATATATTATATAAGCAGAGGTAGAAAGCGGTAGCAAGTGGTAAGGAGTAGCAAGAAGCAAGTAGTAAGTAGTAAGCAGTAAGCAGCAAGTAGTAAGTGAACCTACGAGTTTCTCTCTTGAAGGTTTAGGGAGCATGGTTTAAACCCTAAACCCTAAACCCTAAAGTGATCAAAGGATCCCACACCCTTCAAAACTATTTCTTCGTTATGATAACAGTTTGAATATTGGAAGTACTCCACCCAGAAGTAACATATTCAGGTAGCCTGTTTAGGGTTTTGGGTTTAGGGTTTGGGGTTTAGGGTTCAGTATGTATGTATGTATGCATGTATGTATGTGTGTATGTATGTATGTATGTATGTATGTATGTATGTATGTATGTATGTATGTATGTATGTATGTATGTATGTATGTATGCGCACAGAGCGTTCGGCAGTCATCACAAAAACTAGCATAGCTTTGTGAATGTGCAACACGCAGGGTTTCATGCATGCAGTCCATTTCCTTCTTTGCCTGACTCCCACCTTTTGCATAATGATGCGAACTCCTATTTCTAATTTCGATTTGAAACCCTAAACCCTAAACCCTAAACCCTAAACCCAAAACCCAAAACCCAAAACCCAAAACCCTAAACCCTAAAACCCTACACCCTCAACCGCACCGGGCCCTAACCGCACCGGGCCCTTGGCGAATGCATACTGCCAGCCGTTCTCGTCCGTCTCCGCATTGACCACGACCTGGCGGTCTAAGGCAAAACGTAGCTCCATAGGGCTTAGGGCTTTAGTTTTTTCTTTTCAGAAAAGTCTGCTAAGCCCAATAAACCCTAAACTCAAACCCTAAAACCCTAAACCCCCAAAACTTCAAAACACCAAAACCCGAAACAATCCTGTCCCGAGCCGGTCTATAGTGAGTGCGGCGAAGCCAATGAAGTCTAAGACCTCTGGGAGGAGGGGGAGCGTGGTCCTTTGCAAGGCTAAGCCAATGGCCGTGCATTCAAAACGCTTGCCCACTGCGGTGCAAAGTCTTCGCCACTTGCTGGCCACCTGAGTCGCAGAAGTTCACCACGAGGCTCCAGCGCTTGGGAAGGGGGGACTCAATAAAGTTCCCCAGAGTGGTCACACGATCAGGCAACAACGTATGCTGCAAAATGGTGGAGAGGATGGCAGGTTCCAGCCCCTGCAAACCAGGAATCTCACCGGAAGTGCGTGTAGCTAGGTCCAGCGTGTTGACAGCGGACTGCCGCCGAGTGCCGCCAGAAACTACCAAGAACTCAAGCGACCTCATACCCTAAACCCTAAACCCTAAACCCTAAAACCTGGCCAGCTCAATCCGCTTCGTGGAAAGCACAATACCGTGCACGCCCGAGGCAATTGGATGCCAAACTTGCGTTCAAGCCCCGAAAAGTCGAGGTCGAGATCCATCTGGGGTTTGGGGCTTAGGGTTTAGGGTTTAGGGTTTAGGGTGTAGGGTTTAGGGCCCCATAGGGGCTTTTTATGGCTTTTGGGGCTTTCAGCTTCGGGGCTTCGTCATGAAAGTCCACCAAGCCCTATAAACCCTAAACTCTTTTAAGCCCTAAACCCTAGAACCCTGAAACCCTAAGGCTCTAAGCCCCTAAACCCTAAACCCTAAACCCTAAACCCTCAACCCTAAACCCTAAAACCCTAAAAACCCTAACATCCTAAATCCTAAGCCCTCATGCCGCTGAAGCCCTTTAAGCCCTATGACCCCCGAGGCCCCTGTGGTGCCTTGTTGAGCCGCACAAAAGGGGCTGGAGTCGCTTCGAACCCTTAACCCTAAACCCTAAACCCTCAACCCTCAACCCTAAACCCCAAACCCCGAACCCTAAACTTACCCTGAAACCCTAAGACGGGCTGGGGGAGTTGGGACTCACGTATTTAGAGTTTAGGTCTTTGCTGCAATTTGGTGGTTTCGTGCCGGCCCCTCAAAGGTCTATGGTTGGGGCCGGGGGTAGAGGGGGAAGGGGGGGGGGGGGGGGGGGCGATGGGAAACCCTAAACCCCAAACCCTTTACCTAAACCCCAAACCCTGAACCCTATAAACCCTAAACCCTGAACCCTACACCCACCACTTCGAGTGACTCCTCCTGCACCCCCGATCCCAACACACCCTTGTCCGTGTAGTGGAAGGCGTGGTTTGCGTTTAGGGTTAGGGTTTAGGGTTTAGGGTTCAGGGTTCAGGGTTTAGGGTCCCCAACTACCTGCAGCAGCTTAGGATATCTTGCAAGTGGCACCCCATGCAGCTATGCAGGAGGCTCAAGCCCTATATAAAGCCCACGAAGCCCTTTTCGGGTTACATGGGACGGGGGGATCCCCAGAAAACGGCACTTGTTTGGGGTCTCTGCAAAACGGATTCTAGTCTTTGTACATGAAAAGGACGAAATATATAAAAAGGACAAGTTACTGGGTCAGAAGCAGCCCCTCTACTGGTCGACAGCAGGCCTCCCACTGGTAGCGATACCGCTGGTCGCCGAGGTAGAAGAAAGCCTGGCGCACCGGAGCTCATGGTGGCTTGGGGGCTTTAGGGTTTGGGGTTTGAGGTTTAGGGTTTAGGGTTTAGGGTTTGGGGTTGAGGGCTTAGGGGCTAGGGTTTAGGGTTTTGCTGTAAGACTTACTTCGTACATCTCAAAAGGCCACTATACCCAATCAGCATGGCACATTTCCCCTTTCTAAAGGGTTACGTAAGCTCCTGAAGGCAGCTGGAAAGTCGGGTCTTTGGGTTCAGGCCCCGGTCTGGGGGTTTAGGGTTGAGGGTTGAGGGTTTTGTGGGTTTAAGGTTGAGGGTTGAGGGTTTAAGGTCTAGGGTCGGATTTGTTTTTGGGTTTATCAAAAAGGGTACCCCCCTGAACCCTAAACCGTAAACCGTGAACCATAAACCCGAAACCCTCGACCCTAAACCCTAAACCCTAAACCCTAGACCCTAGACCCTAAACCCTAAACCATCCTAAACCCCAAACTCCATGGATGCCTGGGGCCAACCGCACTCTTTGCCGAAGGCGTCCATGAACGGCGGCACATCGAAACCTGCCAACCAGAGAAGCCCCCCCCCCACCAACAAATGACAACAAAACACAGAAACAAAATAGGGTTCAGGGTTTAGGGCTTAGGGTTCAGGTTCAGGGTTTGGGGTTTAGGGTTCAGGGTTTAGGGTAACAATGGCTTCCTGAATTCATACATTACCCTTTAAGGTGGGAACTAAACGAGATGTATATTCCTACATAGGTTAGGGTTTTGGGAAGATTAAAGCTTGAGAAGTCCCTGAACTCCCAGTCTCTCCACTTCTTGATTCTCTTGAAGTCTTTGCATAGTTCAACGAGCTGTTTTGGCCCACATTCTCCTCCTCCCGCCGTGCCTCTCTCTCCCTCTCCCTCTCTCTGTCTCCGTTCTTTCTCGGTCTCGCTCTCTCCATCTCGCCATCTCGCCATGTTTCTCTGTCTCTCTTTCATTTTCTTCTTCTTCTTCTTTTTACTCTTCTTCTTCTTATTCTTCTTCTTCTTCTTTTTGCTCTTCTTCTTCTTGTTCTTCTTTTTACTCTGCTTCTTCTTCTGAGAGGCATCAACGCGTGGAGGTCTCCCCACCCCCCCCGGCGCGCAATGCATGCCCGAGCTAACAGGCTGGTCAGTGCGACACATGGTTCTCTGTCTCCTTCTCTTGTTATGGTTGTTTGTCCATATTCTCTCGCTCTCTCCCCTTTTGTTTTTTTTCTTTCACTCTCTCTCTCCCGCACACTCGCTTTTGCCTCCGTGATGTAATTTGTGCATACAGACTTGTACCTGCTTGCTGCTGCAGTTCGCAACTCATGGACGAGCCCATGCAACGTATGTGCAGGAACACCCTCGGACAGAATACGTTGGCCAACCGCCAAGTGAGAAAATTTGAGGCAGCACCCGCACCGAGGCCTTGAAAAATAACGTTTAAGAGCCTCCCGCAAACCACACTTATTCAACCCGAAGCCCCAAACCCCAAACCCTAAACCCGAAGTCCTAAAGCCCTGGAATATGTGTCAACTCTGGATGCCTCGCAGACAAGCGCATGTGGCACCCTAAGCCACAGCCCCTAAACCCTGAACCCTAAACCCTAAACCCTTAACCCTTAAATCTTAAACCCTAAACCCGGGACTAAACCCTAGAAGGAAGTCGCATAGCGGAGTCCCCCACCTTCGATGAGGTAGTCGCAGCTGAAGCCGCCGAACATAAACCGCCGCTCCTTGTTTAGGGTTTAGGGTTTAGGGTTTAGGGCTAGGGTTTAGGGCTAGGGCCTAGTGGTTTGGGGATTAGGGGGGGTTTAGGGTTTAGGGCTAGGGTTTAGGCGAGGGCTTCGTGCTTTGGGGATGAGGGGTTAGGGGTTTAGGGTTTAGGGCTTTGGGGTTTAGGGCTTCCGGGGTTTAAGGGTCTAGTGCTTTGGAGGTACAGCGGTCAGGGCTTAGGGGTTTAGGGATTCGTTGCGGGGTTTGGGGTATAGCGATTCGGGGCTTGGGGTTTGGGGTTTGGGGTTTAGGGTTTAGGGTTTGGGGTTTAGGGTTAAGGACTTAGGTTCAGGGTTAAAGGCTCAGGGTTTCGGGGTTTAGGGTGATGCCTAGACAGCCTTTATGTCCTCCTCATGCTCATGACCCTGAAAGAGCCTAAACCACCTATCACCCTAAACCTTAAACCCTACACCCTAAGCCCTAAACCCTAAACCTTACGCCCTCCATCGCGAAGGGCAAGTTCCCCGGCCCTAGTATCTTTCCTGAAATTCTACCTTGTACCCTTTGGTTTGGGGACCCTTCCTCACATTCATGCAAAGCCGGTCTTAGGAGCAGATTAAGGGAAACCTGGAGGGGTACAACCTTGGGGGTACGGCTCTTACACCCTCCAAACCCTAAACGCCCTAAGCCCCCTGGAAATATCGTGGTTTTCCCTACCACCCCCTTCTTTCCTCTCCCCCGAGGTTCCCCCCTTAAATCACCTTTATTAGGCCTAAATATCCCTAAATAGCCTTGATTATGGGCGGAACTAGGGGGGGGTAGCATGGAGGGGGTGGTAGGGGAACCCATGAAAATACTCTCACGTGTTTGCTATTACAGACCCTAATACCCTCTAAGGATACCGTATTTGGGGGGAGCTTTTGTAGGGGATCCGAAGTATGGGCCCTTAACTTGGGTCCCCTCTTATGTAATCCTTATATGCACTATACAAAAATAAGGCCCACACCTCGGATCCCTTCAAGCCCCTTTGAACAAGGGTAAGGGACCACCAGGGGCCCATGGTTCCAACCTCAGATTTTGGGCTTGGGGTTTAGGGGGCTTGCTTTGGGCTTAGGGGGCTTGTAGGTTTAGGGTTTAGGGTTTAGGGTTTAGGGTTTAGGGTTTAGGGTTTAGGGTTTAGGGTTTAGGGTTAGGGTTTAGGGTTTAGGGTTTGCTTGTAGGTTTAGGGTCAAGGGTGCTGGGTCAAGGCTGAAAGAAGCCGCGACTCTGCTTCCCAGATGACCACATCCGGTGCATCGCACTGGGTGTTTGCAGAGGTGCCGGACTTCCTGCCGCAAGCACTGGGTTTAGGGGGGGGTTTAGGGTTTAGGGTTTAGGTTTAGGGTTTAGGGTTTAGGGTTTAGGGTTTAGGGTTTAGGGTTTATGGTTTAGGGTTTAGGGTTTAGAAAACCACAAACCTAAATTCGATAACCGTAAACGGCTCAAGGCCTTGGGGTTCTGCGCCCTGGCGTTCGCTCAGAGGCAGTGACCTAAGGAATGAACAAAAGGGGTGCCCTTGTTGGTTTTGGTTCCCTAAACCCTAAACCCTAAACCCTAAACCCTAAACCCTAAACCCTAAACCCTAAACCCTAACCAGGGACCCGAAACCCTGAAACAAGGGAAGAAGGGCCTGCTCTGAGTCCTATGGGATGGGGTCATACACCAGCGTGCTGCGCTTCGGAGTCAAGGATTCAACGCCCAAACCCTAAGCCCTAAGCCCTAAGCCCTGAACCCTAAACCCTAAACCCTGAACCCTAAACCCTAAACCCTAAACCCTAAACCCTAAACCCTAAACCCAAGACTGGGAGGGGTGGCGGTCACTGAGGAGAGTCATGGGGCTTCAAGAACTGTCTTCAAGAGCATGCTGGGGGTGGCGTGGGTTCAGTCACGGCTCAGGATTTAAGATATGGGGTTTAGGGTTTAGGGTTTAGGGTTTAGGGTTTAGGGTCCTGAAGTCGCCACCAGTTCCATGTTGGGGCTTGTTGTCGCTGCTCTGCCATGAGGGAGTAGGGTGTAGGGTTTAGGGTTTAGGATTTGGGGTTTAGGGTTTAGGGTTTAGGGTACCCTCAGGGAAAACCTTTCCGGAGGCTGCAGGGCTTAGTGCGGCCCTGATATCCTTGTCTAAGCCCTGAAGCCCAAACCCCAAACCCCAGCAGAGTTTCTTGGTAACCCAGGGTTAAGGGTTTAGGTTTTAGGGTTTAGGATTGAGGGCTGTAACTGTATTGCAGTAGGAGTACCCTTTTTTTCGGGGGTTGAGGGAACCTTGAAACCCCACCAAAAAGGGAAAATGGTACCTTTGGGCTACCAAGATTTCGAGCCATTCAGCCCGATGCTACGATGGATGTAGGACATCCTGCAGCACCTACCAGTAGGGTTTCGGGTTTAGGGTTTAGGGTTTAGGGTATAGCAAAACTTTGTGCAAACGACTCTGCCCCTGCTATCCCCCTGCTTTTAAACATTGGCTCTTAAACCCTGTAAGCCGTATACCTCGAGTGTCATGTTGAGGCGCAAGATTTCCTCCGTCGACGCTACGGACTCTTCAGTGCAAATGCAAGAAATCCTAAACCCCCGACCCCTACATCCTAAACCCTAAACCCTAAACCCTAGACCCTAAACCCTAAACCCAAAACCCTAAACCCGAAACACCCTCAGCCGCACTGCGCCTGGCTGCATGATCCGGCCCTCGATTCGACTCAGCGGGAAAGGCCCCCGGAGGGGAGACCTGGCAATAGGGGTGCGACGGGGTTAGGGTTTAGGGTGTAGGGTTCCAAAATCCTAACCTTTTCAAGGGTTTGGAAAGGTTCTTGGGTTTAATATAGGGGCCTTAATAATTAGAATAGGGTTTTGGGGCTATTATAGTATAGTTACAAAGGGAGCCGAAGGGAATACTATTAGTAATGACTCCGACCCTTATTTTCGGGTTTTCGGGCTGCTTCAGTAGGTCTTGAAGGTTTCAGCGAATTTTGCTTTGTGGAGCCGCGGTTGGGGAGTGCGAGGGTGGGGGGAGGGGGGCGGGGAGGTGAGAAACCCTAAACCCTAAACCCTAAACCCTAAACCCTAAACCCTAAACCCTAAACCCTAAGTCAGGTTCCCCAAGCCCGGTAAACCCCAGATCCCAACTGCCGGAACCTGCCAGCCTCTAATTCCCCCAATCACCGAAATCCTAAACCCTAAACCCTAAACCCTAAACCCGAAACCCTAAACCCTAAACCCTAAACCCTAAACCCTAAACCCTAAACTAAGTGAGGGGTCGCTTCCGTCGAGCGACAGACCCCGAACGCTCGGCCGAGGGCCTTACAGCCCGAGCGCCCAAGCGAAAAGAGAAACGGAAAGGTGAGGGTTAAGCCTCACCGTCTGTCCTGGACAGGCCAACGGACATCGGCCTTTTTTACGACAACGTCAGTACTCGGCTAAGGGATGGCCGGCACCCAGACCACCTTTAGCGCAGCTAAAGTATAACCCCAAATCGTAACCCTTTGCCTCTGGAGGTCGGTTCAGGGTTTTGGGTTCAGGGTTTGCCGGCACCCCTGCCCCGGGCCCCCTGGCCCCTGGTGGCTGGATTCCTGGACCAGGAGGCTGGCGAGGGGGTCCGGCAGGCTGGTTGCTCAATTTCGTGATTCCTGGCTTTTCGGGCCCCCCAGGCCAAGGGTCCCCCGGCCAAGGGCCCCCCGGGCCAAGGGCCCCCCGGGCCAAGGCCCCGTGGGCGCCAAGGGCCTTGGCCCACCCCAATGCAAGGGCCCCCAAGGACCTTTTGTGGGCCGCCCCCGAGCCAAGGGCCCCCCGTACCAAGGACCCCCCGGGCCAAGGACCCCCCGGGCCAAGCGCCCCCCAAACCAAGGCGGCCCCCCAAACTAAGGCAATTAGAGGCAGGGCCAAGGGCCCCCAAAAGGGGTTCCGAGCCAAGGGTTCCCTATTCCAACGACCCCCCACTTCCATAGCCAAGGGCCCCCGAGCCAAGGGCCCCGGGCCAAGGGTCTTCCGGGCCAAAGGCCCCGGCCCAAGGGCCCCCCAACAAGGGCCCCAGGCCAAGGGTTTTTTGGCCTCTGGAGGCGCCAAGAGCCCCCTAAAGGCTTCAAAAGCTTCAAAAGGCCCACTAAAGGAAGGGGGACCACAAGATTTGTCCGTGCCCACAATGAAAAATGCGATTTTTTAATATTGAAAACGATGGTTTTAGGCACCCCTGCCCGCAATGAAAAATGTTCTTTTTAAATACTGAAATCGATGGCTCCCCCCAAATCAGCAAGGACCTCTACGGGCCCCCAACCTAAACTCTGACACCGCAAAACCCTACGACAACCTTCAAGTAAATAAGGGCCTTCACGGGCCCTAACGTGCCGAAGGCCCGAAAAGGGCCGAGGCTACCCCGAACCCGAGCTTAAACCCTAGCGATTGAAATACTCATTAGCGAAAAATTCATTAATAGGTTCCCTGACCTTTAAATGAATAAAACCTCTGACACGCCGAAGGTCCGAACAAGGCCCCGAGAGACCCCAAGAGCCACCAAAATGCTTCAAAAGGCTTCAAAAGGCCCCCTAAAAGAAGGGGGACCCCAGGATGCCCGTACCCGCAATGAAAAATGCGATTTTTTGGTAGTGAAATCGATGCTAAATTGAGGCCCTTAAAGAAGGGGAATCCAGGAGCAGACACAAAGGGTTTCCCTGACCTTCAAATAAATAAGGGCCTCTACGGGCCCTGACACGCCGAAGGCCCGAAAAGGGCCGAGGCTACCCCCAACCCTAGCTTAAACCCTAACAGCGCAACTTTAAAAACATCAAAGCAAGCATCAGAGCACAAGAAAGTAAATTCCATAAACCCTAAACCCTAATAGAGTATAGTTTGGGTGGCCGGGGTGGGTTGACGGGCAACGCGAGCGCGCGGCCCGGGGTGTTTCACACCCGAGCGCGCGCCCTCCCCTGACACACCCTAAACCCTAAACCCTAAACCCCAACCCTACACCCTAAACCCGAAACCCTAAACCCCCCAAACCTCCAAGCCGGTAGATTCTAAACAAGAATTTCAGTACCGTTCGCAGCCGAAAAACCCTCAACCAGCACCCTCAGCTGAAGCATTGAACGCCCTATAAGGGCAACGTATGTATTTTATTGTTTATTACTATTATTTTTTGGGGGGTGCTTAAGCACATAGTAGCCTAAACCCTAAACCCTAAACCCTAAACCCTAAACCCTAAACCCTAAACCCTAAACCCTAAACCCTAAACCCTAAACCCTAAACCCTAAAACCCTAAACCCTAAACCCCAAAACCCTAAAACCCTGAACCCTAAACCCCGAACTCCTATAAATGCATCCGTCAAGAGAGGCCACCGCCTCAACATCGGAGGAGCCCGCTGGCGCCTGGAGCCGGTGTTTAGGGTTTAGGGTTGGGTTTAGAGTTTAGGGTTGAGGGTTTGGGGTTTAGGGTTTGGGGTTGGGGTTTAGGGTTTGGGGCTTAGGGTTTGGGGTTAGGGGTCTGGGGTCTTGGGGATTGGGGTTTAGGGGTTATTGTGGTTGTGCAAGTTGGTGTTAAGATAAGGCTCAGGGTTTAGGGCTTGGGGGTCGGGGCGATTAGGTTGTCAGGCTGGCCTAGCAGAGACCTCTAAATTTGAAATCGCAGCAATTACCCACCAACAAAAAGTGTACGCGTGAATAACAAAGCAGTAGCAATAATGATGTTTATGAAGTGAAATAGTAAGAATAGTAAGAAACGCAAGAATGGTATGAACCATAAACACAGCAATAAGAATAAACAACGTAAGACTGTAATGCATGGTAAGAACAGCCATGAGAGTAATTAAGGTAATTATGGCAATATTTGTGTAAGAGAAAGGACATAGTACTAAGAGCATGAAAGATGAGACAATTACATACGTTAGTACTATTCAGAAAATTGGTGCCTGTAAAAAAAGCAATAATGCCCAGCAATAGGCGCAATAATTGTACTACTAGATAATGCTGAAAACACATTATTTCTTATTTAATGAAAGCAACCATCGTAATCATACAGTAACAAATACTAGACAATACTAGTTAATGATGGTGATCATGGACTACGAGGGACCTGACGTCCGACAAAAAACCTTCGGAACCCATGGCTTTGGTTTCCTCCTGAGGCAATGAAGACTCCTGTGTTTAGGGTTTAGGGTTTAGGGCTGAGGTGCTGAGGTGCTGAGGGCTTCCAAGCCGATTTCCCCGCCTTGTCTTCCTTCTTCGGGCGCAGGTCGAGCGTGCGCTTGAGGAGCAGTGCGATCAGAATGGACAAGGACCAGCGCCAGAAGACTAGAAACCTGCCAGCACTAGAAGCCTCAGACGCCCGCAGCCCCAACTTCAAACCCCAAATCCCTACAACCAAGCCCGATCACTTTGCATGGCTCTTCATGAATACTTCCTTCAACAAAAGCGAGATGGTCCCCAGAGCCATGCCTGACTAACCCTAAACCCTACAACCCCGAAACTCCTGGAGCCTTGACCTCAAAACCCTACGGTGTGCCGACATATTCGTGAATGCTATGAGCACAATCAGGCCAATAAGCCTACATAGACCTCTGCAAACAGGTCAAGTCCCGAACCCCATTCAGAACCTAAACCCTGAACCCGAAACCCTAGGCCCTAAGCCCTGCATCGTCAAACTCCATCATTGCCTGAACTCTTAATCCCACGCCCTACTTCTACCAAACGTTACCTCAAAACCCAAAACCCTAAACTCCGCACCCCAAGTCCAAATCCCTAAACCCTAAACCCTAAACCCTAAACCCTAAACCCCAAACCCCAAGTCCAAGTCCCTGTAACTTATAACCCTCCCAAGCTGCACTGTGAACCCCTCTGGACCTCCGGCTAGCGCGCGCTTGGCACGATCTCAGGCCCCAAGACCCAAACGGTATTCTGGGGGTTTTACGATGTAGAGTTCAGGGTTTAAGTTTTGGGGTTCGGACCTTGACAGGCTTGCACGCCCTAACCCTAAACCCTATACAATACCCCCACCTCCCAAAAATGCAGCTGGGCCAACGCCCTCGTGATTCCGATCTTTGCGTTCAATGCTGCCAGGGCGCCAGACTTCCAGAAACAGCAGCCAGCCAACCGAGTACCAGAAGGATTCCCACTGGATGACGTAGATGACGTTCATCTGCCTAAGGGTTTAAGGTTTCGGGTTTAGCGTCTAAGGTTTAGGGTTCAGATTCTAGGGCCCTGCAAAAGGGAGAACGGGTTTCAAGGGGCGCAGGCAACCCAATCTTGGCTGCACTTAGGAGGGTAGTAAAAAAACAAACTTTTAGCTGCCTTATTAAGAAACCCAATAAACCCAAAAAAGCTAAAGATCTAAAGTTACAGTAAAGCACCACAAAGCAATGTTTCCTAATGTTTCCACCATAAACTGCAAAGCCCATCTCTGCCCCAACGAACACTCAACCCTTTAGGGTTTAGGATTTAGGGTTTAGGGTTCAGGGCTTAGGGTTTATCCTTAACCCTCCGCAACCTGCTCTCACTCACTTCACATCCCAAACCCTAAGCCCTAAACCCTAAACCCCCTACACCCGAAACCCGCAACACGAACACCCATCGGCCCCTAAACCCTAAAACCTAAACCCTGAACCCTAAACCCTGAACCCTAAACCCTAAACCCTAAAACCCAAACCCTAAACCCTAAACCCTAAACCCTATACCCTAAACCCTGAACGTACTGAACGTCCAAGCTAATGCTTTTCAGGCGTCCATCGACCGAAGACCATCTGGATGAGCTCGACCAGCCGGCCTCTGCTTCGGGTTTAGGGTTTAGGGTTTAGGGTTTAGGGTTTAGGGTTTAGGGTTTAGGGTTTAGGGCTTAGGGCTTAGGGCTTAGGGTTTAGCGCTTAATTGGGGTTTTGGGTTTTGGGTTTAATTAGGGTGTAGGGTTTGGCGTTTAAACAGGGTTTAGGGTTTGACTAGGGTTTAGGGTTTAGGGTTTAGGGTGTAGGCTTACTTCCAGGAAAAGCTATATAACAATTAGTAGGGTACCTGGCACCCCCTCATTTCCCACGAATCGAGTGAGCTGAAATTCTGAGGAGCCACCCCTAAACCCTAAACCCTAAACCCTAAACCCTAAACCCTAAACCCTAAACCCTAAACCCCAAAAAGCCACGAGCTGATGTGCGCTTCTGCGGGGGTTTGGATGGGCTTAGGGTTTAGGGTTTAGGGCTTAGGGTTTAGGGTTTAGGGCTTAGGGTTGGCTTCGGGCTTAGGGCGTAGGGTTTAGGGTTGAGGGTTCAGGGACTCTGTTGAGGGGTACTTTCTTGTGAGGTTTTAGATGCATTCATACAGAAGCTTTCCTGCACAAGAAGTGAGGGCACCGGTGTAAGCCCAAGCCCTCATGCTTTGAGACTTCAAGCACGAATCCCTGGACCCCAAGCCCGAAATGGAGGGGACCCCTAAATTAGACCCCCCCCCCCCCCAAAATAGTAGGATTCCCTTGTAAACAGGACCCCAATAAGGTACCCCGACTTTCGGAAAAGCCCATATGATTTTGGCTTAGAGGGTTTAGTTTTTAGGGCTTTGGGTTGACTAAGGAGTGTATCCACAAACACCGCCAGGTGCGTCGCCTCCCTGGTTGGGTTGCGCCGGTTACGGTGCTGCTTTGGGCCTTCCTCTTGGGCTTCTTGGCCCCGCTTGCGATCGTCGCGCGCCGCCATGCCGCACTACCGACAGAGGCCGGTCTTGCTCTTGCCGCAGACGTAGTTCCCGCAGCCCTCGTAGTTCTTGCACTTACGCAGGAAGAAACCCTAAACCCTAAACCCTAAACCCTAAACCCTAAACCCTAGACCCTAGACCCTAAACCCTAAACCCTAAACCTCTCCTCCTTCCAAGCCGGTGTCTTGGCGGGCCAAGCCTTCGCCATTGCCCTTCTTCGAGTTGCCGCTGCGGTCGCTGGCCGTTTCAAGTGCCACAAGTACCAAAAGCTTAGGGACTTATGAGGGCGCCACGGTTTAGGGTTTAGGGTTTAGGGTTTAGGGCTTAGCAGGCTTAGCAGTCAGGGTAAGAGGCTTCATGACTTCTGGTTTGGGGGGTATCGGGTTTTGGGTTGTAGGGAATAGGTGTTGAGGACCCCAGGGCGCTATGTAGCTTCCCCAGCAACCTGGTTTCGGGTTTAGGGCTATCCTGTAGACCCTACACCCTAAACCCTAAACCCTTTAAACACCTAGTTTCACGCGAATATGGGAAGACAAGGGATTCCAAGAGGGACCTCTACCCTACACATCCCGAAGCCCCAAAGCCGTCCAGAGCTCCCTGTACACCTAAGAAGCCCCGCAGAATGGGTTTAGGGTTTATGGTTTTAGGGTTCGGGTTTGGGGTTTAGGGTTTAGGGTTGAGGGTTTGGGTTTAGGGTTAGTTTAGGGTTTAGGGTTTAGGGTTTAGGGTTCAGGGTTCAGGGTTCAGGGTTCAGGGTTTAGGGTTTAGGGTTTAGGGTTTAGGGTTTAGGGTTTGGGGTTTAGGGTTTAGGGTTCAGGGTTAAGGGTTCAGGGTTTACGGTTTAGGGTATAGGGTTTAGCGTGTAGGGTGTAGGGTTTAGGGTCTAGGGTTTAGGGTGTAGGGCTTAGAGCTTAGGGCTTAGGGTTTTGTTCCCCCGAAAAGGCGGCAACGGACGCCCAAAAGGACCTACTCAAGGCTTTCCGGGAAACAGCCGGCGGGTTTAGGGGTTCAGGGTTAGGGTTAGAGGTTTAGGGGTGTAGCGGTTCAGGGTTCAGGGTTTAGAGGTTTAGGTTGGAATGTTCCCCCTTATGCTAGCAGTCCTGAATTGGGATTCTCGTACCCCTTACTATAATCCGATTAGGGACTGTTAGTATAAGGGGACATGCCACCCTAAAAGGACCCATACTAAGGGGGAACATTCCAACCCTTACCCTAAACCCTAAACCCTAGACCCTAGACCCTAAACCCTAAACCCTAAACCCTAAACCCTTACGTCCCAAGGTTTAGGGGCTTAGGGGTGGGTTTCAGTGCAGCGGCTGATCTGTTTCTCAAGATCCTCCCAGTTCAGTCCGGCCTCTGGCTGGGTTTAGGGTTTAGGGTTTAGGGTTTAGGGTTTAGGGTTTAGGGTTTAGGGTTTAGGGTTTAGGGTTTAGGGTTTAGGGTTTAGGGTTTAGGGGTTAGGGTTTTTAGGGTTTAGGGTTTAGGGTTTAGGGTTTAGGGTTTTAGGTTAGGGTTTTAGGGTTTAGGGTTTAGGGTTTAGGGTTTAGGGTTTTAGGGTTTTTTTAGGGTTTAGGGTTTAGGGTTTTGGTTTTGGGGGTTTGGGGGCTTACGGCCAGAGGGGGGGGGTGGGGGGGGGGGGGCGTGGGCGGAGCGGGTGTGGGCAGGGGGGGTCAGGGGGCAGGTTCGAGGGGGGGCGGGCCCTATAAAAAATATAAAAACTTATTCTATGGCTTCGATAAGAATTATGTATGGATCAGAGGGCACAATATATATATATATATATAGAGAAGTATAAACATACTTCTCGAAACCCTAAACCCTAAACCCTCAACCCCTGTGTAGGCTCTTGGTTTCGGGTTTAGGGTTTAGGGTTGGTTTACGAATACTGTGATAAGGTCCGAGGGTTTTCGGGCTCCAAACGTTTTAACGCCCAAGCCCTCTATACCTTTAAGTTGTAAGGTTAGGAATCTTCTATCCGTGTTCACTATAATGCTGTACCATCATGAATGGTGAGCTATCAGGCCAGGACGCCCTCCTCACTGGTGATTTTTGCCCCCGCTGCTATTCAAGTAGCAAATGGCCCTCCTAAACCCTAAACCCTAAAACGCTGTAGGAAGGACTGATGATTTGGGGTCTCCCTTGAAGACTCCGAAGCTGCATGGGCTTAGCAACCCAGTAATCATAACAATAGGAGTACCCTTTTCGGCGCTGGCTTACTTTTACAAGAACCGAAAACCCGACAAGGGCAAAAGGGTGGTACTAGTACCAAGTCGAAGATGTAAGTCGTTGCGCTATGAGATGCACACTTGATCACGCTTGAGCAGACCCCATGTTCTATTGGCAGGAGACCCAGTAACGTTTAATGTTTTCAGGGTTATTGTGCAAAGTTTAGTAATTTAGGCGGTTCAACATCTTGCCGGCAGGTTTGCCTACCTATACAGCCTATACGCTATCCTCAACCCTAAGCCCTAAACCCCAAACCATACACCCCAAGCCCTCAACCCTTAAACCGAAAAGCACCCTAAACCCTAAACCCTAAACCCTAAACCCCAAACCCTAAACCCTAAACCCTAAACCCTAAACCCTAAACCCTAAACCCTAAAGAAGCAGTGTGGCCCTGCCTGCGACGGCCTGGACGCGAAAGGCGGCTGCGTGGTGTCGACGGGCGGCTCGACCGGCAGAAAAAGGTGGCCTGGCAAAGTGTTCAAGGGTTTAGGGGTCAGGGTTTAGGGTTTAGGGTTTCAAACGCTAAACCCTAAATCCTAAACCCTAAACTGGTGAGTGGTTTGGGCTGAGGGTTTAAACACCCTAAGCCCTAAACCCTAAACCCTCCCAAATCCTAACCACACAACCAAAAACAACAACAAAGCCTGAAGACCACAGCCTACACAGACACCCGGTTGCAGTTCCTTTTTTTGTAGTACCTTCCTTGGGGGGGTTCGGAGTTCGTGTAAAAGATAGTCTGAGGGTTTAGGGTTTAGGGTTTAGGGTTTAGGGTTTAGGTTTGAGAAGTTCAGAAAAGTATGATGAGAAAGCTTGGTATAAGCGGGTGGAGAACGGACCAGAAGCCTAACTTCTTTGGGCCCTTGTATTTGTTTGGCCGCATCCGTTTCAAGCTTTCTGCTGGTGTTTGGGTAAGCCCGAGTATACTGGGTGGTTCGTGAGAAGGCATTGTCTGTGTCTGCTGTGGCACACAACCCTTAAACCCTAAACCCTGAACCCTAACTCTTTAAACCCTAAACCCTAAACCCTAAACCCTAAACCCGAAACCCTAAACCCTAAACCCGAAACCCTAAACCCTAAACCCGAAACCCTAAATCCTAAAACCTGTCTGCGGGGACATGTCAGCCCTTGGCCTCCCTCGACTCCATAAATCATGTCAAGGGACCAAAGGAGGGACCCTTATAAAGGACCTGTAGGGTTTAGGGTTTAGGGTTTAGGGTTTAGGGTTTAGGGTTTAGGTTATTTAAGAGCTGCTTAGGTATATAAGGACTTTTTTGGGTATATGTAGAGGGTATTTTGGGGAATAGATCCGGAGACTGAGCCCAAGCAGGTGAAGGGTGTAGGGGGGTAGGGGGTTTAGGGTTTAGGGTTTGGGGTTTGGGGTTTGGGGCTTGGGGCTTGGGGTTTGGGGTTTGGGGTTTAGGGTTTGGGGTTTGGGGTTCAAGGTTTAGGGTTCAAAGACTTAGGGTGTGGGGTTTAGGGACATGCTGCCTAGTGGTTGATCCACGAAGACCGCGATGGTCAAGTGACCAAAAGCGACCTCCGCCAGAAAAAAATAGATTGAGGGTTCGACTGCAGCTGCGCTTACCTAGAGACTCTGGCTTGTAGCACTCAGACCCCGAACCCTAAACCCTAAACCCTAAACCCTAAACCCTAAACCCTAAACCCTAAACCCTAAACCCTAAACCGAAATCATCCCCGGGCCCGAAAACCCTTTTTAAGCTGGGTTCGTTCTAGTTCTTGGCTAGGGAACATATCGATCGGCCTTGCAAGAAGCTGCTTTTGCTCTAAAAAGGAACATTTACAGGAAGGACTTTGAGCATGCCCCTTAACTTCTTTCTCCTAGGAGGAAGCCAACGGGGTATGCCGAACAATTCTTAGGGTCCAGGGATCTGCAACAGCGCTTTCGGGCTGCCCGGCCACTGGGCAAACACGCTGTCTAAAGGCTCCACCGCAGTTTCTTTGAGGGCCGCTGCATTCCTCAACAAAAAAAGTGCTAGGGATCCCAAAAAGAAATTACACTAGGACCTCCAGGTCCGCCCATAGAGAAAGCTTCCCAGAAACCCAAAACCCAAAACCCTGTTCACTTCTGATCCTTCCCTTGAGGACGCAAAGTCCACGCCAGGCATTAGATGCCCCAGACTCGAGTGTACTAGCCAGGCCTACAGGCCGAAACCCTAAGCTACCGTATTTCTTCGCAGTCGGTTTAGGACTTAGAGTTTAGGGTTTAGAGTTTAGGGCTTACCCAAAAAGGAACGAGTGCGTAGTACGGACAATGGTCAATAATTCTTGGTTATAGACGGATATCTGTTAAATCCTGTACTGCGTTCATACATTCATTACGTTTATTGCACTTACTACGCGCGTTTTCAAACTAATTCATGTTTTCTCTTCGTAGTAATAATCATAAAGGCTCGACCGTAGTGAGTAAGCCGCATGAATAAATATTATACGTCTTTTTAAGGAGTCTTGGAGCGCGTCCAGGCGCGCGCGCCCCGACTTTTATTTGCCGCCAAGGCACATTAACTAGCCCCCGGCGGGTCGCATCGTCCTGCGATAGGTCTCGATTGAGGGTTTTAGGGTTTAGGGCTTGGGGTTTAGGGTTTGGGGTTTAGGCAATTGGTTTGAGGGTTTGGGGCTTAACGTTGAAGGAAGTTGACAGGGTGTATGGGGGCCGGTAGACCTGGGGTTTTGGGCCTGGGGCTTCGAGCTAAAGCGTTTCCGAGCCTTCGCTGTCCCCAGCCCCAAAGCCTGGCCCTAAGCCTTACCCTAAGGGTCCATGTACCTAAATAGGGAATACTTAGGCCTTAAAGTACCTCCTATCTAGAGACTTTAGGGCCCAAGTACAGAATAACAAGGTACATGGACCCTTAGGGTTACCCCTGCAAATGGCGTCAAGAGCTACACGACCGAAGGACCATGTCTGTCCAGGGGTATAATGGGGGGACCCTAGAAGTTCCCCTTAATCTTGCTACCCTATAACCCCTATATGTAGCTATGGTATCGTCCCTATACCTAAGTAGCCCCCGAGATAAACCCTAAATAAACCCCGGGTCCCTTATAAAGGGCACTCCTTTTGTCCCTTGAGTCTTTATTACTCAGGTCCGAAGTACTGGCGTAACAAAACACCAAGAAGAACCAAAGCCCCAATAGAGGGGCCTACGTATTCAAGAAGAACAGATTGGGCTCCTTAACTACACCCCCCCTCCAAAAAAAAGTATATATATATATATACACATATATATAAAATAAAAGCAACCTGCTACACTCCGAACATCACGCTTGGGGGCTGCTTCAAGCCCTAAACCCTAAGCCCTAAACCCTAAACCCTACGCCCAAAAACCCTAAACCCTAACCTCGAACCGACGGCCTCTGGCCGCCTAGATCACACACTCGTCTTCTTGGGTTTCCCAAAATGAGGGTTTAGGGTTTAGGGTTTAGGGTTTAGGGTTTAGGGTTTAGGGTTTAGGGGTACCTACTCCTGAAGGAATCCCTGTAAAGGGGATCCTCGTATATATTCGGGGTATATAATCAGGAGCACCCCTTATGCTGGGTAAATGCCAGATTTGGGCCCGTCAGGAGATAGAAGTGCGAAGCACTTAACATTGTAGGTCTTTGTAAAATGTGACGTCCTGATGCGGCGGGGATCATAGGTGAGAGTGCAGGGGATTTCTACCCTAAATAGACCCTAAACCCTAAATAGCCCTAGTCCCCCTAAATCAGAATCGGTACACCTTAAACACGGACTAAACCCTATCGCATGGTCTCTCCTGCTTCAGGGGCAACTGTAGGCAAACGCGCTTCCCCCTCCGAAACGCGAAGAGAGGCACGCAGATGCCACCTGCACGGCTCTTGAGGCAACAGCCCAAGTCTAATACCAGGGCTGTAGGGGTTGGGGGTTCAAGGTTTGCGGGTGCGCTCTTGGGTCTTATGGGGGTTTGCGTGTAGACCCTGAGACCAAGTATAGGGTACATTGGATGGCGAAAAAGAATCTGTGTGTACCCTGGGCCCAAAAAAAGTTCAACCTTCGAATTCTGGTAAGATTACAGAAGCCCCAAACAGCTTAAAGCTTCCCTCCACCCTAAACCCTAAACCCGACTCGGCTACAAAGAACTCCAGGACCACCCAGCCATGGGGTCCGCAGGGTGCTTGGGGTCCGTAGGGTCCTTTCAGACTTATGCTACCAGGCTAAACGGCTAGACTTTTAATCCTGTTGAGAGTTTAAGCTTAGGGCTTAAAGTTTAGGATATCGCTCCACCCTATGCCTTTCACCCCGAAACTTCCTAAAACCAAAGTCCTTGCTGATTTAACTCTAAACTTTAAACTGCCTCGCCTCCAACGCAAGACACACGCACACACAGGCATTCACATGGAATACCTCGCTTCCCGAACGTACTATTTTCTATCCACAAACCCTTTCTTGCAAAGGTGTATGTAGGCTATTTTAATTGGACCCCTAAATCCAGCGGACAACCCCCCCAGAAGAGCAAGGAAAAAGGGGCCCAGGCAAAGAGCAGACTCAGTAGGACACACCCTCAACTTGGATTACGATTTCTCTCCCTGTCCATGCACCTCATCACTATGTACTTGGGCCCCTAAGTCCCCAAGTAGGAGGTACTTTAAGGCCCAAGCATTCCCTAGTTAGGTACATGGACCCTTGGGGAAAACTCTAAACCCTAAACTACAAGGACTCATTGGTGGAAGAAAATCAAGATCTGCGGGCCTAGAAGAACTGGCTCCGAGTCCTTGGCGCTCCGCAGTGCGCTTTTAAGAGTTGTTTTGGACAACCCCATGCACCGTTCAGTGCAAGCCACTGGCTAGGCTTTTAAGGGCTTAGGGTTTAGGGTTTAGGGTTTAGGGTTAGGCGGGCTAGCGGCGAGCACCTGACAAAGCTCTTGCTTGTCCTAGTGGCTCTTCGTCATGAAGGAGTTAGGTACCCTTATATCCCAGCATATTATATACCCTTTTAATTGGCTATCTAGGGGCGGCGTTCCCTACTAAGAGCTAGTAAGCAAGATGGCTAGCTCTGTATGTTGCATTTCGGGATCCTGCGGGGGTTTTGTCTAGTGAATATGATGTCCATCCCTACTTTGTCCCCACAATGATCTAGGGGTTATACCTTGTGGACCCCTAAGGTTGGACCTTTGGTTTTGGGGGGGCACTTGTTAACGATCCTCTAAGGGAATATGATAAGGGCCATACTAGGAGTGCATTAAGGGGAACCTTTAGGGGTACACCCTTAGGGGGTAGGGTTTAGGGTTTAGGGTTTAGGGTTTAGGGTTTAGGGTTTAGGGTTTAGGGTTTAGGGTTTAGGGTCTAGGGTCTAGGGTCTAGGGTTTAGGGTTTAGGGGTTAGGGTTTAGGGGTTAGGGTTTTGAAATGAAGGGGTAGGGGATCATGTGGAGCCCGCAGGGTTTATAGGGTTACGGGGTGTAGGCTCTGAACAGGCCTTGTCCAACAACCCTAACCCCAACCCCAAAAAACCCTGAGCCTAAACCCTGAACCCTAGACCCTAGACCCTAAACCCTGAACCCTAAACCCTAAACCCTAAACCCTAAACCCTAAACCCTAAACCCTAAACCCTAAACCCTAAACCCTAAACCCTAAACCCTAAACCCTAAACCCTAAACCCCAAGCCCAGGGCAAAATAGCATCCCGGGGATTGCAATCCAGCAGCGTCATACTCAGGTTCATGATACACCTGTTCGCAGGATGCTTGGTTAGGGCTTAAGGGTGTTTGATCGGATTTAGGGTTTAGGGTTTAGGGTTTAGGGTTCAGGGTTTAGGGTTTAGGGTTTAGGGATTAGTGGGGTTTATTGGGGCCTCATAGAGTTTAATAGGGCCTAATGGGGTTTTATGGGGCTTACTTCCGTCTTCATAGGGTTTAGGGTTTAGGGTTTAGGGTTTAGGGTTTAGGGTAAAGAGGCTTTTGAAGTTTAGGTTTGAGGGTGCCATCGGTTTCGGAGGCTCCAAAGCGTCGAATGTGCACCCAAAGCAGGTCGGCCAAAAGCAATCCATGAACTCTACGAACGCTTCCTAAACCCGAAACCCTAACCCCCTATTCCTAAAACCCTAAACCCTAAACCCTAAACCCTAAACCCTAAACCCTAAACCCTAAACCCTAAACCCTAAACCCTAAACCCTAAACCCTAAACCCTAAACCCCCCCAAACCCCAAACCCGAAAAGCTCACCTTTCGAGCCCTCACAGCTTACGCGCGCGTTGCGAGCCTTGAGCTCCACGTGCTCGTCCGGGTTCCTGGGCTTCCGGGCTGCTTCGGGTTTAGGGTTTAGGGTTTAGGGTTTAGGGTTTCGGGTTTAGGGTTTAGGGTTTAGGGTTTCGGGGTGTAGGCTACTACTGTCGTTGCGCTTTGGGCTCGATATAGGGGTTTATGGTATACTACCCTAGAAAGGTACTACACAGGAGCCTGAGATTTGGGCATAGGCTTTTAGGGTTTGGAGTTTTCGGCGTTTGGGGCTTAGAGGGTTTAAGCTTTAAAGTTAAGGGTTCAGGGCTTGGAGGGTTTGGGTCTAAGGGTTTGTTTCGGTCTAGGGTTCGGGCTTACGGGGCCTGGGATGTAAATTAAGGGTGAGGGTTTGAGGCTTCTGGGTTCACTGTTGCAGGGTTGGACACAAGAGAACTCGCCAAGACAAACCCTAAACCCTAAACCCGAAACCCTTAACCCTTAACCCTTAAACCCGAAACCCTAAACTCCTCTAGGAGACCATGACTCTGCACAGGTGGAGTCAGACCCCAGTCTGAAATGCCCTCAACCCTACCTTAGTGTTTGGGTTTCAGGCTTTAGGTAGTCTCTTGTAGCCCATAAGCAAGAGAGTAAAGCGATTCCAACAAGTGAGCTTCAGTCTTCAACCCCCAAACCCCCAAACCCTAAACCCTACACCCCTAAAGCCAAGCGTCTCCAGTACGAGGGGGAGCTCGAAGCTGTGTCCGAAAAAAGTGACTCCGCTGCAATCCACGCCATATCCTTGCGGCTTAGGGTTTAGGGTTTAGGATATAGGTTTAGGGATCAGGGGTTTCAGGTTTACCTAGGTAGCCCAGCATCCCTCCCAGAATAAGGGTGCACCCTTTTTGGGGGTGGTTGATTTTTTAAGGGTTTAGGATTGAGGGTTCAGGGTCTAGGGTTTAGGGTGAACCAAACAAAAGGAAAAGGGTACCATGGGGCCAAGCCCAAGAAATTTCAAAACGTTTTCGGGGCTTAAGTACTGGGTTTCAACACCCTAGACACTAAACCACTCGTCGATGTTGACTCCCTAAACCCGAAACCCCAAACCCCAAACCCCAAACCCTAAACCCTAAACCCTAAACCCTAAACCCTAAACCCTAAACCTGAACACACAAGCATACTACTCGCCATCCAGCCACTTGGGGCTCGAAGTGCGCTCTCATCTGCTCAAAGGGCATCCATCTAGAGTGCTTAGATGTTCACGGCATTCTCCCGAACTGCACCCCTGTCAGTGGAACCCTAAACCCTAAACCCTAAACCCTAAACCCTAAACCCTAAACCCTAAACCCTAAACCCTAAACCCTAAACCCTAGGATGTCTTGCAGCCGCAGAGCTGGTGGCCGTGCGAAAGTGCCGGTTGTGGACGCGACCCAAAACCTCGGCATGCAGAGGCGCGAGTTGTCTTTGCGTTAGGGTTTAGGGTTTAGGGTTTAGGGTTTAGGGTTTAGGGTTTAGGATTTAGGGTTTAGGGTTTAGGGTTTAGGGGGTAGGGTTTGGGGTTTGCGGTTTGCGGTTTGGGGTTTGGGGTTTGGGGTTTGGGGTTTGGGGTTTGGGGTTTGGGGTTTGGGGTTTGGGGTTTGGGGGCTTGGGGTGTGGGGTTTGGGGTTTGATGTCTGTGTAAAAGACGGTAAAAACCCAAGAAGGACCTAACGTTGCAGTGGAGAAGAGGGGTGTTGGTAGGTTGCTCAGCAACCTCGGAAGAGGAAAGGGTGCCTTGGGATGTTCCCCCTTTAGTATGGGCCCTTTAGGGTTTAGGGTTTAGGGTGGGATGTTCCCCCTTATACCAACAGTCCTCCTCTTGTGACCGCTGCATGCCTTATTAAGAGGTTAAGAGGTTCTTTAAAGGGTCAGGTACGGTCCCTCAACTCGAGCCCCCCAAAGCCCCTACAGCCAGAAACAGATGGGGGGGGGTGGTTGATCTACACGTCCTTCTTTGGCTCCCTGTGGGTTTTTGAGTGAAAAATGTAGGGTCATTTTGGGAACAGGTATATTGAACAATTACCACATCCTCTGTCTACGAACCCCGAAAACACCGAAACCCAAAACACCGAGACCTGCAATACCGAAACTCCGAAACGCCTAGGCACTGAACACCCAAACCCCCCGAACCCCCAAACCCCAAACGCTGAACACCAGACCTCTAAACCCCTCTTGTCAAGCCCTAAAACCCCAAAAACACAAACTGCATGGGGTTGGGTGCTTTCACGTGTAAAGGTCGCATTTTTGAGCACCCGACCTCGACCGCAACATCCTAGACCCTAAACCCCAAACCCAGCAACCAAGCTAAGAAGAACGAGGGTTGCCTTGGGGTTCATGGTATAAACTACTTGGAGGTTTATGGTACTTATTCACCAACTATAACTGTACTTTTAACCTACACATATGCTCCTTAAGTGTCCTAGTATGGTTATAAGTACAGTTACAAGTACAGTTGTAATTGGCTAATAAGTACCAAGAACCTCCAAGTAGACCAACTCCATGCAGCCTCTTAGAGTTTAGGGTTTAGGTCTCAGTTGGGCATACACTACCTGGACTAACATGTAACATGATCTAAAGCCCAAAGCCCTGAACATCAAGAGCCTCAAGCACAAGACCCCGGAACCTTACACACCCTGCTGTCCCCCCCCCCCCCCCCCCACACCCCGCCCTAACGCCCCAACCCTAGACCCCAAACCCTAAGCACTAAACCCTTAACCCCAAACTCTAAACCCTAAACCCGAAACCCGAAAGGTTTCAGTCGCCTCCTGCCGAGGGGCATACAGGTTGTGAGTCCCGGCCCCGGACGCGAAGGGGGCCGGGCTACCTTCGACCTTTCAGGGCTGCTAAGGTTTAGGATTTAGGGTTTAGAGTTCAGGCTTTCTAGGGTTCAGGGCTTAGGGTTTAGAGCTTAGGGGTTTTGGGGTTTAGGCTGAAGGGAGTTTAGGGGTTTCGGATTCCGGGCTTAAAGCCCCCAATTATTTTACTTCGAACATCCCCACCTTGCTCCTCGTTAAGGAAAGAGCGCAAATAAGATGTTCAAACAAAGGCACATTGATTCAACTACGCTTTCTTAGTTTTTGCTTGCAATTGGGGTTGAGCACTCCAGGGAGACTCTGGGGTTGGGCACTCCAGGAGTCTCTAAGTTGGGCACTCCAGGGAGACTCTGGGGTTGGGCGCTCCAGGGACACTGTGGGGTTGGGCACTCCAGGAGTCTCTGGGTTGGGCACTCCAGAAAGTCTCTGGAATGGGGCACTCCAGGGAGTCTCTAGGAGTAGACCGGGCGAGGAGAAGAGTTCCGGACGAGGAGAAGAGTTGAGTTTAAAATCCAACAACCCCACACCGAAGGTTGGGAAAAAAAAACTCCTAACCCTCATCTCTGAACCCGAAACCCTCAACCCCTAAACCCCTAAACCCAAATTCCTGAAAGTATGGGCTGAACTTTCCGCATTAGCTCTTGGGGTAAGGTTATGCAGGCCTGAAGAGTTTGGGGTTTAGGTTTTAGAGTTGGATATATTCCTAGCTCAGACCCCTAGCTTGTATCTATGGCCTTTGGGGCCAAAAGCTCAAAAAACAAGAGCCCTTCAAGCCTTAAGAGAGTGTAGGAGTTTTTCGGTCAAAGGTGCTGCAATGGTTTCGGATTCAGGTATTCGCACAACAAGGAGGGTTTAGAGCACAGAGTTGAGTTTTGGGTTTTTCGAATTTAGAGCTTCTCAGTGTACCTTACATCAACCCACCCTCCCTGAACACTGCTCCCTATGTCCCCTAAAGCCTAAGCCCTCGACCCCAACCCTAAACCCCAAGAATTTGTAGAGTTGAGGGTGAACGCTAAACCCTAAACCCGGTCATGAGGATCAGATCAATTGCAAGAAAAGATTAAACTCGAATGTAATTCGTTCTGGACGGGAGTTTAAACAGGTGACCCCCACACCCCTCCACTAACCATGTGTAGCGGAAAAATCTTGGTTGTCACTGAGAACCCGAATGGGTCTAAGCATGAGATGTGCCGCAGCCGGGAGTGTCACTGAATCTCCATACGAACCCCATCGCGTAGCATGTGCGAGCTGTAGCTCGAGTACTCCCGGTCAAAATACTCAAAATGCCCGGGGAGGCTCTGCAAATACCCGACAGTCTCTGTACGGAGGGGTGTGGGCGATCCACCGGAATGCCGGCTGGGAAGCAATTCGCCACCGTCCAGAACGCAACGGAGAAAGTCAGATATGAACAGTCGGGATTCGTCCTTTTCTGCTCTCTGCGGCACGGACCGTCCACAAACATGCAGCCTCATCACAAAAAAACATCGATAAGAAAACTTGACACGGCCTGCTTCAAAGTAGGTGCTGAGCTCTATGAAAATACGGAACCCCGAATATAAACCCCTCAACGGTAGGGTTCCCATGTAATAAGAACCCCAATAAGTTTAAGGTACCCCTAATTTCGGAAAAATCCACCTAAACCCTAAACACTAAACCCTAAAACGCTGAAGCCCTAACGACCCAAACCACTCCCAAACCCGACCGACATGACAAAGGAAGCTTCAGCAGCCAGCTTCAGGGTTAAGGGTTTGGTTTAGGGTCTAGGGTTTAGGGTTTAGGGTTCAGGGTTCAGGGTTCAGGGTTTAGGAGTTTAGGGTTTAGGGTTTGGGGTTTGGGGTTTGGGGTTTGGGGTGTGGGGTTTGGGGTTTAGGGTTTAGGGGAAGGCTTAGGGGAGGGGGGGCTTGGCTTAGGGTTGAGGTTCCTCGAGAATGCCATGAAGTGTGTTCCGAATCCCAGTGCCAGGGTTTAAGTTGGCCTGCCACTCTACCGCAGGAAAGTTGAACTCGAATGTAAACCATGCATTCCAATCACTGTATGACAATATACTTCGAATTAAAGCCATGCGTGCTAACCACTGAATGGCAATATCAACTCGAATGTATTCCTTAATTCAGAAAGAGAACTAACACCAAATACAGAACTAGACCTGCTTGCCAGGCCGTAAACCCGCATCTTAAGCACGGAGCCCCGGTCTTCACAGGAGGATGGCCGCTGAAGCAAGTAAAAAATTCGAATTTAATCTTTACTGAATCTGAAACTCAACCTAATTCCCCTAAACCCTAGACCCTAAACCCTAAACCCTAGACCCGAAACTCTTAACCTCCAGGGGAATTTCCCGGTCTCAGGGTGATTTTTTGAGACCCAAGGTCGGGCCTGGGGAAGGGGGGAATGAGGGCCCCACATAGACCCTTTGAGGGATTATGTAGGGGGTTTAGGGTTTAGGGTTTAGGGTTTAGGGTTTAGGGTTTAGGGTTTAGGGTTTAGGGCTACTCCCTCCTTCGGGCCTGGGGCAGGCTGCCGCCGTTGCCCCGCGTCGGGTCCCCGGCCTCTGGCGAGGCCACAAGGCCAGCGGTGCGGAGAACCTTCTCAAGGTTTAGGGTTTAGGGTTTGGGGTTTGGGGTTTAGGGTTTGGGGTTTAGGGTTTAGGGTCTAGGGTTTAGGGTTTAGGGTTTGAGGTTTGGGGTTTAGGGTTTGGGGTTAAGAGTTTGGGGTTTAGGGTTTGGGGTTGGGGGTTTACGGTTTGGGGTTTAGGGTTTGGGGTTGAGGGTTTACGGTTTAGGGTTTGGGGTTTGGGGTTTGGGGTTGAGGGTTTAGGGTTTGGGGTTTAGGGTTTGGGGTTTAGGGTTTGGGGTTTAGGGTTGAGGGTTTGAGGTTTGGGGTCTGGGGTTTGGGGTTGGGGGTTTAGGGTTTGGGGTTTAGGGATTGGGGTTGAGGGTTTAGGGTTTTAGGGTTTAGGGTTGGGGTTTGTGGTTTAGGGTTTTCGGGTTGAGGGTTTAGGGTTAGGGGTTTAGGTTTTAGGGTTTGGGGTTTAGGGTTCGGGGTTTAGGGTTTGGGGTTTGAGGTTTAGGGGTTAGGGTTTAGGGTTTAGGGGTTTAGGGCTTGGGGTTCAGGGTGCCTGATGGGTTTAGGGTTCAGGGCGCCATGTGTATCTCTCTTAGGGTAGTTTCATGGTCGCTTAGTATGGGCCCTTAAGCAGGGGACCCCCTATATACCCCTTATATACCCTCTACAAATTAGGAGCCCATACCTCAGAACCCTTTAAAAGAGGCAAGGGATCCTTTTAAGGGCCCATGAAACTACCCTTAGAATCCCTCCGAAGCGTTCTGACGGCCTCGAAAGGTCGAAGAACCCGAAACCTGCTTTAGGTTTTAGGGTTTAGGGTTTAGGGTGTAGGGTTTAGGGTTTAGGGTTTAGGGATCTCTTCTTTCAAAACCCCTTGTAGGACTCTGAGGCAACCTACAGAAAAGTAGGTTTGGGGCTTTACGGAAAACCTTAACCCTTCTACTTGTGAGACCTACAATGTAGGGGAAGCTGACCCCGAAACCCAAAACCCTATTATAAACCCACAACCCTATAAACCGTCCAAACCCTATAAACCCCATAAACCTCATAAACCCTATAAACCCTACAAACCCCCAATACCCAAACAAACCTAAAAACCCTAAACGCTAAACCCTACACAAAGCCTACACACCCAAAACCCCATAAGACCACTTTGCACTCGGAAACTCCCTAATATAGGGCCTTAATAATTAGAATAAGGGCTTGGGGGGGGGCTATGGCTAGTATAGAATAACTATAAAGGGACCACAAGAGAATACTGCTAGTAATTATTCCGACCCCTACAGTAGACCCTAAACCCCAAACCCTAAACCCCAAACCCCAAACCCTAAACCCTTAACCCTAAACCCGAGACCCTAGCCCTAAACCCTAAACCCTAAACCCTAAACCCTAAACCCTAAACCCTAAACCCTAAACCCGAAACCCGAAACCCTAAAGCCCGCCTCGAGATGCAGCGACGCCGGCGGGGGCTCCTCCTCGGGCGGAGGCCCTCGAGCCTCCCAGAACTCCACGAGGCGGGCGCACCTTCGGGGCTTTGGGATTTAGGATTTGTAGGGTTTAGGGTTTAGGGTTTAGGGTTTAGGGTTTAGGGTTTAGGGTTTAGGGTTTAGGGTTTAGGGTTTAGGGTTAGGGTTTAGGGCTTCTAGGTGGTTGGGGGGCTTAAGGGGTTTAGACTCCAGAAATTTGGAACATGGTTTAAGGGTGATTAGAGCTGTGATTCCCTTTAGTATGCAAGCATTTTCCAAGTTTTTGGAGTTTACTGTAGGGGATTTGTAGGGGGTTTAGGGTTTAGGCTTTGAAGACTGTAGCCTTCAACATGAAGGGTCTTCGGTACTGGGGTTTGCACCAAGCCGAAGCCCTAAAACCTCGACCCTTAACGGGGGGCGAGCCTCCAGTCTAGGACCCTAAACCCTAAACCCTAAACCCTAACCCTAAACCCGAAACCCTAAACCCTAAACCCTAAACCCTAAACCCTAAACCCTAAACCCTAAACCCTAAACCCTAAACCCTAAACCCCAGGGTGGATTCGGTGTACTTTTCGGATTTGGGGATGTGACCCTCAAGCCCAACACCGAAATTTTTGGAACTCGGAGATGAACCCTAGAAATCCCAACAAACCACTACAAAACCCGACGACTCCCCCAACAAACCCCAACAAACCCTAACCCTAAACCCTAAACCCTAAACCCTAAACCCTAAACCCTAAACCCTAAACCCTAAAGCCTAAACCCTACACCCATCGGCCTTCTCGACGGCGGCGGCGGCGGGCGCGGAGGCGACGTGGCGGCCCGCAGTTCTGCCATCCAGCGGTCGGCTTCGGCCATGCTCTCCTGCTAGACCCAAGCGGAGGGTTTAGGGTTTAGGGTTTAGGGTTTAGGGTTTAGGGTTTAGGGTTTAGGGTTTAGGGTTTAGGGTTTAGGGTTTAGGGCTGGACCCAAGAGTAGCCTAAGAACAACAAGAGAAATTACCCTTTTTGGTCTAAGGGGCTTACTAGCGAACCCAACCCGAAAAACGGGAATAAGGGCCTGGGCTAAATGGGCACACAAAACCCAAACCCCACACCCCACACCCGACAGCCTAAACCTAAACCCTAAACCCTAAACCCTAAACCCTAAACCCTAAAGCCCTCAACCCTAAACCCTAAACCCTAAACCCTAAACCCAAAAGCCCTAAACCCTGAATTCCTCCATGTAGGGTTTAAGGCCAGGTCTCCGCCGCAAAAGTCAGCGGCTGTCGTCGGAGGTTGTGCGTCGGAAAGATGCGAAACCTTTCTTGGTGGCAGTGTTGGGTTCTCAGAAGTTTAGGGTTTAGGGTTTAGGGTTTAGGGTTTAGGGTTTAGGGCTTGAGCTTTGGGGTGTTCGGGTTCAGGGTTTTGGGGTTCGAGGTTTTGGGATTTGGGGACTAGTGTTAGAGAGAGAGAGAGAGAGAGAGAGAGAGAGAGAGAGAGAGAGAGAGAGAGAGAGAGAGAGAGAGAGAGAGGAGAGAGAGAGAGAGAGAGAGGGAGAGAGAGAGAGAGAGAGAGAGAGAGAGAGCGAGAGCGAGAGCGAGAGCGAGAGCGAGAGAGAGAGAGAGAGAGAGAGAAGGAGGTGAAGAGAGAGATGGGAGAGGAGAGGGAGGAGAGAGAGGGAGAGAGAGGGAGTGCGAGGGAGAGAGAGGGAGAGGGAGGGAGAGCGAGGGAGAGAGAGGGAGAGAGAGAGGGAGAGAGAGGGAGAGAGAGGGAGAGAGAGGGAGAGAGAGGGAGAGAGAGGGAGAGAGAGGCAGAGAGGATCTACGCAAGGCGGTCAGAACCAACTTCCAACATCTATCTCTGTCTCTGCATGCAGGGATATATACAGACGCAACCAGTACAGCCAGAAGCGGACAGCCTGAACCATAAAAGAACATACCACACCAACAAAGCGTGCTCACACTGCAAGCCCACGAACGAGCCAAGAACATAAACCCTAAACCCTCAACCATAACCCAAAAACCCTAAACCACATACACACTCGAAATTCAGAGTCCTGAGACCTGAATCTCATCTAAACCATCGAAACCCTACACCCTAAGCCCCTCAGCCTTAAGTCAAGAAGCATGAAGAGCCAATTCTCAGTGGCGCTTCCCCCAGGTGACGACGGACTCCTCTGCGTACCCATGTACTCCACCTCAGGTTAACGAGGTTTAGGGTTTAGGGCTTGGGGTTGAGGGGTTAGGGTTCAGTGCGTAGAACAGGGAGATTAGGGTTCAGGATTGAAACCCAGCATGCCCTAACTGAATATCCCCCCCCCCCCCCCCCCCCGCCCGTCCCGACCGGGCGCATGGGGCAAAATGGAATCCAAGAAACTTAGTGTGCCCTGCCGCCGAAAACCGTTTTCTTACACGACGTTTTCAAAGTCATGATGTATGTATTGGGTTCAAGGTTTAGGTTTAGGGTATAGGTAAGCTGGGCTTACCCTAGACCACAAGCCTCTACCCCTTGGTGAGTCCGAGCTGTTGTCCTGGTCGTTGGTTGTCGTAGGCTTTTGAGGCTTCAGCGGGATGATCTAATCTATGGGCCGTCTTGGAGATCTCTACATTTTTTTGCATACTTCCTACAGCTTGGAGTACAACAATGAGTCCCAGCACTTAGTTACGACTGTGGGTCTTGGGCCCCTAAGTTTAGGGATCGTAAGTGTGGTCCGAAACTTGTGGCCGAGGCACGCTGCTTCCGCGTAGTGGCCCCACCTGCAAAGGGAACACCCCTAAACCCTAAACCCTAAACCCTAATTCCTTGACCCTAAACCTTAAACCCTAAACCCCTAAACCCTAAAATCTAAACCCTAAACCCTAAACCCTAGACCCTAAACCCCAAACCCCCTAAGGCCTAAACCCTACACCTGACCCTGAAGCCTGGAAGCACAAAACCCGTCGCGTGTCAAACTGGACTTCGGCTTAGTCGCAAAACACCTCCAAAAACATGCATGGTGTGTAGAGTGTAGTGTTTAGGATTTAGGCCTGGGTTTCGAGTTTAGGGTTCGGTTTGGGGATTGGGGTTTGAGCTCTTGCTGCAGAAGTTTGGCCAAACTTGATGGCCAAATCCTGACTTTGATGCTGAGGGGGTGAACTGGACCTCAGGCCCTTTTCCCACACCTGACTTGTGCTCGAAAGTGATCATGTCCCCCCAGCCGACAGCCATATCGCCCATGGGACTGACGCAACCCCGGAAACAATCTCACACCTCATAAAAACCCCAAGCCCCCAAGCCCTTAACCCTCCGTAAATGCTTCCTCAGCACTTCCAGTCCCAGGCCCTCTCAAGCAATTACCCTAAACCTAAACCTTGAACCCTGAATCCTGAACCCTGAACCCTAAACCCTAAACGCTAAAAAGCAACTAAACCCAAAACCCGAAAACGGCCTCGCCAAGGCGTTGTGCGTCGACGGTGGGCGATCGCTCCTCGTGGCGCTCCTGAAGCTTTCGGTTTAGGGTTTAGGGCTTAGGGTTTAGGGTTTGTGCTTTAGGGTTTAGGGCTTAGGGTTTAGGGTTTAGGCTTTATTGTTTAGGGTTTAGGCTTTAGGGTTCAGGGTTTAGGCTTTAGGGTTTAGGGTTTAGGCTTTAGGGTTTGGGGGGTTAGCGTTTAGGGTTTAGGCTTTAAAAATTTCGAGGGCTCGCTGTGGGCTTTAGATTCGAGCTTGTGGGTTTGGGGGCTTAGGGTTCTGGGTTCGTGCGTCCTTCGGAAAGTTTCGGGTTTGGGCTTTTGGGGTCGAGGCCTTCCGAGGACGTATTTGGGGTTTGTTTTGGGGGATGTACGAAATAAGGGACCCCTAAAGTAGCCCCCCCAAATGGTAGGATTCCGTTATAATGCCCAATTGGGCTAATTAGGGGCCTAAGGCGAAAGAGGGTTCGTTCCTGAGGTTCCCTGGCTGGAGGGAGCTGTATTGCGAATTTTGCTGCCTCAGGGATATCCTGCATGGAGGGCCTCCGATGCAACAGCCATTCTCAGGGATGTTTAGGGTTTAGGGTTTAGGGTTTAGGGTTTAGGGTTTAGTCTAGCCTAAATTATCGAAACCGTCTTATGGTGAGGGTTCAGGGTCCAGGGTTTACGGTTGGTATTGCAGTTCCGAAGGATAAAGAATGGCCACCGGCGGAGGCTTGGCCCCCGCTGGGACGAGCTTGTGCTCCAGCATCCGAACCACCAGCTTCCTGTTGTCGCTTCTCTGGACTGCGCCGACAAGGCGGTAGTGCAAGAGCCAGCAGGGCGGTCGCCTGGTGTGCGGATGCTTCTGAAGCCAATGGCCTTCAGGAATTTGCCGGTCTTCGGATAGACGCGCATACGCCGGAGAGATGTGGCGTCGACCTCTACCGCACCACGAAGAAGAGGGGAGTCGTTGAGGCGACGCCCTGCTGCGGCTTCCATGTCCCGCAGTCACTCCACGATGGCCTTCACGGGATTGTAAGTGCGGCCCACCGTGCGCGCCAGAACGTACGAGGAAGGGCACCGACCCAAGCGGCCGCATGCATCTAAAGGTGGCTACAGGGTTTAGGGGTGAGCGCAAGCCCACACAACGCCCTTTTACGCCCGAAGTAGCTCGGGGGAACAAGAACCCTAAACCCTAAACCCTAAACCCCAAACTCGAAACCTCCTAGAGGCTCCTGCAGTGTTGGTCGCTCGCTGCTAGGCCGCACCCAGGAGAGGAAGCCTTTCAGGGCAGAAGCTGTTTTCGGTTTAGGGTTTAGGGTTTAGGGTGTGAAATGCCCTGACTTTGACCCGAGACCTTGAACCCCAAACTTTCAACCCCCAAACCCCCAACTCCCTTGGGGGCCTTTACAACCCGAAAACCTTAACCCTACGTTGAAGAAGCCAAGACCTACTTTTTTGTAGGCCCTTACTATAAAGCACCTTCTATGATTCTTGGGTAGCCTACCAAAAGTAAACCCTAAAGTAAACCCTAAACCCAACCCAAAACCTTGACCCTCGGGGGCTATCTCTCCCCCTCTCTCTGTCACCATCAAACCGCATCGAACCGCAAAGGCTGAGTGGTTAGAGGCTTAAGCCTCCCCCTTCGAGCTCCTTCCTTTGTTCAGCCTCTGTTGTCTATAGCGTTCTTAAGGGCGGGGGTTCAAGGGGGGATATGTAAGCTACGGTTGCCTCATGCTCTCCACCACTCCCGAAGGCTCCCTAAGCTTCCCTAAGGTGCCCTAGGTACCTACCCCTCGTTGAACCCGCCTCCCTTAAGAAGCCTGCAAGTTGGCAATGGCGACTTCTGGCCAGGCTTTCTCTGCGGGGCTGTTGGCGATGGCGGTTTGACCCGGCCATTCAGGTCGTACTCTCGTTGTGTTTAGTCCAAGCCGAGCTCTTCACTGGTTTCCGGGCCCTAAACCCTAAGCCCTAATCCCTAAACCCAAAATCCTAAGCCCACAGCAGCTGCTGCTTCATGTCTGAAGGCATGGCTCAAAGCCAGTAAACAAGCTGCATCGTGGCTGTTCCCTAAACTAGGGTCCGTTTTTTGGGTCAACCCAAAAGAACGGCACCCTTAAACTGAAGACCCCCAAAAAAGGACCCACCCTAAACCCTAAACCCTAAACCCTAAACCCCAAATCCTAAACCCTACCTCCCTAATTTAGCGAACTACCCATGTGCACCTTGAGATGGGCCCATTCCACTCAGATCTCGCGATGCTTCGAAACACTGCCAACAACTGCAGACATGTTTAGGCTTTAGAGCTTAGGGCTTGTGGTCCGTTATCTACATAGCTCATGGTCATGACACATTTCGGTCATGTGCCCCGCTTTTTTAACCTACGCAGCAAACAAAAAACAAAAACTAAAAACGCTACAGAGAAGGGGGCGGGGGAGGATTAAGCCTGGAACCTCTAAGCCTTTACTCTTCGACGAATTCGAGGTGACAGAGAGAGGAGGAGATATCCCCCGGGCTGGAAGGATTGGGGTTTAGGGTTAGGGGCTAGCCTCTGAACCCCAAACCTACTTGTGTGTAGGTTACCTAAGAGCAGGTCCCTAAACCCTGAACCCCAAAACCTAAGCCCTAAACCCTAAACGATGGCCTCCTTTGCGCAGGCACACGGGGGTCTTGTCCCAGACAGGCTCCTGGGTCACGTCGTCCGCCTTTGGTTGATGGCCGAGGTTCTGTAGGTTTAGGGTTGAGGGTTTAGGGTTTAGGGTTTAGGGCATAGTTGGGGTTTCGGCTTTTGGCTGTAGGGCTCCTTCAGATGTTCAGTGCCTTGGACCAGAGCTCCGTCGTGGGGTTTAGGGTTTATTTGGGGTTTAGGGTTTAGGGTTTAGGGTTTAGGGTTTAGGGGACTAACTTTGGGAAAGTTTTGTTTTATACCCACATTGCACGTGACTTTCCAGGCCTCTGGCATCAACTACTCGTGCTTCGGACTTCAGGAGCCGTCAGGAACAACATGTGCGAAACCCATTGGAAACCCTAAACCCGAAACACTAAACCCTAAACCCTAAACCCTAAACGGCTTTATGCTCTGCATTTTGCTAGGGCAAGGGCCAGAAGCCAAGCTGTGCGGGCTCAAGAAGCTGTGCTTACTAAGGAACCAGGCTGAGGCTTGAGGTTTGAGGTTTGAGGTTTGAGGTTTGAGGTTTGAGGTTTGAGGTTTGAGGTTTGAGGTTTGAGGTTTAGGGTTTGAGGTTTAGGGTTTAGGGTTTAGGGTTCGGGTTTCGGGGTCAGGGAGGGCAGCAGTGTGAGGGGCAGTGGGTGCTGGGCCTCCTGTCTATATCAAGGTTTGTAAGCGGAAATGCGGCTTGAGAGACTTGTCTGCAGGCTTATACCCCTTGCGGGCAGCCCTAAACCCTCAGCCTGCTCGTGTCAAAGCAAGAACCCAAAAGAGGAGAGGTCTAGCCCAGGCTTGGGTTTAGGGTCTAAGGTCTAGGGTTTAGAGTTCAGAGTTCAGGGTTTCTCCCCCTCAGCACCCAAACCCTAGCTCCCTCAGCTTCCACCCGAATCCTTTTGTCTAGGACATCTTTACACGCACAGCTTCCCCAAATAGACCCTTCTATACAGTAGTTAAGGGGTACAAGGAGGGACCCCTAGAAGGGACCCTTAATCTTGTTCCCCTAGATAACCCCTGTATATACCCGATATACCTAAGCAGCCCCTAAATAACCCCAAGGGTGCAGGAGGTTTAGGGGTTTAAGGGGAGGTTTAGGGTTTAGGGTTTCAGGTAGAGGCTGTATAGAAGGGCTCGTCGCATGTGCAAAATGCTTTGCGGCCGAAACACATACTTCTCGCTGACGGCCTGCACATCCTGATGCAGCATGTGGTCGCACAGATACCCGAAGCCAACCTTCTTAAACCCTAAACCCCAAACCCTAAACCCTAGACCCTAAGCCCCTGAACCCTTAAGCAAACCAAAGCTAAATCTCTGAAGCCCCACATACCAAACCCGAAGCCCTCAAGCTAAACCCTAAACCCTAAACCCTAAACCCTAAACCCTAAACCCTAAACCCTAAACGTGCCTGAACCAAGCTCCGAGCCCTGCCCTCTAAGCCACCCGCAGCCCCAAGCCCCTAACATCCCTAACATCCCCCTAACCCATGAACCGTAAACCCCGAATTCTTTCCTAAGCACTGCCCCCTGAACCCTGAACCCTGAACCCTGAACCCTAAACCCTAAACCCTAAACCCTAAACCCTAGTTAGACCTCAAGCCAATTTTTTTATGGGCGTTCGTTATTCGAGGGGTCTAGGTCTGGGGGTTTGGGGCAAAGCTTCTCAAGCCCCAAAAGAGGTTCAGGGTTCAGGGTACCTTAGAGGTCTACTTAGGGTTTATGGCTTAGGGTTCGCAAAGAGGGTGCCGTATTAATATACTTTTAAATGTCTTAGAGGCTTTGTAAGGTTTAGGAGTTTAGGGCTCGTAGGGGTTTCTAGATATTCGAGATCGATGTGGGCAGGGCCTTGTAAAGCTTACGACCAGAAGGCTGGGAGGCGGCGGCTCGAGGGTTTTTGGGCGCCGAAGAACTTCAAAGCCAAAGCGGAATCTCAAGACCTGAAACGAAGTATCCCTAAACCTTTAAGGTTTAGGGCTTAGGAGAATACCCGCAATCTTCGAAAACACCGCCCCCAATATGCAAAAAACTCGGACATCAGGTTGACGTGAAATGCATCAGGTTGCATACATAGTTATCTATACTTCCTAACCTTGCTGCACTACGAGCAATATGGAGTTCAACGATTCTTGCACCACGCAGAGCAACGGAATAAAATGTCAGCACCAACAGACACCAACAAAACACAGCCGGGGGACTGTTTCTAGCTGCTCCGAGGCTCTGGAAAATCTACCATGCAAAATCTTGCTATCTGCTATAGGGGCCGCCTCCCCCTTCCCCAACAGAGAAAATCCCAGCCCTAAACCCAAAACCCAAAACCCAAAACCCTAAACCCTAAACTCTAAACCCTAAACCCTAAACCCTAAACCCTAAACCCTAAACCCTAAACCCTAAACCCTAAACCCTAAACCCTAAACCCGAACCCGGAGCCCCGAACCTCATAGGCACCATGCCACCCAAGTCCGTGCCTCCAGCTTCGGTGTTTCCGCTGTCCCAAGGAGGGCCATGACCTCCCGCGCCAGGATCCCAACCTGAGATCCAACAATCTTTAGGGTTTAGGGTTTAGGGTTTAGGGTTTAGGGTTTAGGGTTTAGGGTTTGGGGTTTGGGGTTTAGGGTTTGGCGTACTTTTAAGGCTTAAAGTCTTGAGGGTTTAAGGGTTTGAGGGTTTGAGGGTTCAAGGGTCTAAGGGTTTAAGGATCTAAAGGGTCTAAGGCTTCAAGGGTCTCTTAGGGTTTAAGGGTTTCAGGGTTTAGGGTCTCTAAGGCAAACCCTGAACCCTAAATCCCGAACAGCGTTGCATCAAAGTGGCACGACCCAAGTGGAGAGAGCCACCACCAGCCAGCCACTCCTCGCCTCTGTCGGGAGGGGGCTGGGATTGGGGGGGTTGGGGGGGTTTAAGGTTTAGGGTTTAGGGTTACCGTATTTCCTTCTGGGGTTCAGGTTCATTCCTTCTTGTTGGGGGGGGGGGGGGAGGGGCATGCAGCATAGCAGACTACCGGGAAAGGAACTACATCAAATTCTTTCGGTAGACCATGAACAAACCCTAAGCCCTAGACACGAAAAACTCTTGATCATGAAGTGCCTGAAGCTAGCATGGATGCTTTTGACCTGACCCGGTGCTTGTTTAGGGTTTAGGGTGGTTTAGATTTAGGGACCGAGTTGGGTTCCTTGTTTTTGAGATCCCTCGGGGGCGGTCAGCGGGATCATCGCAGGCGGAGTAGAGACACTTCGGCAAGCAGAAATCCTCAGCACCACAAATCCGGCCATCCGCAGTTTCGTGTCCGTAGTCCTCCAGCAGTCGCATTCTCAGCCCAAAGCCGTGTCTAAATGGCTGTTGAGGGTTCCAAACTTCACGCACCCTATCAAGCTTAACCATGCACCGGTCTAGGGTTTTTACGGTTTATGGGGTTTAGGGTTGAGGGTTTAGGGTTCAGGGTTTGGGGTTTACCCGCCGAAGATCTGGGCACGCAAGCTAAGCCCGAAACCCTATGTTGTTGAAAGCTATGGCAAGTTGGGAGCATAGAGAGCCTCCTGTTCGGCTGTCAGAGAACCTGGAAACATCCGGTCTAAATAGAGGTAGATGATACTCAGCCAAGCCACCGCTAAGTCCTAATCTCCTAAACCCTCTAAACCCTAAGTCCTAAATTCCTAAACCCTCCACCAAACCCTAAGTCCTGAACTCTTAAACCCTCTAAACCCGAAGTCCTAAATTTCTAAAACCCTCTAGAGCCTGAAGCCCCTTGCAAGGGGGCTTAGGACTTTAAAGGCCGCTAAACCCTCTGAACCCGAAAACCCTTTTACTCCCCAAAACCCCCTAAGCCCTCAACCCTACAACAGAGATCAGGGTTTAGGGTTTGGGGTTTAGGGCTGGGGGTTTAGGGTTTAGGGTTTGGGGTTTGCGGTTTGGGGTTTAGGGCTGCAGGGCTTTTGGGCTCAAATACAGGCGGTGCCTCTGGACAGCAGCGCCCGAGCCTCTCTTTTGCAGGTAACTTCGGGTTTAGGGTTTAGGCTTCAGGGTTCTCGTCTTGTTTCCCAGGTGTTTTGCTTGCTGGGCGTGGGGGGAAAGAGCGCGAGCTTGAATCAGGAGGCTAGCAGCCTCATTCCTGCACCCCCACAAAAACCTCCGGAAGCCCAGAATCCTGAACCCGAAGCCCTAAAACCCAAACTTGAAACAGGAGGCTCGGCTTCAATTCTAGCAGCCTTGTGGCCTTTGGCCACAGCAACCTCAACTCGAAGCCACGAGGCCGAACCCCCCTACGGGTCCATGTACCGAAATAGTTTAGGGTTTAGGGTTTAGGGTTTAGGGTTTAGGGTTTAGGGTTTAGGGTTTAGGGTTTAGGGTTTAGGGTTTGCGGAGAACAGGGGCCTTCAAGTACCTCCGATTTAGGGACTCATGTAGATAATAATCATGAGGTACATGGACCCTTAGGGGGGGAAGTTTGAGTAATTGAGGTTGTGCAGAGGGTTTCGGGTTTACAGAGGTTTGTAGGGGCTTTTTTGGAGGGTCGCTAAGGGATTTCGCCCCCTTTTGGGAATCCGGAGGTTTTTTGGGGCTTCCAACTCCCCCAACACGCTCGGAACCTTAAAGCCTGAGCCGAAAAGCCGAACTACTCTGAACCCCCCCCCCCCCCCCCCCCCCCAAAAAAAAAAAAACAAAAAACTAGGTTACCCGAAACCCTAAACCCTAGACCCGGGTTTGCTTCCTACGCGCCCGGAGTTTTTAGGATTTCAAGGGCTTGGGTTTGAGTCTGAGGGTGCTAAACACCACTGTAACGTCGTAAGAACTAGATCAAAGAGAAACCTAGGAATGAACAGGGCGCCGTTTTGGGTTTAAAGGGGCTCAAATAAGGGAACCTAGGTCCACAAAACAAGGGAAGAAAGAAGTGCCTACTCTGGGTCCTAGCCCTACACCCTAAACCCTAAACCCTAAACCCTAAACCCTAAACCCTAAACCCTAAACCCTAAACCCTAAACCCTAAACCCTAAACCCTAAACCCTAAACCCTAAACCGATGCCTCCCGCCGCAGGAGCCGGAAGACCTTTGTAGTGCGGGAGAGCTTGGGCCTGCCAGACACCCGGTGGAGAAGGTTTTTTGGTTTAGGGTTTAGGGTCTAGGGTTTAGGGTCTAGGGTTTAGGGTTCAGGTAAGCAGAGGCCAAGGGGACCTTATTTTCTGGAATGTGGCGCTTTGCTGGCATGCTGCCAGCAGCATTATTCTCGATGTGTGTGTGTGTGACAATAGCGACAATATGTAGCTCCTGGACCGACGGGTTAGCCCTAAACCCTAAACCCTAAACCCTAAACCCTAAACCCTAAACCCTAAACCCTAAACCCTCTGTAGACTGGCAGCCGGGGTCAGGCTACGTCACGCACCTACAAGAGGGCTTTTTTGGGGGTGGGGGGGGAGGGGGGTGGGGTTATGGGCTTGGGGTTTAGGGTATATAGGGTTTAGGGTTCAGAGTTTAGAGTTTAGTTTTCGTTGGGTTTAGTTAGGGCGTAGGGCCTAAACCCCAACAACACTCCGAGTGAGCCTTTTCTTCCAGAGGCAGCCCTCAATGATGACTTCCGGGCCGTGCTCAGCTTCGAAGTTATACCTGCTTGAGCAGGTCATTTAGGGTTTAGGGTTTAGGGTTAAGGGTTTAGGGTTAAGGGTTTAGGGTTTAGGGTTCTTCCAAGCCCCTACGCCCTAAACCCTAGACAGGCATCCCAGCTAGTCACCCGGAACAAAAACGTAGCCCAGGACACACTTCTTTGGGGGTATACGGGAATTTCTCAAACCTAGGGGTCCCTTTGTGTCTATTTTAAAAAGGGCATCTCGAGGCGATTCAGGTACATGGACCCTGAACCCTAAGCCCTAAACCCTAATGGGTCCTCAGTGGTAAACATCCCTGAATTAAGGGGGTTTGTCTGGGATGGGGGGAAGGGGAACTAGTGGGGTGTTCTATAGTCTGAACTGGCGATTCTGTGGGTTTAGGGTTGAGGCCTGAGGTTTTAGGACGACCACAGTTCGAACGCGTGTTTAGGTCGAAGGTTTCTGACGCTGCAAACCTCAACCCTTATAACTTATAACCCTTACCGCCCACAAAAACTTGAAGAAAAACGCCTAAACCCTGAAGCCTAAACCCCTATGACCCTAAACCCTAAAACCTAAGCCCTAAACCCTGAAGTTCTTTTTAGAGACTCCACTACGGGCTGCCAAAGGTTGTCTTTGCATCCTCTATAGGTGCATAAGCCTCTTATTCTAAACTTGAACCCTAAACCCTAAACCCTAAACCCTAAACCCTAAACCCTAAGCCCTAAGCCCTAAACCCTCAGGAGCTAACTACCCTAGCTCATCCCAAGAGGCTTTCTTATATACATATATATATATATGTATACACACTAGCATTCTATACTGCCAAAAAGGTCAAAGGCTACCTACCCAGTCCCTAAGAACCCTAAACCCTAAACCCTGAACCCTAAACCCTAAACCCTAGACCTGAAGCAGGGTCATTGGGACCCACACTCCGGTAAGAGCGATTCGTGGGAGTGAGGTGGCGACGCGTCGTTGCCCTGTTATGGCATGGCTTAGGGATTTCGGGGATGAAGGGATTTGGGGTTTCGGGGTTTAGGGTCTAAGGATGGGCTATTAAGCCTTTTAATCCCAATAATCAATCCCATAAAGGGCCGTTTTAAGGGTTATCGGGTAGCATAGCCCATCCTTGCATGGCATGGATTAGGGGTTTCGGTAGGGGGTTACGGGGTTTTAGGGGTTTTCGCGGTTGTGTCCTGTTTGTCTGAAAGGAACAGAGCTGCCAGGTAGGGAGTACAGGGGCTTTGACTTCATCCTTGGGGTTGTTGAGGCTGTTGTGGTGGGCTTTTTAAGACCCGAGAGTAACCTAGGAATATAGTGGGTGCCCTTGTTGGTTTCAAAGGGCTTATACGGGAACCTAAACCCTAAAATAGTGGAACAAGGGTCTACTCTGGGACCTAAAACTCTAAACCCTAAACCCTAAACCCTAAACCCTAAACCCTAAACCCTAAACCCCCTAAACCCTAAACCCTAAACCCTAACCCTAAACCCTAAACTGGTTTTATTGAGGGATGTTCAGGCAACCTTACACACCTTCACAGTACACCTGAACTCTTAGGGGAGTTTCATGGTCTCTTAGTATGGGGCCTTGAAGAGAGACCTCTTATAAACCCAATACAACCCAAGGGCCAATACTTCAGAACCCTTTTAAAGGAGGTAAGGGATTATGTTACGGGCCCGTCAAACTACCTTAGACGAGAAACCCTAAGCACCAAACCCTACCAGTTGCCCTTGGGTTTCTTTCTATTCTCTAGCTGTTTGAGGAAGTTCTGCATTCTGACTGAAACATCCTTAGAACCCAAAGACCCAAAACCCTCGATGTTGCAAGGACAACCTAAACATGATTGCCTTAAAGCCCAAACCCCAAAATCCCTAATACTCTATTATTTGCTTAAGAACTCCATAAGAAAAAATAATCATAGTCCCCATATTACCCTTTATAAGGAAGAACGTTTTGTGTTTTTGTTGGGGTTCCTAAGCAATTAGTAGTACTATAGGGGCTGGAATATGAATGGCAGGTGGAGCCATACGAGTCCTGCAGATGGCATGAGCTTCCCTCCATGACCAGGTGCGAGACCCTAAACCCTAAACCCTAAACCCTGAACCCTAGACCCTCTACGCTCTACACCCTCAATCCTAAACCCTAAGCAAAACTCACACCTGCAGGATGAGTACTCCCACCCCTCCCTATAAAAACTACAGCACGCCGAAACTTCACATGTAACGTACTTGTTTCGACCCAAAACCCAAAACCCTAAACCCGTATCGCACAGCTGGGGTGTCGTGTTTAGTTTAGGGTTTAAGCCCACAGCGCCTCAAGAGGAACGTCGTCCCGCATGCCGCTGCTGTGCGTGTGCTGGCACGACTCGTCAGGCACCTCGTTTTTCGGCTTGCCACGAACATGTGGCTGCGCACGCATCCAAAATAATCTGAACCTATATGCTGGAAACAAAAAGAAACAAGAAACTTCCGCCCCTAAACCTAAACCCTAAACCCTAAACCCTAAACCCTAAACCCTAGAACACCCCGCCCCCAACATGAAGGGGGACTGAGTGAGGATGTGACTTCGAGGCTTGTCTGGGGGGGATACCACCCTTATAGGGTTAGGATACTATACAAAAGGAAGTCCTTAGGGTTTAGGGTTTTTGGGGGGTTCAGGGTTTAGGGGATCCATCCCAAACCGTAAACCTGCGGCCTAAGCCCTGAACAGAAGTGGGCATTTCCCAAAATTAGAGGAGCTCCTCACTCACCCCGAACTGTCCTACAGTCCGCATTTCTTCTAGGAACCCCTGAGGCGCACCCCCCCCCCCCCGCCCCCCGCCCCCCGCGAAAAAAAGGGGTACCCCTATTTTCGGAAACTCTAAACCCTAGACCCCCCTAAAATCAAGGGGCACAAGGAGGGACCGCCAGAAGGGGACCCCTAATCTTATATAACTCCTTTATATACCTTATATAGCCCCTATGTACGGAAATAGCCCCAAAATAACCCTCAAGGTCCCTTATAGAGGTCCCTCCTTTAGTCCCTTGATCAATAACTTCAATATTCCCCAAAATAACCAAACCATAAGGTAGGAATAAGATGAAGGGTCCCTTCTGGGGGTCCCTCCTTATACCCCTTAACACCCTAAACCCTAAACCCTTATATGCGCCTCATTTACGTAGGTTTCACCCCTTAAGGAAACCCCCCGAAGTCGGCGCCGGCATATCTGGCTCCGTCGTGGCGTCGCTGGGCCCTCCCTGCAGCAGGGGGGGGGGGGGGGCTTGAGAGTTTAGGGTTTTGGGTTTTGTGACGGGTTTCGGGTTTCGGGTTTAGGGTTTAGGGTTTGGGGTTTAGGGTTTAGGGTTTAGGGTTTAGAGGTTAGAGTTTAGGGTTTCGTGACGGGACGATGTTTGAGGGTAAGTTCACGGAAGCCGAAGCCGGCAAAAAGGACACTAAGCGTCCCGCTGGGGGTCCCAGGGGTCTAGGGATGTAGGAGCCCCCCTCTATTGGGGGCTAGGAAGGTTTCGCTGGGCACAAGCCCCCACGAGCACCCTAAACCCTAAACCCTAAACCCTAAACCCTAAACCCTAAACCCTAAACCCTAAACCCCGAAACCCTAAACTCGAAGAACCACCGGTGGCTTATCCCTTGCTGGGGGGCTGAAGTACCGCGGCCAGAGGATGGTCGCTGCTTTTTCAGGGCGCAGCAATAGGGGGTTTTGGACTTGGGGCTGAGGGGTTGAGGGGTTTAGGGGTTGAGGGGTTGAGGGGTTGAGGGGTTTAGGGTTTTAGGGGTTTTAGGGGTTTTAGGGGTTTAGGGTTTATAGAGGGGTTCAGGGGTTTAGAGGTTTAGGGGCCTAGGGTTAGAAGTTCAGGGTTTGGGGTTTTAGGGGTTAGGGTTTAGGGTGTAAGGGTGTAAGGGGTTCGGGTCCGCAACGGTCCGCAGCGGTCCGCAGGGTTTGCAGGGTTCCTTAGAAGCTTGCCAATGTGGACGGTCGGGGGAAGCCAAGTCGTCTGCTGCACTTTGCCACGACAGCATCGATGGGAACGTGGAACTCTTGGAAATCTCAGGGTTTACGATATTGGGGGGCGGTGCCAGTAATCGTTCGAAGCTCCGTGCTGCCAGGCTGCTGCAAAGTAGGGCTGGTCGCCAGCACTCTTAGGCGGCGGGTATTGTGGCTTTCTCTTCTTCGTCGGCATCTACGTAGGTGTGGGAGTGGCCTTCTTTTGGCTTCTTCTGCTTGGGTGCCGATCCGGCTGCCACCACTTTCTCCCAGTCTTCCAGAAGCAGCCTTTCCACCAAACAGAAGTCCCAAGCCCCTCCCTCTCTCTCTCTCTCAAAGAAATCCCCCAAAGTCCCCAAACTCTGCATAGAATATAGGGGTCGGAATCATTACTAATAGTATTCATTCCCTTTAGGTCCCTTTATAAGTATACTCGAAGAACCCCCAAAACTCTCTTCTAATTACTCAGGCCCCTATATCTAATGCTTTCGGGTTGACGAAGCATCTTCAAGACCCACAACGCCAAAGCCTCGCGCACGCACGCGGTATTTTAGCATTTTGGAGGGCGCAGGGCCCAAACCCTAAACCCAAGCCCTGAAGCCCTGATCCTGAAAGCGAAGCCCTAGACACCTCGAGTATGAGCCTACATCTCATGCGGGTTTACTCTTTGAAGGTACAGGGCTCAAGGCCTAGGATCGTTAATACTGCGTACCAAACCCTAAACCCTAAACCCTAAACCCTAAACCCTAAACCCTAAACCCTTCAGGGCTTTAGGGATGCGAGGGGCTGATCTCGTTTTCCCCTACCACAACATGGGTGCCTCGCCCCCAGGAGTCTCCTTCCAGGAGAGCTCCTGGCTTGTGGCTTCCAAAGCCGTTTAGGGTTTGGGGTTTAGGGTTTAGGGTAAAGGGTTTAGGGTTTAGGCTTTAGGGTTTAGGGTTTAGGCTTTAGGGTTTAGGGTTTAGGGCTTAGGGTTTAGGGTTTAGGGTTTAGGGTTTAGGGTTTAGGGTTTAGGGTTTAGGGTTTAGGGTTTTTTAGGGTTTAGGGTTTTAGGGTTTAGGGTTTAGGGTTAGTTTAGGCTTTAGGCTTTTGGGCTTAGGCGGGTTTTAGGGTTTAGGGTTTAGGGTTTTTTTTAGGGGTTTAGGGTTTAGGCTTTAGGGTTTAGTGGGTTTAGTTTAGGGTTTCGGGTTTAGGGTTTAGGGTTTAGGCTTTAGGGTTTAGGGTTAGGGCTTAGGGCTTAGGGTTAGGGTTTAGGGTTTAGGGTTTAGGCTTGAGGCTTTAGGCTTTAGGGTTTAGGGTTTAGGGTTTAGGGTTTAGGGTTTAGGGTTTAGGGTTTAGGCTTTAGGCTTTAGGCTTTAGGGTTTAGGGTTTAGGGTTTGGGGTTTAGGGTTTAGGGTTTAGGCTTTAGGCTTTAGGCTTTAGGGTTTAGAGTTTAGAGTTTAGGGTTTAGGGTTTAGGGTTTAGTGGGTTTAGGGTTTAGGGTTTAGGGTTTAGGGTTTAGGGTTTAGGGTTTAGGGTTTAGGGTTTAGGGTTTAGGGTTTAGGGTGGGTAGCTGCATGGTCCCTTTAATGTTCCCGGACGCTCCCTTGCCTTCCTTAAACGGTTCTGAGGTATGGGCTCTTGGGTTTAATAGGGTTTAGGGTTTAGGGTTTAGGGTTTAGGCGTATAGAACTGTTCCCCAGCTAAGGGCCCATAATGGCCGAGATTAAGGGACCATGAAACTACTCTAAGATAAGGCCCTGGTATCTCCAACCTTTGGCCCTGGCCCAAGTCAGAGAAAGCCCCAAACCCTAAATGGAGTTTAGGGTTTAGGGTTTAGGGTTTGGGGTTTGGGGTTTGGGGTTTAGGGCTACTTGGAGATGCAGAACTGGGAGGTGGCGTAACTATTAGTTTTGCTGGTCATCACCCTGGTTTCGGGATGTCTTATTCAATTTGAAACCCCTAAACCCTAAACCCTAAACCCTAAACCCGAAACCCTAAACCCTAAACCCTGAACCCTAAAAAGCCGGCGGGGCAAACACCAGCAATAAGGGCAGCAGTCTCCTTCTTCTTTAAAGACAAGCCCCCCCCCCCCCCCCCCCCTCTCGCCCCTCCCCCTGGGCTAAGGGAGGGTTTGGGGTTCAGATTAGGGGTTAAGGGTTCAGGGTTTAGGGTTCAGGTTAAGGGTTAAGGGTTAAGGGTTAAGAGTTTAGGCCCCCCCCCCCGCCCCCTCCGGCTTCTTGGGCGAACCTCCAGTCAAAGAGTGCCAGCAGGGTGTGCCCCCGAGCTGAGAAAGCTATGGTCTGAACCCGTCCAACTACGACCTTATACGGCATTATAAAGTATTATTAAAGGTAGTATGATACTGTATGATAAAGTTAGTATTATATTTTATAGCATTATAAAGTTAGTATTATACAGTATGATAGAGTACTATAAACAATTATGAAGTCTTGTAAAGTATCATAAAGTTTTGTGAAGCCGTGAATCATGACTGAAGGGCACGCCCCTGCGAGCCTTCTTCACCGCAGGCTGCGTCGAGTTGATGTGCCGGGTGCCCTTGGCTGAGGGGCACTGAAGCGTGGTGGGGCTGGTAGCAACCTATCCTCAATCCTCAACCCTCAAGCCTCAAGACTAAACTGTTTGCTTAAGAACCCCCCCCCCCCCCCCCAAAAAAAAAAAAAAAAAGATCATAGGCCCTATATTGCCCTTATAAGGATGAAGACTTTTTTTTCAGGGGTGTTCTTAAGCAAATAGTAGCAAACCCTCAGCCATAAACCCTCAACCCTAAACCCCCCCACACAGAACCCGAAAGGGGCTGACTGTCCAGCACCTCGTCTTGGCTTTGCAGGGGCCAAAAAACTAGGGCATTAGGGTCTCTACATGCATTAAATGCACATGTGCGCGTGTACATAAATATATGTATATATATATATATACATCTTTATTTATTTGTGTTTATTTATTTGTTTTCATTTATCTGTTTTTTTAATTTATTTACTTATTTATGTATTTATGTGTATATATCTTGCTTCTTTCCATGTGTGTATAGGCGATGCTAAGCTGGGTTCTGCTCAAACAAAAAGGCCCATACGATCTGTGCACCCACAGCCATCGCTTGCAAAGTGTGTACATTTCAGCTATTTCTATTTCAGCATTCTGAACCCTGGAACCCTAAACCCTAAACCCCTAAACCCCTAAACCCCTAAACCCCTAAACCCCTAAACCCCTAAACCCCTAAACCCTAAACCCTAAACCCTAAACCCTATAAACCCTAAACCCTAAACCCTAACCCTAAACCCTAAAGTCAGTTGCCCAGGCAAGCCGCATCCTGGCTCGTGCCATCACGTTGAGCAGACTCCGGGGATATCGCAACGCGGCGTTGTCTCATTCCTTAATGCACAAACTGGGTGGGGTTTAGGGTTTAGGGTATAGGGTATAGGATGTGGGTATAGGGTATAGGGTTTTGGGTTTTGGGTTTAGGGGGTTTAGGGTTGAGGGTTTAAAGTTTAGGGTGTGCTTTAAGTTCTCATAAACAGTAAGACCTAAACCCTAACTCTCTCGGCTGGGGACATTTTTTGAGAACCCTATTCAGCAAACCCTGAAGAAAGACCTAAATTCCAATCTCTAATCTAAGCTAACAACTCCTACAACATTGGACCCTACACCCCTGGGCCCTAAACCCCGCAATCCAATCAAACCCTAAACCCTAAACCCTGTAGACCCTAGACCCTAAACCCTAAAGCCCGCATAGGGTCGAACCACAGGGGTGCGAGCCAACTCTTAACCCTAAGCGCCAAGCCCCAAGCCCGAAAACTAAACCCCAACACCCTGAAATCCTACGCCCTCTGAACCCTAAAAGCCCCTAAATTCAAAGCAACAACAACTCCTCGCTATAAACCCTAAACCTTGAACCCTGCGTAAACCAAGCAAGAGGCCGCTGGTGATATCCGGAGACGCAGTGCTCTCCTGTGGACACTGCTGGGGTGTGGGGTTTTGGGGATTTGGGTTTTTGGGGTTTTGGGGGTTTTGGGGGCTTTGGGGGTTTTTGGGGGTTCTTGGGTTTTATTTGGGGTTCTTGGGTTTTATTTGGGGTTCTGGGGTTTGGGGTATTTAGGAGGGCTTGGTGGTTTCTAGTGGGAGTAGGGCGCTTAGTGTGGTTCAGTGGGTTTTGTGGGTTGAGAAGGAAAGGGTGAGTTGGCTTGCCGTTTGGGTCCGGGGATTAGAGTTTGGTGACTTTAGAGTGTGTGCTAGGTGCACAAAGCATCTAGGCCAGAATCCAGGCCGCTTGCTTGCATCCTATTTGTGCCCACCCTGCCACTCAGATTACTCTCAGGGTCTTAGGGGTCAGGGTTTTTTGTTTCCTGCAGCTGTCCGACACTCACCTACATCTGCGCAAAGGGGGTTTATATGTGAAAAAAAACCTTTGGCAAGCAACAAGTTTCAACTACATCAGGCACATTCTCATCTTATAACCTAACCTACTGCCCTTGTAGAGCTGCATAAACAACTATGGTGATGGTGCTCCCTGTAGGAGCCAAGCCTACAGACCGACTGATACCATATGAAACCCAAGGCCCAAAGGTTCAAAGAAAGATGTTGAAAGGGTATTGGGCTTAGGGTTTAGAGTTTAGGTTTTTGGGTTTAGGTTTAGGCGATCCTCGTCGCGGTCTTGTAGGCAAAGCTTCTCCTGCCGGTTCCGCAGTGCTGTCTTGAACTGTCGTGTTGGGAGGGCCCGTATTGCAAGACTGTGCATATGTATATCTGTAGGTGCACATATGCGTGCGTGTATACACATGTGCATATGCTTTCCGAAGCAGAATAGCTGCAAATGAAGCGACGTGCACACTGTCATAACTTTGAACCCAAACAAACATGCAAGTGTGTGTATACAGGCACAATGTATGCGTGGAAGTATATTATAGTCCCTATTGAGGACTGCTAGTATAAGGGGGAACATCCCAAGGGTCATATGTAATTACTGGGTCCCGAGTGAAAATGTAGGAGTGGGGGGGATAACCGGTTACGCATATCATATAGATATACATACATAAACAAATGAATGAACTTCTATATATATATATATATATAACATATGTTGCATACACACACACATACATACATACATACATACATACATACGTACATACATACATATATATATATATATGCCCATATATATGTATATATAACATCTATATGTGTATAAATAAATAAATATATATATAGCATGTATCTAAATAAATATGCATTGAAATATAGACATACATGCATACATGCGTTTCATTAGCACTTTCATGAATGTGCTGGAGTGACTCTTCAGATGCTCTTGCATGTTGGACTTTGGAGATGTCCGTCAGGAAAACTACATCTTTCCAAGAGAACGAATCACGTACACATGCTTGTTGACGAAAAGTGCAATGACATGAAGACTGGTTTGGGGAAACCGACTCGTTGAACCACAAAAACAGAACAAGCATATGCTGCAGCTATTCAAACGAGGAAGAACACGTCCCAAAAACCCGCAAAACTTTATGTCATCTGCTTCCTCAACCAGCACCCCAAACCCTACACACCCTACACACCCTACAAACCCTGAAACTTTAGAAACCTACGGACCCTATGGACCCTGTAAACCCTATAAACCCTCTAAACCCTATAAACCCATAGACCCTATAAGCCCCAAACCAGTGGTGTCCTCTTCATCCTCGCCTGTCGCATTTGGCAGCCTGTGCAAATTTTTCTTAACTATACATAGTATCTACTTGGGCTTTAAGTTGGGTTCCTATATACTAGCTTCAGGGAACAAGTAGGGAATGGGTGCATGGACCCTCGGAGTATTGTGCGCTGCAACATAATGGCAGGACAGCGCCCTGAACCCAAAAACCTAAACACTCACACCCTAGCACCACCCCATACGGTGTACCCTAAACCTTGACCCTAAACCCTAAGCCCATAAACCCTAAACGCTAACACTAACTTGGCTGACTTCTGAACCCATCCTGAAAGTTAACTTTTAGGCTCAGTTTCTACAAACACCCAAAAGGGTAAAGTCCGAAGAGCCAGCCAGAAGAAAGCCAAGTTAAACACTCAACCCTAAACCCTAAACGCTAAACCCTAAACCCCAAACCGTAAACCCTAAACCCTAAACCCTAAACCCTAAACCCTAAACCCTAAACCCTAAACCCTAACCCTGAACCTTTGCAGGGTCGGCTCCAAAGCAGAACCTTCGGATGGAGCAAGGTGACGCCCTTGATGACTCGGGTGGTGACACGCGGCCCTGGCAGTGCGAATGGGTTTAGGGTTTAGGGTTTAGGGTTTAGGGTTTAGGGTTTAGGGTTTAGGGTTTACTATATTGACGCCGTGGAACATATGAACTTGTTCGAAACTTATGTTGGACTTATTTTACGTCCGGATTAAGTAGGAGATAAGTTGTGTATAAGTTCGAAGGCTTGCTTTTTTATCGTTTTCATGAACAGCACCTTTTTTTCGACAACGCGGGCACACAGCTTAAGGCATGGCAGAAAACTATGCCCAGAATTGCAGAGAGACCTTTGCTTCTTGCAAGCATGGCAAGACAAAACGTGCGAAAACAAGGAAAAAGCAGGCCAACTCCGCGGACATTGGCATTTTGTTTGCGGACCGGCTCGCGGACACCCGCGGACAGCAGACGACGCCAGATGGTAGCGGCGCGGGGTCCGGGTTTATATGAGCCCATGCAGGCGGACATCCCCCGCGCGGACGTGGACGTCCGCGAGCCAGGGCTTGACCTATATTGTCGCGGACATTGGCGGACACCTGGCGGACACCTGGCGGACAAGGCACGCAAGCATCCCGAGGTGGCCGGGGAGGCTTTAACGCTGCCAGGCAACTATAGAATATCTGTTGCAGGGGCTGCAAGACCGATTTCTGCAATTTTAGCTGAGATGCATGCGCGAAACCGGGAACAACATCCCAAAATGTAAAACGGATAAATAGAGATAAGTTCTATATAAGCTTGTTTGACATAACACGCATAAGTTCCTAAGTCCGAGATATGTCAAGCAAAAATATGTCGAACTTATCTGGAACTTAATTATATAAAACAAACTTAACTCCAAGATAAACAACTTAATCGATACATATCACATACATATCACGTACTTATAAGTCGATAAGTCGGCGGGGTCAATTAAGTAGGGTTTAGGGTTAGGGTTTATGACGTAGGGCGGCTTACCAGTACAAGGGGTCCCCAGGCAGCTTTTCCATGGAGGGCCAGGCCACCCACACGGCATAAACTCACGGACCATAGGCGGTTTCGCACAGGACATAGGGGCCCCCCCCCCTACCCCCCCCCCCCCCCTACCCCCCCCCCCCCCCCCCCCCAACCCCCCCCCTCCCCCCCCCCCCCTACCCCCCCTACCCCCTCCCCCCCCCCCCCCCCCCACCCCCCCCCCCCCCCCCCCCCTACCCCCCTACCCCCCCCCACCAACTTTGGCATCCTGTGACCTAACGAACGCGTTTAAACCTTTCAACTATGCTCCAGCGGGGTCGGCGGCTTGAGCCGGAGGCTCTTCAATTTAGGGTTTAGGGTTTAGGGTTTACCATTTTGAGCCCTCTGGGCCCCGACAGCTGCAAAGTAGGAACCCCTTTAAGGCCCCGAGCATATACCGCAGTACTGCTAGGACTCTTAGGACGAGGGTGTAGGGCTTTTAGGATCTATGGGCCATGGGTTGTTTTAGCTTTTGGGGTTTAGGGTAGTGCAGGGTTCAGAATTTGCGCTGAGCTAGGGCCTTCTTGGTTGCTGAGTTCTCCCCAAAAGTGCAAAGTGTACTCATTCAGCTGCTAAACTTTGGGCTTCAGGTCTTACGCGGCCTCAGGCATCGGGGATGCATTTTTGAGGGTTCAGGGTCTGGAAATAGTTTCAGATAATTTCAGGCTTTGGGTCTTACGCCTGAGGATTTAGGGTCCATGGCATGTACTTACACAGTAGACACTTGGGTGAGGGGGGGATTCCTGTAAACCGGCTTTGAGGCCATACATACTATATCGGTACATGGACCGAACCCTATACTTCCGAGTGCCTAGGTATTATGCCCTTAAGGGCTTTAGCTATGTAAAACTAGGCCCATGGAATGTAAGTAGAGGGTCATGTGACCTAATTCGGGAGGGTTGAAGCCCTAAACCCTAAACCCCAAACCCCAAACCTTAAACCTGTGGTCCCGCCTCTTCGGGGACTTCGTCGTGCACGGTCGACTTGGAATGACGTGGCGTCTCGTCAAGAGCCTGGCTGTTGGGGTTTCTTACTGTTCGTAGGGAATGAACTAGTATGGTAGTTACTATTGCTACCATTCTTTCATTCCCTACTAACCAACAGCAAGGTTTAGGTTTGAGGGTTCATTGGTGAGGGGA